ACAAGGAGAGGCCAGGAGGCCACTTACCCCGGGATAGAAAATAAAGGAGAAATATTTTCTCACGTATAAAATAAATGTCGGTAAATAAAAATAGTACCTACTACACTCATGTAAAAGACTAAGAACATTATAAAAATTAATATCTATAATTCAAACATTCGGCAGCGCAGGAGCGAACTCGTACGGCTCTAAGGTTAACTCACATATTGTTCGTCTCTCATACATTACTTACAAATATTCCCAAACTATATGCAAGTATTAGAAGATGATGTAATATTCTAATTTATCCGTATAATAGTAAACATTTTGTAAGTAAGGTCGTATGTTATAAGTAGAGACCGGATTTTCATGTTATTGCAAATTTTATTAGCTTGCGTGTAAAAATGATGGACCATAATATCTATGCGTTTCAGGATCTGTAGAATAACATATTTAAATTTTATATTGCACGAAATTGCACGTTTTCCCGTTTTTTTGCTTAAATTGCAAGATTTTGATTTTTGTTGCATTAAATTGCACGTTTTTGTACATTTTGTGCTATATCAAATGATTTATATATATAAATATATAGGTATGTGTAAATATTCACTTTTTTATTTTACTCTATTCTCCATATTGAATTTATAATTTCAGAAACAAAAATATGAGGAAGATAAATGATTCTGTAACGCAAAGATTCGAATTTAACGTCACAAAACAATGAAGTAAACACAAATCCACATAGACTATTCCTGGAATAAAACTTGCTTGAAGTAATTGAAATTGTTGTATTAGTTTATGTATTATTGTCGTTAGTTGATCATAATATGGATTTTATTTTTATTTTTTTTATTTTTTTTTTTGTGGTCCAACATTTTAATTCAAAGCTTAACATAAGGTTTGATAGGATTACGATGTATTAACATTAACACAAAATAGATGATTTTTGCACGTTCTCAGATGTAAATTAAGCAATTCAACATATTTTGGGTTTTCACTGCACGATTTTGCACAAAATTGAAAATCTTGGCACAGACAGACAGACAGATCAATGGCTAAAAATATGTTTTTCGGACTCAGGAGGCTCTGAAACGTATAGATCCGTCGAAAACCGGATGTCTGAAATTTGACCCGATTGCAATACTTTCCTTACCTAGTATAGGTAGGAAAGTAATAATAAGTTAAACAAATGTATAAAAAATAGAATAATCTGTATCATCGCTAATACTGGTTCGATTCCGATGATTTTTGTTTTGTTTTGTTGGTAATTTAATTACCTTTCAAAAGTTTTATTATAAATTTTACCGTATAATATATACTTAGGGAGTTAGGCCCAATAACATTTTTCTTTTCTTTATAACTTTTTTTCCTGAATTTTTTCGGGAATTTAGTCTATATACGAAAATTGAAAGAACAATGATTAGAACATTATAGGAAAGTTTCATCAAAATCGTTAGAGCCGTTTTTGCGCTACAGTCTATAGAAAAACATGTTTTTCATTTATTGTGCGCAAGCTATTGCGCATGGAGCACCGAATTTCTGTCACAGGCATCAGTAGTCAAAACCCTACAAAATAAAAAAAGAAGCAACAAAATCGGAAAATCGTGGCACAGACAGACAGACCAATGGCTAAAAATATGTTTTTCGGACTCAGGAGGCTCAGAAACGTATAGATCCGTCGAAAACCGCATGTCGGAAATTTTACCCGATTGCAATACATTCCTTACCTAGTATAGGTAGGAAAGTAAAAACAGCTTGTGGCACTAGTGATGGACACCCCAAAATTCAATTGTTCTAATAATGGACGGGGGTAGGTACCAGTAATGGATATACCTCAGAAAAATTCTAAAATGTTTATTTAACTATAAATATAACGATAAAGATAAGATAACGTAAATGTTCAGCTTATTCTTAGTAAAACTGTTAGTTGGAAGGTATGAACCACACTGATCTCAACAGCGCTATAGAAACAACAATGATAGGCATTTCAAAATTTTCTTTTGAGAACTTTGTTCATACATTTGTCAATAGAGGGCGTTGCTCTTCAATCTAGAAAAAACTGGACCCTTTAATCAACAAGGAAGCTTAATATTTATATTTAAAGTCCAGCCTGTCCATTACTGGGCTCCCAGTCCATAACTGGTTCACCCTAAATGCTTGAAAAATATTAAAACGTTTAGATCCCGAAAACTTTTATACCTACGTATATTATTCAACTAAGGCACGAAATCGGATTTGTAGTAAATATAAGTTGGCGTTTTGTTCAAATGCCACGAATGGTGCACCGTTAGATTCAAAACTTCACGATGCGTTATAGAATCACATTCTCCGTTTTAGTTTTTCTTTCTTAGTCGATATAATATTTCGCTAGGCTTCAACACTGAGACAGTAATAAATCGGTGGACAAATTGAGATTTGAAGATTATGATTCGAACATTAAGACTAGTGCCCAAAATTGTACGATTTCTTAGAGAACAAAAGGTTAAGGGTTAAGAACCACACTGGCTCATGTTAATTGTAGTAGTGCCATAGGATACATATCTGGACTATGAACGAGAGGAGTTTATATTATTTATCAAAGATATTTTTTTGACGGTAGGCCATATCATCGTTAATTCTTGGTCAAATACAATGATTGAGCCATCACTTTGACGATTTTCTTCTTATTCAGGTTCAATAGTCCCGAAATTTCAGGTAAAAAAAGTTGGTGTTACAACATTAAAAATTATTTTATTTTTAATTGTAATTTATAGGTTTTACATCCCCCTTAATTGCATAGTAATAAATTATTTTTATTTTAAATTAAACATTTACAAGTCTAAGTATTTATTTTATCATTATAAGGAAGTTGTTATTGCCTTGCGTACTTACTACGCAAATATAAGTAGCAGCTTAATACTTAAAGCAGGCGGGTCCCATTGACCCCATCTTCCCCCACTCGAACTGCTTAGTTAAGTCAGTATATAAGACTATATATAGAGGAGCAGCACTTATCTCCATGCCGAGCTCGGTTCAACATTTCTTCTGCTCACATTTCAGCCAATTACGCTGCAAAATCTCACAATCATTTATGACTTGCAGATAAACATTTTTTTTTCATTTTAATATTTTTTTTTTTTAGTGCAAGAACGTTCTTATTTCACATACATATATATTTTTTCTTCGTTAATTTATTGAACATTTAAATGCAATTTATTCATTACAATACATTCAGAACTTAATTTTTTGTTTTATTAACATTCAAAAGTAAGCCTTTATGTTATTTTCTTGATATCTTTTCTTGAATTTTAAATATATTTTTTACTGTCATGTTACCATTTATCTTTCTGTACTTTTTTTATTATTAAATATATAACATTATTTTATTGTAACTCATATTTTTATTTTTATACATTATCCATCACACCAAAATAACGATCATTAGCATTAGTGTTGCCCAAATGCAAGACCTAGACTAGTCTTGAACTTGTAAACTCAGTCTTGGTCATGGTCTTGGTCTTGCGCAAGACTCTCGCAACAGTCTTGCAGTTACTTATTAGCTTATTAATACAGAGATATTACTGTATTTTTTTATATAGGAGAAATCTAACTAAGTCCGAATGAAAAATTAGAGGAGTTGAATGCAAAAATATATTAGTTATATCAATTATTAACATACAGTAACTAAGATTGTCAAGTATTAGTAACTTTTTAAAATTAATTTTTATTAAAAAAATTATTTTTTTTATCAGTCCTGGTCTTGGTCTTGCAACAGTTTAGAGGCCTTGGTCTTGGTCTCGCAAAGTGCAAGACTAAGACCGATTTTGGGCAACACTAATTAGCATACCTCGATAAAAGGAAGGTTTCTGTTGAAACAATCAGTTCAGGTTACAAAGATAAAGGAATTCTATTTGCGAATAAAGAATAAAACTACAAAAATAACAAAAGTGAAAATTTTATGATCAACCTATATAGTCCGTAGTACAGACCCTTTTTTATCGAATTATTAACATCCACCTGAAACTTCGGATATAGTTTCATCTCATCGTAGCCTGCAACTATTTTATTTACGAAAGCTCTTGGAATTGGAGCGTTTTCAATCTGGAGGGAGACAAACTTTGTCTATTTAATTAAGTACTGAAAACTCTTAAATTCCCATTAGCTTTCTACTTGGATCGTAAGATAATAAATCCAGAAAAAAGGTGGCCTTCAAAATATTGAGCCGTTTGGCGTGACCTATGCCCCCCAAATTTCAAAATAACGAGGTTATATAGGACAAACGACTCAATATTTTTGAAGGCCTTTTTTCTCGAGATGAAGTTTCAGACGGATGTTAATAATTCGATAAAATGGGGTCTGTACCACGGACGAATAATTATTTGAAAGGTTGCTAAATTTCCCTACTAAATAAAAAAAAAAAAAAAATCAACCAAAACAAATCGTTATTAGCAAAGATAAAGCTTATTTTAGTTGGTATATATCTTGGTTTAAAACATGAATGAAGTTTCAAATTAATTTTCTTTTTCTCGATCGATCATAATTACCGAGAAAATAATAATTGATTATTCCATTCTATTGTTATTTCCATTATTTAATTTCCTTATTATTTTGTCATTTGTTCACTGGCCACAATATACTTTGTGAATTATTCGCACAGGCCAACTAGTTTAAATAACTCAAGTTAATAAGTTAAGCTTATTAAGAATTATTTAACTTAGAAGAAATAGAAGAAATTAAGAAATAAAATCAATTCCTATAAAACCAAAATTTTGTTGTTCAAGTAAATTTACTTATTAATACCAAGTTTTTTTTTTTTGTTTTGTTTAAATTGTGACGAATATCAAAACATAAATATTCCTAATTGATTCTCGATAACGATTGCGACATATCAAAACGTGTAAGAGATAGATCGAATCCTCAAGTGCTAAATTAATTCATAAGTATTAATGTTTATTAAATGAATTGATTGACTTGCACAATTTGAACAGCATGTAATTCACATTTGGACTATTTTGAAATTGCAACCCTTGTTCATATTTCAGGATGACGAAGGAGGCCATCAAGGACGTATGTAAGAAGCATAAACTGTACAATACTCCGCACCTTAACGATGTGCTCTACCTCCATTACAAAGGTTGGTAACAATGCGTTTAGAACAATAGACAATAGTAATCAGGAAGTTGATTGTCACACCTTTTGAAAGGTCCGCGCCAAAATTAAATCAAGAAACCATTGCTTCAAGTTCATTAGTTCATAACTTGCGATATTAATATACAGAGCGATTATCATGATTCATTCCTTCCAACAGTTGGATAGAGATAGTTCCCCAGCTAATGATTTAGATGGCTATCACTGTTTCCGGTAAAATAAAAATAAAAAAATGGAAACAACGAAGCTAAATTAAAATATTCCATTTAGATTTTTTTAGAAAAAAAAAAACTGTTTTAAATAATTCATGGAATCCTCATGGAAAGTTTTTAAATAAGAAAAAACAAGGAGCCGAGCCATAATCGTACATTGGGGAGCATGGCACTTTCTGCCTCCCCTCCATATAATATTGGGGGCAGTCCCTCCAATATTTCGCAGTCATTTAGTTACAAAAATTTCAATAAACCAAATAGGTAGTATTATATTACCTAAAAAAAAAAACCTGTACTACTAACCCAACCACACGGTAAACCGACCTAACCTCAACCCATGGTCTTGGGTTCAGTACAATGTGAGGAAGAACTGTTGCATGGCCAACAGTTGTGCAGGTCAATATTTCACTATGGCCCAATTATATCACGCTCAACCGCCGGGTTTTCCCCCATAATTAATTTCTTAATTAAGGGCACCCCACTTCATAGAGGTTGGGTTTGCCCTAGGAGGGTTTCCTGGGACCAGGCTCGATCCACTGATGAAAAATTACTAGTCATCAGCCGGATTCGAACCTGGGACCTTGAGCTCTGGAAGTCAATGCTCACCCACTGAGCTACACCGCTCTTTACATTATATCACAGGTAATAAATTGATTAATGAGGAGCTAATTTATGTATAGCGTTCTAGTCCCTTTACCCCCTCTCACGCATTGAACACTGCTAACATGCTAAGACTAATTTTCGCCCCCCTACATTTTCCGGATACAAGTGCCAGGGCCTAAGCTAGGATCTCTACACACCTGGTCGGTGTGAGTTGCTTTTAGTAGGCTGATGGGCCTCATACGCAGCGTGGCTTTCCCTGATGAATGGTTCTTTAAATGAATATTATTTCGTAATTTTCAAACTTCCCATGAGTATTGACAGGAATAAATTACGACAGTTCGGTAATTTCACAGTCACGACACGTGTCTCTATCTTTTTCGATCATGTCACACCCCTCCCCTCTACTTGCTTGTTTTCCTTCTATATAACAGTTTTCTTGTATTTTCAAAAGGATTAAGCAAATCGATTTTTGTGGTCTCTACTCTAAAAGTTCAAGCAATACTCTTCCACGGAACTTCGAGAACCATTTCGCATACAGAAATTAGTCCTCCTTGTTTTTAAAGTTAAATTCTGGAATATTTTATGTTATTTTATTTATTAAATAAACATCCGATCATCTTTAGTTTTTCGATCAATTAAAAACGTTCTTAAAAATCGTCTTTTCTTATGCTGCTTTTTCCATAATCATTAATCCAATACTCCATGAAAAGCTTACCAATTTAAGTGAAAGAATGTTCTTAAGTTATCAATTTTTTATTATTATAGTTTTTTTTATCCCTCATCTAAACCTATTTTAATCAGAATGAAAATAAGTTATCCGTGGGCAGGTCACGGTATAAATTTTAACTCGCCCAAACCGGATTCGAACGAGCACCACTAGACTCGAGAATGTTAAGGTGAGGAACTCCTCAACGCTCGGCCTTCTCGGACAAACATTAAGTTTGTCACTTATAAATACGCATCAACTCCTGTGACAGAGATCTGGGAGAAAAACACAATTTCATAACCACCTTACATGAACAATATTTGAAAAGTCATTATTTTGTAATTTTTTATTTGTATGAATAAAATGTGTTAGGCAATTATGTTTATCACAATATATCTCATATCACTGAAAAACAAGAAATAAAAGCTTTTTAACAGTTAATTGCAGTCTAACAGTTAACAGTTTTTGCTTAAAACATGAGCACTTTTGTGTGACTCATTGAGTGACTTGGAGGGAGGATAGAAAATCAGCTCTTTTTTTACACAACTGGGTGTGTATCTCAATTATTTTCTTGACAAACCTCTACTCAATTAATATTAACTTAAAGCTTATTAAACGAAGAAGTTTTTCTAAAAGTGTGGTAACGATAGTACAATTGAAGGGTGATCTGAGTTTGTCCGGTCAATAGTCCTCCTTAAAGGGTTTTAACAATGACAAACTCTACTTTCGTTTGAAGAAAAGTTTGTCTAGTTGCTATGGAGCAATGTTTAATTACTTAAATTAAATATTTTTTTTAGTTATCGCTACCTATTCAACAAAAACCGCGACCCGCTCAAAAAAAAAAAAATACAAATCCTAAATTTCTCACTTTTCTACTGAAAATTGGACAATTATTTATATGAACTTTTTTGTAGATCTTGATGTTTAATATCAACCTTTGAAATATTTCTCTCTACCTACGGGGCACCCTATATATGCAATAGTTGATAAACAATTTATATCAACTTTTGACTGAAAGGACTCTAGAACGCGCAAATCAACAGAGATCACGAAAAATAATGGAAGCATTTCATTTAACAAGCAAAGTAATCTAAACGACAAAATCCAATTTACAAAGGAAAAAAAGCGTTTTAGAAAGTCGAGTTTCTGTAAAACCTTTAATGAAAATATATACAAAAAAAATATTTATCATACCAAATGGAAATCCTGCCTATATTTCATAAACGGATCTTTTGATTTTGCTCAAAATTAAAAGAGAACTTCATATGAAAAATCATGAACTACGTTTTAATTTTATGAAATAAATATGTAAAAAAAATTGCATAACATCACTGTTATATATAGGTAAAGAAGATCCCTTTGAAAGAAATATGTTGTTCTTAGTTCCAGCTAAAACAAAATCTGCCTTCTCGATCAGACTATTAGTTAGGATTTAAATCAGCATGCGCTGTATTAACGTGTGTTTTCACACCACATTTTATAGAATTTTTTTTCCTATAACAGAAAGGCGCTCGAAGATGCTTCAATACTTTCGATATCATAAGGAAGCAAAATCGCAACGTTAACATTTTCGTAACTACAGGAAGAAAGCTTTATTAATTTACATATTGATATATTAACTGTACCAAACAACCCTGTCTTGGCCTCATTTATTTCCAACTCGTAACTAATTAAAGAAGACAAATTGGGAGGACGAAAAGCAATTTGCTAAGTTTCCGGTAAACACCGTTATACAAAGAAATTATTTAGCTATTTTTTTTTTCGATTTATGAAACACTGACAGTTCCGTTCTCTGAATACGAGACAGCTCCGTTCGCCTTCGTCATCTTAGTAAGATGAGGAAAAAATGAACAAACAAATCAACAAAGAAAAATAACGTAAATAACGCGTCAGCAATCGAACGAAAAGCATACTGATTTACTTCGTCAAAAAATGAATGACAGAAACAGAATGAACCTCTTAATTAATATATTTACTTAATAACAAATACATAGTGCTATTAATTCAATAAAATAAATCAACTTCCCTGCAGCCCGTAATGGTAGATAGGATGATTCTTATGCCCGTCTCAGATCGATAACGTCCTATAGAAGAACACGGAAATATAACTTGGTCGATACTTATAAAGATTTACATTACCTTACTTTCTTTTTATTTTAAAAAGAAAGTTAGTATAAATCAGGAATATTTTCTGAACTACAATGATGGAAAAAATGTTATATCTACACTAAGATTAGAGGCCAAAGAATTCCATCCATAGACATAGACATACTCATCACAAATATACAGCATCGCTAAAAAGATCCCTCCTACAAAAACTTCAAACGTTCCAATCAAAATGATTGCGACTCATAACAAAAGCACCTTGGTACTTGACTAACAAAACTCTACATACTGACCTCCACTTTCCAACAGTTGACCAACATAGAACGACCCTTTATCAACGATTTTATACAAATTTAAATGGACATAACAACCGACTAATAAGAGACATGGCCACAGCTGACATACCTCAGAACATGAGGAGGACACTAAAAAGGTGTTGGATGAGGGATCTCCTTCATTAGACAACCTAAGTAATTGGAACAAGTTAGGGTCATTATTTCATGTATCGCCATCACATTTGCTGATTGTCAACAATAAGTTGACTGGCGCAAATACAATTTTTATAGACAAAAAAAATTTAAAATTCGAGAAAATTGATTCTACGTTTTGGGTGAATATATTTTCTTTTATTCTTAATTTTTTGATGTCTCGGTTTTTCAATATTTGTAGTTCACAAAGCTTGCCCAACAAATTCACAGATGCTAATTTTCAAAAGTATTCACCCTTCATCATGCTTTGGTCTAGATACTTACTAAATTTGAAAAAAAAAATGAGGTCCTTAGGCAAGGCATATACCTACGTTACGATATACCTAGCAGGCAAACCCGCACAGATTATCCATACCTCACCTGCACAGTTAAGGTATACCTGTGAGCAAACACTTGCTACGGTAAACAGGAAAATTTTAACTCAGCCGAGAGATAGCAAGCAAAAACGAAGACGCTGTAATTGTTTTACTTTATTAAAAACTGTATTAATTGACCTAAAAACTGTACAGGTATAACGGAGTGACATATTCAGGTCTACAAGCCTGCGCAGGTAGAAAATACTAAATTTCGATTCTTCTTCGGTCGCCTGTGTAGGTCCCTAAACCTGTGAGCAAGGCCTTCACCGGCTCGCTCACAAGCTCTGGTTTATCTGTACAGGTAATCTGTTCGAGTAAACCTTAACGGTATACCGGAACCTATGAGCCAGGCCTCACCCGCATAAATAAAATTCAAATTGTATTTATTTGAAGATTAATTAATTGTATTTTTTTTTCACTGGGTATATTTTATAGACGAAAAATAAAAGTTTTAATGTTTAGAAGGTTAAAGGATTTGTTTTAATACTTAAATTGAATACAATAATATTTAAATTGAATACATAAGTTGAAAAATTTGCTGCGAAAAGGTTGTAATCATTGGATACGAAATGAAGTATTAACGAAGATTAAATCATGTAGTGCTTTACTCCTAAGTTGGTAAGTATCGACTGGCAAAAATATTTTTTCATATGAATGGTATATTGATTAGTTTAAATTTATTTTTTTCTTTCATCAAAACATACAAATTAATGAAATTACTAAATGTTTAACTAGTTTACATTCTCGTTTTGAATTACCAGGATATTCAAAGATAGAAAACCTGGAAGAATACACAGGCCTTAAGTGTCTCTGGTTGGAAAACAATGGAATAGGAAAAATCGAAAATTTGGACCAACAAGTAGAACTGCGTAGCCTCTACCTCCAGAATAATCTAATACAGTGTATAGAAAATCTTGAAATGTTATCGAAGCTTGATACGGTTAATCTTTGTCATAACAACATTAAAAAAATAGAGAATCTATGTAAGTATTATTTTATATATAATGAAATAAGATAAATTTATTTTTTATTGTACAAAGAAAAAAAATAATGGTTAACGTAATAAAAAAAATGTCTCTTTTTCCTTATTGCTGTTTGCAGCATGAAGGAGCCACATCGCACAGTGGGACGAAAGACGAGTTTTCGTGGACATGGGCATAGAACTCGTAAATGATTTCGGATTAACTGGATATTTACTACACTTATGTTTTAAAGGCTAAGGAACACGAATATGACGTCAAAATCAGAAATTTCTTTGAAAAACGAAAAAAAAAAAATCTGGTTTCTTGGTTTACCCCTGGGAATTTTTCAATTTGACAATAAATTAACTTCGAAAATGATAGAGACCTCATAAAACACATAACTCTAGATACCTATTTATGACTACTGTCTATCTTACTATATATAACCGTTATTTTAACTTTTTTTTTTTAATTTTAAAAACACAACAAAACAGAAAATATAATTATAATATATGCATATGTAATAACTTAAAAAGTGTATCGTTTACTAATTATAAATACTCATTTTATAATAGTAATTATGAAATGATAAACATTTTATTTTTATTACGAACAAATTTAAAAACCATCGATAATGATATTTTGAACACCAACGATACTTCCTCACATTTTCCGATGAAAAAAATATGTAATTTTTTCATTATTTTTAAAGAATATATTAACAACAACTAATGCAGATCTATTATTTATTTATTTATTTAGATCAGAGCGAAAATAAAGAATGATTATATACAGTTAAAAGAATAATATAAAAGTTTATTTTTTATCTAGGTTGACAAAATTAAAATTTTGATACAATGAAAACGAATATTTAATATTTAATGTAATTTTTTTATTATTATTATGGTTTGAGGTATTTTTCGAAACAAATAACTACAGAACCTCTTTATGTTCAATACGATTCTTAAAACTAAATTCGAGAGCATGTCTAATCATAGGAGATATTAGTGCATACCTAGAAATTGTTCGGACATTTATACCTACAAAAATTATTTTAAATATATTTTAACTACCTTTGTTAATAAAAAAAAAAAAAGATTTGAAGTAAAACAAGTTTTAAAAATGATTATATATATATTTTTTTAACTAAGTTTTCAATTGAACTTTTTACTAAAAACAGTATAAAATGCCAACTAAAAATATTCTCACAAACTGCCTAAGGTATCAATTAAACAGTTTATCTAGTTTCCAGAGTTATAAAAAAAAATTTATATTTTTTTTAGCCCATGCCGCAGGTTTTCCATTACTCGGCCCACTGTGCGTCGATTCATCCCTGAAAGACACAACAATCCACGCAAAGCTTTTGAATTTTTTTTTCCTCCAATCCTCCAAATCTCCAGATTTTTTTTTTTTTTTTGGGGCCGGACAACCTGAACTATCCTTTCTGTTGGGAGGTTTTTAATGCGGGAATTTTTAAGCTACCCTCTTCATTTCTTACACAGTCTCTTCTAGCTTTTCTTGCAATCCTGCCTATTTTATTTTAGCTCTAGTAATTCGGTCAACGTGCCTATTAAGCATTAGCGTGCCTACAGTAGGCTGAGACTATTCCCTTGTTTGACGCCTTCTATCAATGAGGAATGGAGAAAATTCTGTTTCATTGATCCACACGATTTTTTTTTTTTTATTTAAAAATGTGCCAAATCAATGGCAGAATATATTTCTTTCTAATGTGTGAAGTACTTTATCATAAGCTTTTATTGTTGTCTACATTTTCTTATATAAAAACGGGTAGTATTAACATTTTATATAGAACAATATAATATGAATAAAGGTTTAACTGCTTGTGAGCTGTTTAATTAATTCGAAATAACTGTTTCATAAAATTTCCTTATCTTGTCTGAATTGATGTCTAAAATTAATTTTAATATGTCATTGTCGAACCTTTAAATAAAAAAAGAGGACATAATTATCAGTGTAATAAAACTGCCAATTCTTGTGCCAGCCCGAGCTCACGGAATGTTACAAATTCTAAAATGGCAATGTTCAAAAGAATTTTCTTTTGAAAGAGTGGACATTTCTAACATCAATGAAATGAAATGAAAATAGATTTTTATTATGCTGGGGGACTGTAGTCCCTTTAGGACAAATTATAGATACAGAGAAAATGTGTGGCCGTAAAATTAAATTAAATATTTACAATTCTCATTAAAATTAAAATATTGGAAGAAAATTAAAACAAAAACACTAAATATATACAGATATATATAATACAAACATATGAAAATAAAATCATATAAGTAAACAAAATCATTTCTGGGGGAGCTTAAAAAGTTCTCTCATCTGCTTTTCTTGATCAGTCGGGTTGGGAAAGAAGTAGGTGGTTAAAAAGGAGAGATTTAAACGAAAAAACTGATTGCACAAGTCGGATTTCGGGAGGGATGGTATTCCAGATGGAGACGGCTTGAACTATAAAGGATTTGTCAAACGCAGCAGTTCGGTGAGGAGGTGGGTAGAGGTCAGAAGTACGGAATTCAGTGGAATAATATGTAATACATATCAATGTAATTCTTTTTATTATTATTATATTTCTATAATCCCCTAGAAATATTCTTTTAAAGTATTGTGATATGATGAATAAAGATGGACTCAACGAAACTACTCCACTTCAAATTTACAATTTTCTTTTCCAGCTTCATTAGGACAGTTGAACACATTAAACATCAGCCACAACCACATCGAGACCATCCAAGACCTGGAACATTTAGGAGATTGCAAATCTCTTTCGGTCGTGGATCTCTCCCATAATTATATTCAGGACCCAAACGTCATTGAGGTATTTTTGACTTATTAGTTTTTTTAAGAACTTCTTTTTAATTTATTAGTTGGTGTCATAAATACTACTTTAAGCAAACACTATACTTAACGTATTATGATATATGAAAAAGACAAATAGTAGTTTTTGTTCTCTTCGTCAAGGAAGGAACCAAAATCTGCAAGATAGGCCCATACCTTCATCCTGGGTCTTGTAAATTATAAAAGGATTAGAATATATTTCAAGCAAACTTGGGACTAACAAGAATTATAAACTCCATTATAACTCAGTTGGTAACCTCTTTAAAAATTTAAGAACTCTGGATAGAGTGGATGGAATTAGAGTGGTTGCTGTCAGAGCGACTAAAAACCATTGAATCGATTTGGGACGTAATTTGAAGATTTCAGATATTTATTGTGGACAAGTAACGAAATAGTTTTTTTTTTATTAAATCTGGTTGACTAATATTATTTGAAATTTCAAGATTCTTAGTAGAATTATTGTGGCCCTAGAAAAGTACAATTAGTTGAGACATTATCTACCGGTGTACTCCTCGTAAATTAAAACTGTTGGTACTCAGTGGACGCGGAATTTGATGTTCTAGAACTTTTATTCTATTAGTTTTTCTCTTAGAGAACCCATTTCCAAGTTGCAGGGCTATTTACAGTTATTTGTCTCAGTTTTTGACGAATGTATAATCAATGTTCGATGACCGTAGTTTACCAAATCATAACTTTTAGATACTCATTCAAAGCAAAATTTAACGTTATTTAATTTCTTAAAGATGACGTTTTTCGCTTCTATGCACCGTTTAGAAGTTATAGTTGAAAAAACAAAAACATCGAAAAAAAATCTGGCTATTTTGGATAAGAGCAGTTTTCCCTTGGTATCCCGCATTAGCATTTTTGTATTTTATGTCTAAATCAATATATAAATGTTTAAATTATGAAAACATTACCCACATTTTTCGCAATGAATATCTCGTTTCGATCCTAAAGTTTCTGGCCTAATATTTTTTAAATCAATCGCCATTTTTATAAATAGCAAGACCTGACTGGCAGACTAATTTTTTTAATATAAATGTTATAAATATTAAAAAATATGCTTTCAAAGTTTTCATCAATTAATGTCGATTTTTTTGCACGGGGTCTCGGGCTATTACTCTTCTTGTAGTCAGTCAACTTTCCACCAAGTTCTCTATTCCATCTTCAAAAAACAGAGGCCCGACGTCTAAGCGGTTAAATAACGCATGAGTATGTAGAGGAAAGACAAAAGTATTCCGAACTGCTTCGTCGTTTTCACCGATAAATTATCCGTTTATTCGGATTGAATTTTCATGCCATAAAAAACGTTTGCAGGAGATTCTTTATTTCTTTAATTAATCTATTAACTCTATAAATAGAAAACCACAAGAGTAACAAGTAAATAATTTTTAAAATATTATTCAGTGATTTGTGCATGTATTAGGAGCGTTAATTAGTCTCATCATATTAAAAACGGAAAAAAAATCATAAAATTGTTAGCTTTATATAGCGCTACTTTATGCAACAATTCAAGAGTTTTAATAGATTTAATGAAGTTATAATAACTTGTAATTATTTTTCTTGGTTTCTATAATTTTTCCAGAGAACTACAGTACATAATGTAATATTTCTGGCGAATGACTCTATGCAAACAATTGCATATAACTTTTACATAAAAGCATCATTTCCAAGGTTCAATTGTCACAAATATTAATAATATGTGAAGAATTTAAATGCACCTATTAAATTTAAAACTATTATTTATTATTTTGTTTTTTCTGTGCTCAATACATATTCCTTCCATAGTATTTTTTAAAATATATATTCCTTATTTTTCCCAGTCCGCTGGTGTTCCTCAAGGTAGTATCCTAGGTCGTATCCTCTATACAGTTTATACAGCTGACATCCCTACCTGTCACCACATATGCCGATGACACATGTATCCTATCAGTAAACAATGACCCAGGAATTTGCATCCCAAATTGCTTCAATCACACATCATAAATCTAGAAGAATGGTGTCAAAACTGGAGAATTAAAATAAACTCCAATAAATCCCACTAAATTACCTTTACCCTTCGTCGTAAACCAACGACTTCCTGTCCAACAGTTTCCTTTAATAATACTCCACTTATCCCTGTTGAGCAAATCCGATACCTAGGACTCCATCTGGACAAACGACTAACTTGGAATCCTCATACTAGTATCCTTCGTAAAATCCTCAATACTCCTTACTTTGTCACTAATAAAATTATCCATAAAGATCTTAATGTTCCTTATGTTTCAGATCTGGCCCAATCCAGATACCTATCCTTCCATAATAAACTTCAGAATCATCCCAACCCTCTCGTTTCTAACCTTGCTTCCTCTTCAATTCCTGATAACCCTTCGAGGCGTCTGAAAAGAAGATGGCCCCGTGATCTCCTAATGTAGTCATATCATTAGAGTGCTACCATTGGGTAGTTACTCAGCAAGTGTATTCATGTCATTATATCTATTACGTCCAAATTTACTTGATGTATTTATATAATACAGTTGTAAATGTCATTAAGAAATAAAAAAAAATATATTCCTTATTTCATCAATTCTAATTATCATTTATATACATATTTTGGTAATTTGATAACTGTTGATATTGATTGCAAAGGAACCATAAAAAAACAATAACAAATCCCATTAATTAAACGATAAAAATTGAATATTCAACAAGCATTTAATTTAGGATTGAAATCATGTTATCTTTTTGAGATCATAGTCAACCCCAAGTGCTTTGTACTCTTCTTATGCTCCAAGGTTTTTCTTTTACACAATTTCGTTATTATTACAGCTGTTGTAGAAATAAAATAATTGTATTATCATTGAGATTTCTTAACGACATATCGTCGGTTTATTACAAAAATCACTAACTACATTTTTGTTGGAGCTGAACTTTTGAGAACTTGTTTCTGAATTTCGATCGTATTTATCGATAAAATAAACTAGTGCATGAAAATAACTCAAAATATTTTATACATCGAATATAGTTACTAGAGCATAATTTTCCGATTTCATAAAGGGAAAGTTCTTCATTATTTAAGTTATCAAATGTAACTTAATAATTTTTTGCAATAACCGACGATAAAATATACGGCATTAATATTATTAAATGGAAACGTTTTTAAAAGAGTATTCTATTCAAGTATTTTAAAGAGTATTCTTACAATGTGATGAAAGTTAAACATTTGCTTTAATTAAGTGGTCTAATATCCGATCGTTTAATAAATTATGTTGAACTAATTTATCGAGTGTCATAAAGCTCATTGTTGACTTGATTTACAGCCACTTCTTCCAATCAAAGTGGTATTGAAAAAAATAAAAAGTAATTTAAAAAAAAATACTACACTTGAACTCCTGTGATTAACATGCCGACATATTTGTCATTGACTTAGAAGAGATGTTTAAAAAATATAAAATAGTGAACAGTGGTGTAAATAGTTCAGAGGTCATCCTGTTAATTTCTTTGAATGAAAAAATTCTTCCATCATTTTATTAAGTAAAGAACTTAGGGTGCAGAGCATAGTCATTTCAACAAAATGAAAAAAAAGTATCCTTTAATCATCATTTAATTATTTATTGCAAACTTAATTATAGTTTGATTAGTATATTGTGGAGGGAATTTAATAAATGTTGCAAGTTGAAGTTGTTTTCTTGTTTATGGAAGAGGATGGGTGCATGAGAAAAACGCTTGTATTAAGCCATGGGAGATCCAGGATTTAATATTAAGGGGTTTGATTTTTTTGTTTTAATTATTTTATTTTAACGGTAATTATTCAAGAAGTAAAGGACAAAACTATATAAAATAATGTTTAAATCTTCCTTGAAGGCCTGTCAAAAAAAATGTTTACAGAAAAATTAATTTATTCATCCATTTAATTAGTTATTTTCTTTTCTTAATTTTTCTTTATGTACTTTTTTTGGATCAAGGTACCCCTTCACACCATGAGAGTAGACATCCACGTTATTTATGACAAAAATAGTAAAAAAAAAAAAAATACAAAGTTATCAATTTCAATATTCATTAAGAACTATATAAATCAGTATTTTTTTGCAGATTTTTGGAAAAATGGATTCACTTAGAGTACTATCACTTATGGGGAATCCTGTAGTGGGAAAAATCAGATACTACCGTAAAATCTTCACACTGAAATGCGTAAGTGGCTTTGAAATTAGTTAGTTTCCATTAAATTTATTTAATTTTGTATTGTTTCTATGCTTAACAATTTTTTTTCTGATAATGATTTATTGATGGAATTATAAAACTTAAATAGTTTTGATTTTATAATATAAAGAAAAAATATTTGTTTATTTTTTCTTATGCGAATACTTTTGTGATTATAACTAATAATAGATTTAATTTCAGCAACATCTAACATATTTAGATGACCGGCCAGTGTTCCCTCAGGACAGATCAGCAGCTGAAGCTTGGTAAGCAATGTGAAAAGTACAAAAATGACACTAATATTCACTTAGGAAGTTTTTTTTTTACAATTTAAATCAACAATATTTAAACAAAAACATAATTAAACTAAATAATATTAATATTTTAAACTGGACAACTTAAATCTTGTCCATAGCTTGTCTCGTCCATAGAACAAATTATCTCTAAACATTACCTGTAATTTATGGAGATAATCACATTACATATCACTGAAATAAACAATAAGATGTTCATGTATTATTTTAAATAAAACTTAAATTTTTATAAGGCAAAAAGGAGGGGAAGAAGCTGAACAAAAATCAAGAGAGGACTTTAGAAAGCTAGAAGACCAAAAAATAATGGATAGCGTTAATGGTAAAGTAAATATAGAATTAATAAAAAAATTGATATCTAAACATTTATAAAAACATATTTACATGATGCAAAATAAAATTATATTTCAACAGCTTTAATGCATTTGGTGAAAAAAAATCGAAAACGTAAAGATGAAGCGGAAAAAGAATGGAAAAAACAAAAGGAAGAAATTGATGATAGCCATATCGAAGAAGAACCTAATCAGGAAGATGACAATTCTTCAATTTATGACAGTCAGGTAAGATGACAATTCTTCAATTTATGACAGTCAGGTAAGAGCTATTAGGTGTCTTTATGTTTTAATAATTATTATTTTATCATCAAAATTTAATTAATTTTTTATCATCTATGCAGGAATCCCTTTTCTCAGGAGCAGAGGATGGGTTTGGTTCATCGTGTTCTACATGTTCAGGAAGTACAGATTTAGATGGATATGAATTTTATAAAAAAAAACCAGGAAGAAGAAGGGACCCATTGACATTAAGCAGTAAAAGAAGAAAAAATCCATATGATAAAAGAAAAGTTAATGAAGAAACAAGAGATAAAGAAAATCCTCCAAAGAAGAAAAATGATTTCAGTAAAGTGGACTTTGATAACTTATTTATTAGAAAAGAGGCTAATAATGATAATAAAGATTTAAATGAAGTCCCACTCTTGGAAGAATTTGAAGAAGAAGATATTTTACTACAAAATGCAAATGAAGAATTAATGAGTGTAGGAAAATTTAATGAAATTTATTTTAAAGCAGCGAATTCATCCAATGATTTGGAACTATTTCATGAAACAGAACAAGTTAAACTGCAACAAAATAAAAAACAAGTCGAATCAGCAGAATTTGAATGTAGCATAAGAACGAATGATGAAAAATTCGATAGAGAAAGGGAAACGTTAATAAAAGAAAAAAATGCCCTCAAGAAAGCACCAAAGACTAATAATGATGATTTCCTGAACTTGCTTTCATTTTCATACAAAGCAGGAACGAAGGATGGTGACCACCAAGATGGGGTCCAGTATAGCACAAATAATACAGAAGAAAAAGTTCTAGTATCAGAAATTAATGAGCCTTCTATTGATTACTCTCATAACGAATCCACTGAAGGTATATTTAGGCAAAAAATAAATAAACCCACAACTTATTCAGATATATTTAACATATCGGAAGAGAGTAAACTTGAAAATAATAAGCAAGTCTTGGTTAATGCCTTTAAGACGAAACAGCTCATAACTGAAATTGATAGTGAAGAACCAATTTTATCATTACCTAAGAAGATATCTGATATTCCATTTGAAAATGAATCTCAAAACAGTTATCGAAATGGTAATGAAGAAAATGCAGACTTTAAAAATGCAAATCACAAGCAAGAAATTGAATTTCTAATGGCTAGTACTCAAAATTTCCAAGAAAAAAATGAGGTGTCTAACAGTAATACAGTCAATTCAGCTGATAATTTACCAGAATTTCATTTAGTAGAATCTCATATGAATGAGTTAAAAAAATTAATGAATCAATACAATAAGTTAGATGAGCAAGGAATGAATAAAAACAATAGATCATGTTCTAAACAGAATGAACAAGAAGAATATTTTGAAGACTGCATATTAAATGATAAAAGAAAGTTGGAAGATGTAGAAAGAACAGATGACACAGAAGTAGCCAAGCAGAATCTGCCTTTTCTTTTAAAACATGATGAGGTTTTAAAGATACCTCAAATCATTCAAAATACTGAAAAAAATGAACTTGTTCAATTCTCATCTGAAAATTTAATTCAACAAACAGTAAACAATCCTATATTTAATGAAGAGGGCTCATCATCAGATCAAAAATTACCAGTAAACAATAGCTCCTTTAATGTCCTACAAGATATAAATGGAAGAGAACACCATAAACAAATTAAATCAAATGTCAATAAACTAAATAACGAAGATCAAATAGAAATAAATATTGAAAGCTTAATTAATGCCTATACCGAACTTACCATTAATGAAAACATATCAGAACACACAGTGATTGCAGATAATAAAATAAATATTAATACAATAGAAAATGTAAAAACTGAAATTGTTACTGCTTCTAAGAAAAATAACGATGAAAGATTAGAAAGTAGTATTCAAAATGGAAATAATGAAATAAAGATATACGAAGATAATTATGATGATAGCATTGTTTCAGTAAATAAAAGTAATTGTATTAATGAGTTGGTAAATTACAATACAACGATAAGTGAAGAAAAAACATTGACTGAATCAAATAAGATAATTACAGGAGTAATTGAAGAAATATACAATACTTTCTTAAAAAGTACTGATGATAACCCAACAGAGAAGATGCATGAAATTAATTTGGATAAATTAACAGAAAGAAGAGAATCACAAGAAACGAAATTGGAGATCAATAAGGATGTTAGAGACTCGATACCAAAACATGATGGCAACTCCGTCTTAGTTTATGACAGTGATGATGAAGATGAATTAACTTTGCTAAGGGGGTATTCTGGACCACATTCATTTGACAATATATTATTAAAACGTTGTCAAAATGCTAAAATATTACCTGTAAAAAAATCACGAAAAAATAAACTTGAATCAGAAAAAACAAAAGGAAATGAAGTGAGTAATAAGCCAATAGAAGATCACAATGAAAACAGCAATAGCTTTCCTATATTTGGGAGACTACCAGTTAATCAATGTACATATGAAATCGGTGAACTTGAAATTAATGAACAAACCATACCTGAAACGAAAACTTATGAAATATATGTTGATGATCAAGATAAAATAGAAAATTATAGCAGTAGTGATGTTGGAATAAATTTTGAATCAAAAGATCAAGCTATAGAAAAATACAATAAGTCATGCAAAGAAAATGAGAAAATAATGGAAGAGATAAAAAAAATGATTTTAGAAAATGATAAAAAAGATGAAAGTACGGAAAATTCCAATGAATTGAATAATGTAGAGTCAACAAACAGAGAAGACTTAAACAATGAACAAACAGAAATAGATAATGTTAGCAAAAATGAGATATTGTACAATAATTACATCAGTAATTCAGAAGATATTCTAGATCTTGCACATGCAATAGTTTCAGGAAATAGTTCACCATCCCTAAATAGCGAACACTTAAAGTCAAAAATAAATTATAAAAAAAACGATGATAATATGACCGATGATGGGAAAGAAAAGGCCATATTGACTCAAGAAAATGAAAACAATGAAAATTGTCAAAATAATTTAAAAAACAAAACAGATTTAACAGAACATGAAGAAAATGGCATGAAAGAGTTATGCTGAAGTCTCATTTCAAAAGGAATAAGAGAATAGTTTATGAGAGTAGTAAAATAATAAATCATATTATTTTTAATAAGTTATTTTGATTAATTATCTATACATTATTTTAAAAATCGACAACTAGTGCAGTACTTTAAAAAAAAAAAAATAAAGAAAGAAAGTGGTTGAAATGTTAATCAATGAATATTTGAAAGAAATATTATTCATCATAATAAGAACAGAAAACAGACAGATGTCATAATCTTCTGACAAATCACAGAAATTGCATATTCTTTAATTTTATTCAATAATTTAATCTGTTAATTTTATTCAATCATCAATAAATTGATAATTATTTTACAAGTGAAATATTTTTAATTCCTTTTTTGACATCCTCGTAAGATTAATGGAAAATATTTCATGCAAAAAATTCATTTAAATGGTTTTAAAATAATAGTAATGTAAAATAGTAGGTTACCACAGGGGTGCCCATACAGGGATTTCATGGGACAAATTGTGTCATCTGAAATTTTGAGGGGAGCACATTTTGACAGGATTTTGTATTTTTGAGGGGAGCACATTTTGACAGGATTTTGTATTTTTGAGGCGAGCACATTTTGACAGGATTTTGTATTTTTGAGGGGAGCACATTTTGACAGGGTTATGAATTTTCAAAATTAAAAGTTTCAAATCTGGGACAAGGCGAACATGGAATAGACAGCAAATAACATAATTGTATATGAACTACAACATTTTAAATTCTACTTTCGCATGCACTATTTTTAAGAAGAGAAGAGCAATAACATATCTTGTGATGAGGGGGAAGGAATGGCTCATGCACCATCGATCTTGGTGGGGATGGGCACCCAGGGGTACCAGAGTCCTCCCTTTAAAGACTATCCATGAAATAATTCCATAGAATAGTCTTTTTTCACTTCTAGGACCATTACTCCTTTTTTTAATATTTTTTATCAAGCATAATTTTAGCTTGTTGTTATAAGAACTAATAAATAGTGGATTAATAACAACATGTTAAGTTTGAACAATTCATCTATAAGGGCTTTTTGGATTTTGTTTTATTGGAGTATCTTTACATTTACTACATAGGGTGTCAATTTCTCTTGGGCATTGAGAAATCCACTATTTGATTCCCTGAAACTTAAATAATCCACAAAATGTAAAGATACACATAAATTATTAAATATCTGGTAATCTCCACAAGACCTTCTCTCTGTAAGAGCGACCTCTCTAATATGAGTCCATCTCAGAAGAGATTTTTAATTGTTTACAGGTGTTCAGCCACGCAGAAATGCGAACATTAGGACTTATAGTCAATTTTAGTTTTTTGTGGCTAAGTATGAAACGAGCCGGCCCGTTAAATGGAAAACCATCAGGTACTTCTCTATCTTAACTCCATAGTCGAGCACGTCCACGTCGATCTCATCGGACCTTTGCCACCATTCAACAGAAAGCATTACTATTAAACCTTTATATGTAGAAGAATGCGTTCACCTGAAGCACGCACACAAGAAGTCACATGTCTGTGATTTTGAAACAAGTGGATCTTCGGCTCGACTTGCAACATTCAAGGGCACCAGAGACAGCCCTCTTCGTAAACCCCGCCTCGTTATTATTCAAAGAACCAATCAGGATGTTCCCCCTAATAAATGTGGCTGGCAGCGAATACCAATTGAAAAGTGTCACTGTAGGTTAAGATCACTTCAACCACATTGTGATTGAAATTCCACAATTAGCTGACTGTTGACAACTACGTTAACGAATCGGCTTGATCCGCTCAAATGCAATCCATAAATAATTTTTATTATCCTTTTTTTTGCTGTTACCCATGACCAACATACGGACTTCTAACGCACCCAATTATTCAATGTACAATAAAAATATCAACCAAGTAGGGCCAGTTTTGTTTCTTCTCCATTTCTATTTAGTAAACAGTTATCAGAATTCCATAAATTAATAAAATAGTTTGAGGATAAGATATAAGAGATGTGTATTTTTAAAGTAGATCGTCAGTATCATGTTAAAATAACGGATGTGCAACGTCGGACATATTCACATTCGTTATTTTAACATGGTGCCGACGATATGTTCGTCAAGAAAAATATATTTGGATGATTTGTACCATTTTTACACTAATTCTCAACTTAACTTTAACTTTAGACCAAATAACTTTAGATCTGTTTTCTGAGAATGTAAAGATCTAACCACCCCTGCAGACTGGAGTTATGTGGTTTACAAAAACAAATGGAGTAACGAGGTTTTTATTGTCTACCGTTGATATAATTAATAGAGTTTTTGTTATTTTAGTAGTCTTAATGATTTGTTAGTTGTAAGCTTTAAGCTATAGCGCCGTTGTTAAAAGCGGACTTCAAAAATTTTATAATTGCTCAACATTATTAGAAAATAATTTCTATTCAAAGTAGAGAGGCAAGTGAAATTTGTGTTGTGCGCACCAGATTTTTTAAAATATTTTTAGTGCTTGAAAATTGTATTAAAATTAGACTTATCCCATAATATTTAGCTGGCTTGAGGAATTTATATTTTCATAAATATACATTGTAAGGGCATAAAAAATCTAGATAGAGATTTTAATTTTCAAAGTATTACCAGTTAAGTTCTCTAAAGGTGTTAAGCAAAAACTTCAAATGAAGCTTAACTGATAGAACATACATTAAAAAAAAAGTCGACCACATTGGAAAATAAGTATACACAATGATTAGGACGTTTAAAAATATGTATTTAATAGTATATCTTTTTAATAAGCTACATTATAAAAAATGTTATAATCTAATTAGAACTCTACGGATAGGTTTCAGATATAAATAAAAAAAATAAAAAACGATGCACCGATTTTAATTAAAGATGGCCTAAGTCTTCTCCTTAAAGAACTTTAAATTAACGTCCATAATAAACTTCACCAAGGTACATTTCACTGAAATACATTTCATGAATAAAAAAATTCTTCTTCTTCTTCTTTATCTTTTCCTCTTCTACCGCTGAGCGGTGTGAGGAGCCTTCTTGTAGAGCCGAATCCACAACTCTCGATCCTGAGCCAACTGCCGCCTCCTCCTCCAGTCAATATCCTTTCTGTCAAAGGCCTCCTTGACACTAGCCTTCCAGTTCTTCCTGGGCCTTCCCTGCGGTCTTCTTCCCTCCACTCTACTTTCCAACGCTATCCTGACCATTCGATTCTCTGGCATTCGAGAGACATGACCAAACCATCTCAAACGATTTTCCTCCATCACAGTTTCAGCTGATCTTACGTTCAGATTTTTCCTTATTATGGAGTTTCTTATGCGATCTCTCTTTGTTTTTCCTTCGACCCTGCGCAAGAATCGCATCTCCATGGCCTGAATCTGGCTGATGTGTTTTGTGGTGAGGGTCCATGACTCGCTGGAGTAGGTCATTATCGGGAGGAAAGTATTTTTGTATACTGTCGTTTTGGTCTCTTTACTCACTTCTCTCTTGTTCAAGAATCCCTTCTTTATGGCGTTGAAGCACCTTCCTGCAGACTTCACTATTTCCTTTATTTCTCCGTCGATCCATCCATGTTCATTGATGTGGGAACCGAGGTATTTGAAAGTTTTCACTTGTTCCAATGGGACTCCACTCAAGTGCACTATTCTGTCTCCTCTTCCTTGTTTCCTGCCAATCCTCATAGTTTTGGTTTTTTCCACATTTATTTGCATGTTTATCTTATTTAATTCTTCCTGAAGAATGCGGAGATTGAATTGCAGGTTTCGTCCATTGCTTCCAAAAACCACTAGATCGTCTGCATAAGCGAACAAAGAGAAAAATACAGGCTGTAGATTTCTGTATCCCACTTGATATGATCTCATATTTTGTTTTGCTATTTTTATTGCATTATCTAGCACTAGTGTAAATAGAAGAGGACTTAGACTGCACCCTTGCCTAATACCTTGATTAGTTGTGAACTCTTCCGATATATTATTGCCTGTTCTCACAACATTTCTTTGGGTCTTATAGAGACTTAGAATTGCCTTACGAAGGCCCGTTTGTCTTCTAAGGCTTTTGCTATGTCTTGCTTCTTCACTCGGTCAAATGCCTTAGTGAGGTCTACAAAACAGGCATATATTTCTTTGTCCCTTTCTATTAATTTTTCAGACATTTGTCTTAAAGTAAATATGAGATCCTGGGTACTTCTGTTTGGCCTAAATCCATACTGTTCTTCACTCAGGGAGGATTCCACTGTTCTTCGTAGGCGTTTCTCTAAAATCTTGGAGTATATTTTACTCGGGACACTAAGAAGAGATATCCCCTGGTGGTTTTTACATTCTCTGTTATCCCCTTTCTTAAATACTGGGACTGTAACAGATACTTTCCAATCCTTTGGAATATTCTTTGTTTTCCACACAAGGTTTAGAATGTGCTGGAATACTTCTATTCCCTTTTGGTTCAAATACTTGGTCATTTCAGGGGCAATCCTATCTATTCCTGCTGATCTTCCTGTTTTCAATGTGCCTATAGCATCCACAATTTCTTCTTCGCTGATGAAATCTTCTTCCATTGAGATCATGTTCGATCGTCCAGCTTCTTCATTTTCATCTTCAGTATCTTCGTCCAAAAGTTCCTTGAAGTATTCAGCCCATCTCTGCATGATCCCTTCGTTGCTTGTTAGGATATTTCCTTCTTTATCCTTAATTCGCTTGAGAACAGGTTTTTTCTCTTTGCGCATGTTTCGGAGCATTCTGTAGAAAAGCTTCTAATTTTCTCGGAAATTATCTTCCATCTTTCTTCCAAAATGTTCCCACGTTTTTCTTTTGGCTTCTATGACTTTGTTTTTCACTCTTTGTCTTTGAGTTACGTATTTTTCGTAATCATTATGGGAATTCGATTTTAGATACTGCTTCCAATACATCTTCTTCCTCTTGACTTCCTCTTTGACCTCTTCATTCCACCATGCGGTTCTCTTTAGTCTTTGTCCGCTATTTATTTTTCCACAAGTTATTTCTGCTGAGTCCATCAGAAGTTTCTTAAAAGCTGACCAAGCTGTTTCGACGTTGTCCGAGTCCCAGGGGTATCTTCCACTGAGAATCTTTTCTTCTATAATATTCTGATAAGCAGTTGCTATTTCTTCGTTTTTTAATTTATAGGCATTTATCTTTTGTTCTTTTTGATACCTTTAATTTTCTTTCCCAATCAAAACCTTATTCAGACTGATGTCCATCCTCAGGAGCCTGTGATCGCTGCCAATTTCTGCGTCTCTCTTGAACCTAACGTCTATTGTATTTTTGATTTCTTCCCTTGGTATGAGAAAGTAATCTATTATTGATTTTTCATTTCGCTCTGGTTCCACTCTTGTATATTGGTGTATTCTTTTATGTGGAAATATGCTATTTGCGACGATCATTCCGTTTGCGAGACATAGGTTCAAGATTCGTTCTCCTGAGTCGTTGAGATGTTCTTCACCGTTCCTTCCTAAGGATCCCTGCCATACTTTGTCGTCATTGCCAACCCTGCCATTTAAGTCTCCAATAATAATAGGGGTTCCATCGTTATCGTCTATTTCTCTTTGCAATGTCTCAAAGAACATGTCTTTTACTGCGGCGGGTGCATTGTTACTTGGTCCGTAGGCAACTAGCAGTATATAGAGTTTGTTATCCCATAAAAATTTGATAGTTAATAATCTGTCATTTATAGCTTTCCATTCTGTTATGAACCTGGATATGTCTTTGTGGAATATGCAAGTTAACCCGCTCTTAGAGCTCTAAGAGCGGGGTAACTTGCATGTTCAATGGGGTTCACTCCTGAGTATACCATCACAAAATCTCCGACTTGCTCCTCCCCTATTCCTTTCTTCTTGGTTTCTGTAATTCCCAATATTGTGATTCCTGCTTTCTTTACTTCCTCCACCAGCTCTACTTCCTTTCCATTAATGCCTTTAACATTCCATGTTCCGAATCGAATAATCCTTTTTCCGCGCTTAATTCCAGTGTCTTAATCCTTGAAAACTGATCGGCTCTATACTCTTTAGTTTCTTTCATAATTTAGGTCTCGGGCAAGTAAGTTATGAGCCTACTGTGCCCAGAGCCTGATGGAGGGATTGCCTCCTTTAGAGCTTTCAGGCCAGCTCTCCCATTACTTCACGGGGAAGATGTTATACCACCGCTACTGACCTGAGATGGTGTTTCAGTCCTAAGAATACACCCATTCAGGCTGTAATGGGACCCTCCTCCTTTAAAAAAATAAATAAATATAAATAAATAAAAAAATTAGAAATTAAAAAAAACAAATTTTATCTACTCACAATGCTTAGTGAGCGGTGATGAAAATTCACGTTCAACACAGAATAAAACAATAAAAAATAAGAGAAAAAAATAATGTCTAAAGAAAATTAAAGCCTTATAACATAGTATGTATTTAACCAGCGTCTGATTGTGAAGTTGTGATTTTGGATTGTGAAGAGGAATTGGAATAAGAGGGTTTTAAAGGTGGATAAGGATGATGCATGGCGGACAGTAATATATATAGGTAAGTGAAAGTAAAAAATTATGATGGATTTTAAAATTGGACTAAATAGCCTGGGATATAAATATTTATTTTTTCGTAACGGAGTAATACAATTAACAAAATGAAATCACTTTTATATTAATAAAATGATGGAAAATTATAAGAAAATCCCTATAAACAAACAACTATGAAATATTGCAAAAAAACGAGATGGTACATGTATACCTTTAAATTCCCTAGAAAAAAATAAATATAAAGTCTACATAGTATTTCGGGCGATAGTATTTCGTATGGACGAATAACAAGCCATAAAATTTTCAGTTTTTCCAAATAATCGATACTCGGCGAGCGCTCAGAAAACAGCAAGTGGGCATTACAAGAATTAACAGCAGTAAAGTGCAGCAGGCTACTTGTGTTGGAGAATTATCTGGACTTAAGATGGAATTTATTATTCCTCTAACTTCCTTTAAACGTCCCATTGAATGTTAGGGAGACGCTTGATAGTAATTGATGATCGGGCGCAAAAAACCCACGCGAAGGCCCTCTACAACATTAATGCTTTCATGAGATTCAATGAAAAGGGTCTCCTTTTAGCTAATTTAATTGCAGAGACGCTTCAACGAAATAATAACGTTATTGTAAATTGGAAGAATTCAGTTACCTCCTTCAGTTATTCAATACTTTTGTACACGTTTTCTCGCTAATATTTAAAAGAAGAATATTAGAGCTATCAAATTGGCTGAAAGGAGTCCTTTTTTATTGAGTTTCATAAAGGTATTCCTTTTTGACGAAACGTTTGAGTGGAGTCAAAGGAGCAGCTATACAAACCACGCTAATAAAGTAAGTCATCATAAACTATATAATATAATTGTATGATAATAATATTTACTTCCGCTTAAAATAAATAATTTTACTTTTTTCAAATAACAAAAGAAAATTAACGCAGTAAGCGTTAACAACCACGTCATGAAAAAAAGTACTTTAAACTTACAGTATATTTTTAATTTTTACATTTTAAAAGTAACAGCTGGGTTTGTACTAACCTTATTATAATTAATGTGAAGTAAAGACCTGCTCAGGTCTGAATATTTTTAGTGGTATTACGTTAGAATTACAAAATTTAATATCACTATATAAAGTTATATGTTTAATAATTCACTGAGCTCATTATCTAAGATTGAGAAAATCGATTCATCATGTTCGCCATCGATAATTATATTCCTACCGGTGCTCCGAAGTAAGACCAACCATTATGTACCTAGTATATTAACGTCACACATCGTCATTTTAAACAATTAAAAATGTAATATGTAGTTTATAAAGCAGATATTTGTGCTAGTAGATGACAATTGGTAGGTATAAAAAAACTAATTGGTATATAACAGATGGTAATTGCTTTTGCAATGTTAAGTTAACAAACATAACTTCTTAATAAGTTGACTGATTACTACTCCGTGTTGGGGAAAAAAAAAAATGCAACGGGTATCATCAGACCTCGTGTGAGCATTTACGTGAAAACGTAGCTATTGTCTTCACACAATTAAAAATCATTAAACTCATTTTGACGTAGAAGTATATGTAATTTGGTAGAAGCAAATGTTAAGACAAGTTTACCCTTTTCAATCTGTATACAATTTTAGAGATTCAGAAGCTTTCCCAGTTCAAATTCTGACTAAAGACATTTTATTTATGTTTGACTAAGGACTAACATTTCATATCTTGGCGGATCTAAGTAATGTAATTGGAACCCCTAGCTAGATCATGTAGGTAACTTGTCCTAGTTGTAGTTCATAATCCGATCTAATAAACATATAAAAACAAGAAGGTCCTCCATAGGCATAACAAGTAGAGCTGAGCCTGGAGCGAAATTTTGGACGAAACCACTTCGCCTCAATGAGGAGAATGAGTTAATTATAACAATTATTTTTACATTTCTCAATGCCGCAATCATGTATTATTATTAATAGTAATGAATTGTCAATGGCAGATCCAGGAATTTTCTCAGAGGGAGAAGGCGTACCTCTGTACCAGGTGCTTCCCCCACCCCTACTCGTTCCCCCTTCACTACCCTTCTCCCCCCACTCCTTAGCTGAGTTAAACCGCTCAAAAGTCCTCTTTAAATGGTTTTAACAAAAGTAAACTCTATTTTTATTTAAAGTAAATTTTGTCTAGTTTACAGTGAAGCAATCGCTTATTACTTAAATTAAATATTTTTTTAGCTATCTCTTCCTATTCAACAAAAAACGTGATTTACTTAAAAATTCACAAAATTTTAATTTCCTAGTTTCCTGCTGAAAATCCAATCATTGTTTATATAAACTTTTTTGTATTTCTTGAGTTCTACTATCACTCCTTTAAATATTTCCCTCAACTTACGGGATACCCGGTACATTGGTTTAGACATGTAAAAAACAAAATTGCTAATACGGGTCACCAAGAGAAAACATTTTACAGCCAAAAAATCCATATTTATCAGATGTATATATATTTTCTCATATATTCCTAATGAACAGTGCATCAAAGCGAAAAACGTATTCTTTAAGAAATTAAAGAACGTCCAATCGTGTGTCGAACAGGTACCTAAACTTAATAATTTGATTAAGTGATATGTTCAATAACCACGGTCAATGAACGCTAATTTTTACCAAAATTATCAAAATCTGAGGCAGATCACTATAAATGGCCCTGCATCTTGGAAGTGATTTTCAAAGAAAAAAACTCAAAATAATTTCCTACTCCGATCATAATCAGATTCTGATTAAATCGGAGAACAAATAATTAGTACTGTACCTTCCTTCATTAAAACGTTCCCAACAGCAGCTATTTTAAGAAAACAACAACACTTTCTAAATAGAAATATACAAATTATTATGGTGACTAGTTTTAGGAATCGCAATTCTGCATAGAGACTATAGTTGCTGGAGGTTGCAATCCATCCAGATCTATTGGAACTGAATAAAAACTGGGTCCGGGAGAAAACCCGTATTTTCTTGTGCTCGAATAAAAAGTTGTTTGAAAGAATAACTGAAGTTCATTTTTTTTTTTTAAATTATTTTTCCTCCATCATGTATATCACCTGCGAGACTCAGTTCGGAGTCAGTAGGAACAAAGTGCGACAGGAGCACAAGCCGTCGCATCTCACGGCGGCCCAAAAACTACATCACTTCACCCTACGAGCCAACTTCTGCTATTACATTATTTTCTTTGTTTTACAAAATCTCGCCGGACGCAGGTTAATCCACTTCCTGTTGAGATGAAGTGATATGACAAACCGTAAGATTAACAAAAATGGTCAAAACAATATATTTTTTTTATATATTACATTAGAAAATTCATCTATGAGGATGAATTTTTCCTATATTTCTCTTTTCATTAAACAGCTGCATAAAATATTAGTTTACGAAAGGAAGGTCCGTCGGAATATATTTGGCCCAGTTAAGGAGAATGATGGATGGAAATTTAGCCGCAACCAAGGACTAGCCGACTTATACAAGGAGTCGGATGTGGTGAAATAAATCCGGATAGGAAGGCTGAGATGGGAGGACCAAGTTGTAGTGATGGACGAGACATCAATTCCAAAGAAGTTGCTGAGCATGGATCGGGTGGAAAAAGAAACGTGGACAGACCGAAACTGAAATGGAAAGATGGATTAAGTGTTGATGCCAGAATCCTTGGAATCAGTAACTGGTGGAGTCTGCTCAGGACAAGGAAACATGGAGAAAAACTCTTGAGGCAGCCAAGATTCAGTAATGAATTGTCGAGTTCGGGATGACGATCACATACACGAGGATGATTTTTTCTGCATATATTTTTCTTTAAATAGGTGTTTTTTAGTACTTTTTTTCGGAATTATTTTCCCACCATCCAGGGGGGAGCGCACCCCCTGGCAGAAATCACTAGTGCTGGACACGATAATAACTTTTTTTATATATTACGTTGAAAAATTCGTCTGTGAGCATGATTTTTTCCTATATTTCTCTTTTCTTTAAATGGCTGCTTTTTAGTTGTTTTTAGCCATCATCCAGAGGAGAGAGGGGCGCGTCCCCTGGCTGCATCCACTAATAAGTTTCACGGTGAAAAAATGTTTATATCACTTTATTAAATTCGTCTTAGAGGATGAATTTTTCTACATTATTATTTTCTTCAAAGAATTGTGGTACTTTTCGTCTAGGGGCCGCTACTGACTGCTATCTGCCAATGTTTATAACCTGAACACTGATAACTCCCATAAAGCACTGATAAGCCTTCTTTTACTTCATATCTTCGTATTATTGTATTAAATTCGTATTATTGAAAGTGTAAACAGATACAAAAACAAATTTAATAACAAAAAAAATACTTTTATTTGACGAAACATGTATTAATGAAATAATAAAAAAAAACACTTTAAAAAGATATGTACATATAAAATATCAAAATGAAATAATAAAAAACACATTTAAAAGAACATATTTATATAGAAAAGAAAAAATATAAAACGAAATCGGTTTTATAAAAAGATAAAACATTCATCTGTTTCTCGGCAAACTCCACCAAACATCCACTGCTGAGATAAAACTCTCCCCACATGATTTTTTCGTTTAGAAAAAAAAAAATTTCTTTTACTTCAACCACTTTGCCAGATCCTCCAATTTTTTTTCTTGGCCTGTACAACATGTCATGGGCACAAAGCTCTCTTAGACATTTGTTCCACGTTACCATAGCTCTGTTGAATAGTTTCAGCTGCTCTTTGGCCTACTTCATCGTTGTCAAGCTATGGGACCATCCATAAATCAATTTTAAAGCTGTTAAAAACGAAATCCTCGAGCCTTCCAACCATGTTCTTTTCATTATTGAAAGTTTTGTGTTATAAGTCCTACGAAAGCATCTCCATTTGGCCTTCCTGGTTGACTTCATTCGATGACCTCGATCACACGTCGATTCACGTCGGCAAGTACCCCAACATTTTAAAAATATTGAAGTGCCTGTTCTTCTGAAGGCGTCAAATTCCATATTCTAAGAAGATCCATAATATGACGAAAAGAAACACAAAGGGGCCACAAACTAAAAAAAAAGTGAAATAAACACAAACGGGTCAAAAACTAAAAATAATGAAAAATAAACACAAACGGACCAAAAGTAAACAATTTAATAAGTGAACGTAATAAGGGAATAACTGAAAACTAAACAATGCAATAACTGAAAGGTTTGGCGGGATAAGAAGAGGGAGGTTATGTGACGTGACGTTAGATAAGATAGATAAGAGGTGAGGTTTCAATCCGGCCTGCTAGACAAAAAGTACCGAATTGTTTTTTGTATTTTTTTTTCCACCATCCATGAGAGGGCGCATCCTCTGGCAGAATTCGCTAGTGTAGGTCACGATAATAATATATATATTTTTTTTATATTACATTTGAAAATTCAAGGGTGAATTTTACCTATATTTCTCTTTTCTTTAAATAGGTGTTTTTTGGTACTTTTTTCCATAATTCAAAGGTCATTATAAACTGTTAACACATATATTTCATCAGCAAATGTGAATATGATGGTGTCAGGATGAGTTGGAATGTCAGCTTTCTAAACTGTGTAAATGAAAGTCTACTGTACAACACAATCGGCTCCAATGCTCAGGAGGTCAGGTCTACCACACCATGGAATTGCTAGATAGTGGATTTTTAAAATCTTGAATAGTTAATCAAATGGTACTGCAAGTCTCACATGTTTAATGAGAGTTCAGAGATCTGATAGAGATCTGCCAAGATGGGAAGGTTTTGTCTTAACAAGGTGAACGAATGACCATTCGATATTACAAACTTATTTTTTTAACTTTTGAGTAAATTTAACAAATTGTTAACTAATACCGAACGTGGAAAGAGCTAAATATCGTTTTTTATTTTTAAAGAGAACTTCTTGATGGTTGATTAGTGGTTGATGATTGGCAATACCCTTCCGACAGTCTTTGACGCAATGTGGGAGAATGACCCATACATAATTATTATATAAAAATGAACAACTGAAATACCAAGTTCTAGTGATATCTTGAAACCAGTAAAACTAACAATTTTGAACTTAATTAAAAAATAAAAAGCACACCCAGATAAGTTGAATCATAGACTAATAAATTTGGAAATAATTTCAGGATGACAAAGAAGAATATTCAGGAGATTTGTAGAGAACAAAAGCTGTTTCATACACCAGGCCTAAATGACATACTTTACCTCCATTATCAAGGTTTAATATAACTTAATAATAATATTATTAATTGCTTCTTTTTAGATTAATATAATATTAATTGGAAATACTTTTGGTGGATTGATGAGACTCTAAAATAAAGCAATATCTTCTACATGTCCCTTAAGTTACATAGAACTAATTTAACAAAAATACGGTAATATTAAACTTCCTCTGAGAATACTCCCGATAATAATATGTAGTGCTTTCCTAAATATATTTCATTTTTGGCACCTCGGTCCTGCAAGAACCTGGACCTCTTTTGTAATCCTCCTCCACGTTATTCTATCCCGGGCTAGCATTCACCATCTTCGGATTCCCATTCTTTTTCAAAATATCATCCATTTTGTCCAGCTATATCAGACATGGTCTTCCTCTGTCACGTCTTCAACCAGGTCGATGCTCGAGAAGGTCTTTGGGAATTAAACCTTTGGGCATATGCGTCACATGGCCCAACCATCTCATATGAGTATTCCTCACAACTAAAACCGGCTTTGCATAAATCTATCGTAGCTCAACATTGGTGTGAATTTTCCACTGACCATGTTCATACACAAGACCTTAGATTCTGCTGAAACCATTCTCTCCCATGCAAGTAGGTTCCTTTCTGAAGCCTTAGAATTCACTTAAGTCTCACAACCATAGGTGACCTTGGGTCTTATGACTATTATATACTTCCTAGGAGTGGAGAGCCTAATACAGAAAATTAGCCTTGAACTCATCTATGTCTTATATCAAATGACACAGCGCCAAGGAGGGGAGGACAAGATGGGACAGCTGCTCCCTTCTAAAATTGAAAACATTTAAAATAAAATATCAATAGTTATAAAGAACAAAATTCCGAAAAATTTATTTAAAGCAACAAATTGGTTGCTAGTGCTAACTTGATATTTTGAATGAAACAAATTAAAAAAAATTATCGCCCTCTTCAAAGATCACATGGAAGAAATTTAACCCTTTGATCTGTGTGCTGAAAATATCCTTTCTCTATCAATTTTGCACTGAACTATACATACAAAGACAAATCTCTGTTCTATGATTTAATTTTAAGTTTCAACATTTAAATTCCATAAATGAAGTTTGTCTTCCTTTCTTTCTGATAAAAAGCATTAGATCTCCAACAACTCTTGTGAATCAAAGCATGATATGGCAATTACCACACTCCTTCCTGAATACTTTTAGCTGAAAAAGGTATTTATAACAATTGTGTCTTGCATTGTTTGATATTTTCAGGGGTATAATCTTTAAAAATCGGTCATTTTTTTTCTATTTGTCTATGAACTATTCTATTGTTGATTCTTACATTCTTTTAATAATATCAATGATTACAGGCTTCACTAAAATTCAAAATTTAGAAGAATACACAAATCTCAGAAGTCTCTGGTTGCAAAGTAATGGGATTCAAAAAATTGAAAATTTAGACAAACAAACAGAATTAAAGTTCATTAACCTGAATAGTAATGTTATCGACAAAATCGAAAACCTAGAAATATTAAGTAAATTGACAAGTATTGATCTTGGCCGTAATATGATATCAAAAATAGAAAATTTATGTAAGTTTTCCTTATTTATTGTTAGTTAGGAGAGATTGTTAATACATTACAAATTATGCTTAAGCTTTTGATCCATAATTTCTCAATGATCAATCTTTAAGATTAAATTTAAAATAATTTCCAGCCCAACTATCGAATTTGCAGACGCTGGACATAAATAATAATTATATAGAAACAATGGAGGACATAGAACACCTGAGAGAATGTAAATCACTCAAAAACATAGATCTTGCCCATAATTATATTAGAGACCCAAACTCCATAGAGGTAATCACTTTTATTTTCATTCTTCTGAGACAAATAATTTCAAAAATACAAGATTAAATTTTTAATAGTTGATGAAGGGAAAGTTCTTTTTATATAAAACTCAAAACTGCAAGTTAGTGAATTTAATATTTTATATACTTTACTCTGCCTTCATAAGTTTAAGGAAACATTCATGTCCAACGGTCAGAAGCCTCTAAAGTCTGTATGCAAAACAGAAATATACAATGCTTTCTTATAATCTTTTAATCCAAAACACTTGGTAATTTCCCATGAAACTTTTAATCTGCTAATGGAATCATTGAATTCTAAGAATCATCTTGGGATGACCAAGTTAGTGCAAGGATTTAAAAAGATCGGACCAGTAATCTCAGAGAAAAGCTACTGACAGGACAGTGTTTTGTATTATTTTTCGATTTTTAGATTCTACTTATCTTGAAAAATAAAACATCAAATTTTGGGGGTTTCCAATTTTATATTATCAAAAAAATTCTTGGTGAACTACTAAGGTTCATCATTGAAAATAATAACCCAAAGATAAGTTAATTGATAAAATAAGTAAAAATTATCCAAACAAAGTAAGCTCCATCATTAATAATAGTTAGCAGGGAGTCATAAGAAACAGTTAGTTTATTGCAAATAGTAACTGCTATTGATTAACTTCTGAAAATGATGCATTTTTCTATCTCAATTACTGACACAAGTTCTTGAGTGATATAATCTCAATTCAGGCCTGTTATTTTAAAAATTAATTAATCATAGTTTTTTACTAAATTTATTTTTTTAATCATGGTTAAAAAACAAAATTGTCTTTCTTTTTATACAACTAAGTATACTTTTTACTTTATAACAATCGTATAAACAACTTAAAAAACAATGTCTATTGATTTCCTTTGTTTATAAGTCAAGAATATAAAAAGTAAAATTTAAAAACAATAAGTTTTGAGGCACAGATAACTTCTATTTATTACAGTTGTCTTCTATTTTTAAGTGTAATAACTTTCTTTACCGTCATTTACAGATATTTGCAAATATGGCATCTCTTAAAACCTTATCACTCATAGGAAATCCAATCATTGGTAAAATGAAAAATTACAGAAGAAATATGATATTAAAATGCGTAAGCAGTTCATTTTTAATTTGAATTAATACTTATATTATTTTAATAATGAATAGGTGATGGATTATTTTTTTTTCTTGTGATAATAATTATGATAAAAGGATGACCAATGTCTACTTATTATTAGTCTAAATTGCATTACATTCATCTTCTAGGCTTTTATTATAGTTTATTTATTATTATGAAACAAATAGTTGACCATAGTAATAAATCTAGAAAAATACCAATGTTACAAAAAAATAAAATTTAAACTATTTTATGACATATAGTCTCTCACAACAATGACTAAGAACTCATCTTGATGACATTCCTAACTGTCTTCAATCATTTGCCTCAAGAAGGCACAAAATGTGGGCCATAACGCCAGCATTCGTTAGATACTATAAATTTAAGCTACTTGTACCCAAACCACAGTAGAAGAAATGTGGTAAATTGCTTCAGGATTTAACTAACATAATAATATCAATATAATAGCTATTCGATATTAAGATAATGTCAATATTTTCATTACAAGAGTTTAATTTAAGATACTATTTTAATGTGGAACAAGCAGCATAGTTAGTGTTTTATGATATTTTTGCTTAAATTTTGACAATCATCCAGACCAGCTTCTCCTTAAAATATATTTTATAAAACATAAAATAATATTTCAATATAGGAAGCATATTTGTCATTGGAAGTAGCAAATACAGGCCTGCTGAGCATTTCATGCCTTCCAAAGTATAATTTAAAATATTCATAAAGCCCCACTACACACCATGGCCACTTTATTACCTTATGAATCCTTTCCTGCATAGAATTAAACTTAAGTTTATTTTATCTATCCAAGAATAAGAATGTTTTTAAACTAGCTTGCATCAAATAAAAAAAAAAAAATTAAAAATAATTTTAATCCAATAGATAATTATTAGTATTAAAAGCAAGCCCTGATTATATTATTTTAAGGCCTTGAGATGATTGAGGAAAAAATTAAAACACTATTGTTTCTCATTAACTTCTCAATGTTAATGAATAATTATTCATAATTCTTGTCTTTGATTTCTAATATAATATTCACTGATTTCCAGAGAAATTTAACTGCATTAGATGAGCGCATGATTAACACTGTGGAAAGAAAGGCTGTTGAAGCTTGGTAAGACATTTATCATTTGCAATGTCATTAATCATGTGTAATGAGACAAATCTCAAAAAACATGATTTGAACAGGACAAATGAAATTTTTTCCGAGTTTTGTAGAGAGAGATTATTAAATCTGTTCTTTATCATATTATTATATATGATATTGTGTCCTATCAATATTTTCTCAAAAATATTGCTTTTTTGTTGTAGTCGGTATAAATATCCAACAGTAATATAAAAAAAGGATAAACCGAAATTGGTTAAAATGTACCATCTTATAGAGAATTTGAAACTAATGGACACACTAATACTTCAGAGTAGAGATAGGAAAAAAGACTTTCTGCCTTAATTGAAGTCAATCATATTATGGCATATTTCCTTGATTTCTTTTTAAATACTCCATCAATATATAACTTCTAATCTGTTTCTATTGGTTTACTCTCGATTTCTTGGAAACTGTGTTGTTACCTGGTAATAAAATATTTTCTTCAATCATTTTTCGGGTAATTTTTGTTTATATTTCTAATATTGTTATTTTATTTCATATTATTTTTTAAACTTTATTTTCTTCCAAGTTAAATTTGTTTCATTTTTCTTTTATTTATTTTTTTTACATCTTTCTCATCTTATATCTCTGATCTATTTTAGCCTTCATGATGGCCCAATTTTTTGGAAGATTTATCATTAGCAGTTGGGCCATAATTTTAGCTAATGATAAATATTTGCTGATTGTGTTCATTTTGTAAATCTGTTGGATGATAATCCTGAAAATCCAAAATTCTTGACATGATCAACATGGTCAAATATTGATGTAAACTTAAACTTAGTCTAAATAAATACTTTATATGTTTTAACCTGTTGTAATTATCGATAAATTTATTTAATAAAAGAATCTAGTATTTAAAACATGCCATAATAAAATATTTATTTGTTAATAGAAAAATAATAATCATACTGGTTTTCTTATATTTGGTTCAGTGGTAATTATTAATGTATGCACACAAATGCAAATTAAATTGTAAATAAAGAAAAAATCACGATTCAAAACTAATCAGCATGTTCTCAGGGCAGTGGGTGGAGTCGAAGCAGAAAGAAAAGTGTACGAAGATGATTTTGAAAAAAAAAAAAATCAGAGAAAACAGCTGGTAGATGGTAAGTAACCTCATATTTATAGGTAGATATCATGATTACTTATTCGAGCTCATCTACCACATATATTTTTTCAATCCATCATAAAGTGTTCCCTTTACTCCAGTAATTAATGTTGTTTTCTAACAGGATACTTCAATTGCTTGTTCTCAACTAATCTGAATAACACAGTCAATATCTCAAATAAATTAATTTAAAAAAAGTAGTAATAATGATAAAATTGAGGGATATAATAACTTAAAATAATGGTATAAGTATCATATAGCCCCAGTATAAGTGTTGAACTTAAAAATATCTTTTTCGCAGTTCATATTTATTTGATCAAAAATATCAGAGATTGAAAACGACAATTACCTGGAAAACATATTAAACAATAATTTTTTTCATAAAAAAATTAGCTAAATCATTTGACTTTCACTATATTACTTAATTGAAGCTTCATTTCAAAATATTCCATGAAAAATTAAGAAATATATACGAGGCTGGTGTAGACCTGCGGGCTAAGGTGCTTGTATGTAACCAAGTTGAGCAACGCCGAGCATGGTTAGCATTTGGATGGGTGACCACTCGATTTGGGTGGCTGTGCACCAGGGAAAGCCATGCTGCCCGAGACCCCCCCCCCCGGTATGTGAGTGAGACACGTCAGTCTACTGGAGGCAACCCACACCGACCTGACGTAGGACTGATGACCCTACCCCCTTAGTATTTATACTAAGGTACTTATATCAGGAATCAGGATTTGCTCAAGGAGACCACATCTCGCGGTCAAAGATCTGTATGGTTTGTAGCACCAACCAAAAAAATATATATATATTATAAATAAAAATTTAAAAATGAAAAATTGCAAGCAATACCCAATTACTTCGACCACTGCAACACGGCTTCAATTCCCACATGGGAACAGTAACATCGCCACTCAGAGATTTACAGGAAGATGAGCGGCCCCTGTGTCTTACACCATAGCTCCTGGTCCTCCAAGTTGGGGGTAGGGCATAGAGCTAATAATCCTATCCCGCGAAAAACACCTTATTACAAAACAAAAATGAAGCCTCGGAAAATCGGACTGTCTAAACATGGTAACAATCTCAGCTTTGAATCACAGACTATAAATTGTATCTAGTTTATATATAACATATAAAACATTTTTAAAAAATAGCAAAGTTGATCATGTCGATGTGAAAAGAAAAATCTAATATTTGTGTTTAAAATCAAACATTTTCCCTTACACAATCGATTAAGGATTCTTCCGAATCCATTGCATATTCTACACTGGACCAAAATAAAATAATTTGAGAGGTTTTACAGTGAAAACAAGCGAATAACATTTTTAAAAAAATATACGTAGCATATATACCATTTAAAAAAAAATAGAAAAGTTGATCATGTTGCAGCTGTAAGGAAAATTGAATATTTTTCCTAATACATTTGATTCTTTTTAAGAATTCTTCCACATCCATTGTATATTTTATTGTGGTATACCGTCCTCCTCTTGTTCCATTTCACACGTCCTTTGAATCTACCCTATTGAATTTCGTTCCCCTCTATCCCAGAATAATCATCTCAGGTGACCTCAATACCAATTTCCTATTTAACTCCAATGACAAATCCTATCTAGAAGACCTATTCTTCTCCCTTCACCTCTTTATCGTTCCTTTTTCTCCCACTCACCATACTAGCAGGTCCGACACTTGGATAGATTTCTATATTATAGACTCTGCACAAAACCTCCTCTCCTCTTCACAACTGCCAGTATCCTTTTTGTCATCTCACGATCTGATACAAATAACATATAATATCCAAACTCCTCCTATTCAGCCTCGAACTATCACCTTCCGCCATCTAGATTCCCTTACACGAGAACAAATATTACCTGACCTGGAAATCCTAGATTGGAATAAAATATATTCTTGCACTTCTATCGACTCTATGGTCGATATTCTTACTACCAATCTCCTCAATATCCTCAATACCCATGCCCCTCTCAAAACCTCTACATTTCGTCACCGACCTGCTCCTTGGATGTGTCAGGAAATTAAAGACCTGCAGAAGAGGCGCGACGCTGCTCGTAGACGCTTCAGACGTACTAGGCTTGCAGATGACTACCAAGCGTTCAGGGTGCTTCGCAACTTGACACAAACAAGGATCCGGCGTGCGAAGTCCCTCTACTTCCACGAAGCCCTTTCCTCAACTCCTGACATAAAATCAAAATGGCGACTGCTTCGTAAACTCTCCCTTTGTGATCCTTCCCAATCCCCTACTCCAGCCTTTCCAATATCCCCTGATGATCTAACCTCGCATTTTATATCTGTTGCTAATACCTCTCCTTTATCCTCCTGTTCCGACTTCCCAATAGAGATACCATTTAACGACAATAACTTTTATTTTTCCGACATTTCCCCTACAGACCTTTTAACCGCTGTAATGAAATCCCACACCAATTCCATAGGACCTGACGGCATCCCTGTCAAACTAATAAAATTATGTCTTCCTGAAATCCTCCCAGTCCTTCTTTTCATCTACAATTTCTCCCTTCAGAATTCAGTATTCCCTACATCTTGGAAACAAGCCATTGTCCTTCCTTTCAATAAAAATTCTAATCCGACCTCACCCGAAGATTTCCACCAATCTCAATTCTTTCCAACCTCTCGAAACCCCTTGAAAGATTGGTGCAATCCCAAGTCTCCAACTTTCTTGAAAAGTCCAACCAACTTGATCCTCTCCAATCTGGTTTCCGTCCCAGCTACTCCACACAATCCGCCTTAATTAAAATCACCAACGACATTCAAACTGCAATAGATGATAAAAAGTTAACCATCCTTATCCTTCTCGACTTCTCCAAAGCATTCGATTCCATTAACCATTCCATCCTTTTCAACAAACTGAAATTATTATCCTTCTCCAATAGTTCCATCTCTTGGTTTCAATCTTTCCTCTCACAACGTACCCAAGCAGTCTCCATACCCAACCAGCCACTATCTGCCTTCCTTTCTTTATCCTCTGGAGTTGCCCAGGGTTCAAGCATATCTCCTCTCCTTTTCAGCTCCTACATTAACGACCTACCTAAATCAATTCTCCATTGTTCCCATCACCTTTATGCAGACGATTCACAGATCTACCTATCATTTTCCCCTCCTGAGTTACTGGGGGCATTTGCCAAGATCCAAGAAGACCTAGATCGAATCAGTGCCTGGGAAAATGTAAATGGATTAAGGTTAAATGCCGCCAAAACTCAGGCCATTGTCATTGCTTCCAAGCCCCTTCTTAGATCCCATCCAGAATTTCCCATCCTTCACCTTAATGACCAGCCAATCTCCTGCTACTCCTCTGTTAAAAACTTAGGATTTTTCATTGATCAAAACCTCCTTTGGAATCACCATATTTCTCATATCTCTCGACGGACAATTTCCACCCTCAAACTATTCCATCGCTTCCGCCATCTCCTACCTCAACATACGCGTAGACTCCTAGTTTCCTCTCTCATTTTCCCCCACTTTGACTATAGCTGTGTGGTGTATGATGGCCTCTCTGTGGAGCTCCGTGATAGACTGAAAAGACTAATGAACAGCTGTGTAAGATTTGTGATCGGGGCCCCAAGATACATATACATGTTTCTCACCACTATGCTGAGTTAAAGTGGCTTTTCCCCTCCTTCCGAAGACAATATTTCCTAGGTACGTTCCTCTACCAAATCATCAACAGCCATCGTCCTTCTTACGCCTACAATCTTCTCCAGTTCAAATCCTCAGTCCATTCCCTGTCCACAAGATCTCGACCTTCTAATCTTTACATGCCTTCTCACAGATCTGCCTCATTCCAAAATTCCTTTGTTGTTCGCTCTGTCAATTTCTGGAATTCCCTCCCTATCAAAATTCGACATTCACCATCCATATCCAAATTCAAAACCCTCCTATTCCAATTCCTATCCCAAGAACAGTCAGATAGTTGCTAACCATTCGAGCTGATTTTAATAGAGAATTTGATACATACAAATTCATTGATTGATTCATTGATACATTTTTATTTTTTAATTCTTTATTATTTTCTTAAAAGTGTATACTAGTGCAAATAGCTTTAAGTGCCTTGTCATAGTATTAATTGTTTTGTATATAGTTTAGTTTTTTTTATATAGAATGTTTACCTTATATTTTTTTTACATTATTTCTTTTTTTCGATTGATTTTATTTTGGCCAGATGTGATCTTTTAATTTTGTTCTATTTTGTTATTCTCAAGGGACTGTGTCCCAGAATAAAATTATTTTTCTATCTATCTATCTATATTTTACACTGAACCAAAATAAAATAATTTGAGAGGTGGTGCAGCGGATAATATTTTTAAAAAATATATGTATATATAGCATATATAACATTTTTAAAAATAAGCAAAAAAATTAGTTGATCATGAAAAAGAAAAATCTAATATTTGTGTATAAAATCGAATATTTTCCCTTGCACATTCGATTAAGAATTCTTCCACATCTATTGCATATTTTACACAGAACCAAAATAAAATAATTTGAGACGTTGTGCAGTTAAAACAAGTGGAAAAAAGGATGACATTGAAGAACAAAGCCCCACAGTTGTGTAACATTGGTAAGTAGGTGTGAATTGCGGAGAAGAAGCTGAGCATTGCGGAGTCAGCTTCAAAAGCCAAACCCTGGTCGAGCCAAAGATGAGCTGAGCTGATCCTTGCTACGCTGCTCAACTCAGCTTCTGCTGGCTTGCCTTTCATTAAAAACTTTTGGTTTGGCCTTGGAAGCTGACTCAACTCAGCTCCGCTGCTCTTTCAGTAGCTGGTCGGCCTAATGAACATAAATGGTTGCTGGGATGGTCTAGCTGTCACTTAATTTAATGCTAATCAGATTAACTTAACATTTGATCGAAAGATTTAAATAAAAGGTAGAAGAAATAGTTGGTATTTGAAGGAAGATGGAGAAGAGGCTTTTTGTACATTACATAGAGATGGGCCCAGAAATCCAAAAAAAGGATGAATGAATAAGGATTTATATTTTTAAAAAAGCAGTTTAAGGAGAAATATTCATTGGTTGTGTTCTGGAGTTCAAGGAATGGATGAAGGAACACAGGGATTATTAATTCAAAAGTGAAAGGCTGATTGTTTCTCAAAGTTTAGGATAAGTAAGAACCAAGAAAATAATACTGTTGGAGAGGAATATAAAGTCACTATAATTTGATAAAATAGCAAGTGATATGAGCATTTGTAAGATAATATTGTTTTTGTCAATATATAAATTAGACAAACACCCTAACAACTGCACAAATGTCCATTCCCATAAATTCATTTAGTAATATCAAAAATAATATTATGTATTATATAATTAAAATTGATATTTCTATCTGCACCTTCTATCTATATGGGTATTTGTAATAAGTAATGAAATAACCATTGGTCTGTGTTATAAAAAATATTTAATTATTTTAAACCAATGGATTTTTCTAGTTGTTTATTTTATTAACTCAATCGCTACCACAGCTGTCAGAGATATTGACCTAATAATTTTGCTATAAGGGCTATAATTTTATTGCTACCGACTGTAAAATTAAAGGAGTTAGGGGACAATAAATAAATTGGAAGGTAAAATTGATCGCTTTATTTTAACTAATTTGGGGTTTTACACAAGATTTAAATTTAAGTGGGTTGCGGATTATACTTGCTGTTATTCCTTTCTTCTATGTGCCAATCTTCACGCTTTTCTCTTACTTTCATGGCCCCTAGCCGAGCCGCTAGGGTTTACTACTCCATGCTCTTATGGAAAAATCAGGAAAGATTTTAATGTTATTGCTGGCCAGGCTAGTGAGTTCTAATCTGTCTGAGCATCAATGCTTCAGTAATGGCGGAATATCCATAACATCAGAGGGTTGTCTTCAGTATCCTACAGGCAGCAGTAGTATTGCTTGACTTCAGTTAATCAGATGGAAAATTTGCTATGTTCCCTTAACAAGTCCATTTAATAATTGTATTATATTTCAAAATAATATTATCGGTAAATAATATGTAATACTTGTTTCAAAGATTATGTATAATCTAAATACATACATCATTATAGATCTTATGCGAAACAGAATAATAATAAGAGAAAAAGCCCAAGCTAAATGGAGGAAGCGAAAAAGTGAGAAAATTAAAGATGAAGAGCTTGAAAATGTACAGCACGAAGAAGATATCTTTTATCCTGATTTACTTGGAAGTGAGGTAACAAAATTAGCACAATTAAATACATGTCTATGACCATTTAATTCAATTGTGAATCATACAGATTGAAATAAGTATTATCTTCTATATTTTATTGATAATTTTAGTCAACAACAAATTAATGTCAAAACAGCTCTGGGAAAAATAGAAAAAAAATTGTCCAGAGCAGTGGGCAAGATGGTGGCAGAAACAGTTTCAGAAATAAATAAATACAAGGTGTGTAAATTAAGTAATGACACCAATTTTTTTCTTATTTGTTCACATTGTCTCCTTCAAAGTAACTAGAGCTTGGGAAGCCACACAGCGCTGGAGATGATTCTTCTTTTCCTCATAACAGTTCTGGAACTCATATACTGGAAGCCTTCAGTTGGTCCGTTGCAGCTGTTTGAATATTCTCCAATGTCCCAAAAAGTCGTCCCTTGAGGTGATTTTTCAATTTTGGGAACAGAAATAAGTCACACGGACTCAAGTCGGGTGAATAAGGAGACAGAGGAGCCACAGGAATGTTTTTACTGGCCAAAAAGTCATTGATAAATATCAACAAAAAAGTGTATACTTTTTGATATCGGAATTCAATTTTAACATCAATCGTAACTTTTTTTCCAGCTTCTTTTTGTTGAAGTATGATATATAGATAAATTTAAATGGTGTCGAGAAAATGACTTTAGCGAAGTTTCATTGAAATCGATAATTCGTTTAGGCACTACAGTCTATAGCAACGCAGGTTTTCTGCATTTTTATTTTTTGTTCTCCTTTATTAACTTATCGAATTCTTTCAAAAGTTATATGCAGCATTTTTTTATAACTCCGAATAATGCGAAATGATTAACTTTTTAAAATAAACCATATTAAAGGTACTTTAAAGGAAGACATATATGAACATTGGGCATTTAAGCCCTGTAAAGTTAAATCAACGGGGATAAGACTTAAATGATATTAAAGACCACTTAATTATACAATAATACACCGAGTTTAATCAAAATCGTTAGAGCCGTTTTTGAGAAAATTGTAAAAATGTGTTTCAGTGTTCATATAAAGTAGCACTTCCGGTTAGCCGATTTTAACAAATAAGTTGCTGTCACATCCGGCCCATATACAAACCTTAAATACTTAATATCAGTTTCGTACTACTTTTCGTTTATGAGCTAGACTGTTAACACACACAGACCATTTTGCGACACTTGGTTATTTGGACTCAGGGAACCTCAAAACTAGTATTTCCGTTGAAAACTGAGATTCAAAAATTTTCACGATCGCAATACTCACCCTTACTATATATTACATATATATGTAAGTGAAAGTAAAAAGGTGTGTGTTAGCCAGCTTAAGAATATTTTATATTTTTGTAGAGAAATATAAACAATAATCACAATTGTATCAGTTGATGTAAAATCTTCTAATAATCAAAATGCAAAACAAAGATCGGTCTAGTAGTAGAACATGTGCTAAACATTTAAAACGCTATATCTCTGTACCCAAGCATCTGATTTTTTTTTCTTATAATTCGGGATATTTCATTAACTTTTAAAATACCATGCATAAAATTAACAAAAAAATATATCCTTTTTGAGTTATTCACATTTCATTAAAATCACTACAGCCGTTTTGGCATTAGTCTATATAAATATAAGTTTTTCAGCTGCCATTTTGAAACAAAAGATAGGAAGATAATATCAAGTTCAGAGGATCATCCTCAGGTGACTTCTAATATTGATACCGAATATCAAAATAATTTGCCCAGTAGTTTCAGAGAAAAGCCGTCAATGAGCAGATTTCTTTGATTTTCAGATTCTACATATCTTAAAACATAAAAGCTAAAATTTTGAGGTGCTAAACTTTTTTTATTTTTTTGGTGTATTAAAAAGATTCCTTAGTTAAATTAAAAACCGAAAATCAATCAGTTTATTTAGCATCTCCTCTAAACAATAGTTGAATTTAATTATAATTATAAATTATAATTATAATTTAGTTTATTTACTCCAATTATTTAAATATAAACTATAAATTTCATGGATATCTGATGATTTAGTCTGTGTATTTATTTCATTTCACTACTCGCCCATGTTAGTCCATTAGCCATTAAAGTTTGGCAGGTAAAAAAAAAGTTCTATTTAATTATATTTAAACTCAAGACAGTAATGAAATGAAATGAAAAAATAATTTTATTCTGGGACTACTGTCTCCTAAGAATAATAACAGAGTTACAAATTTATGAGTCTTAGTCTGACATAATAATAAAAATACAAAACTAATTTACTGTTAATTGTTATTTCAATTGTGCAATAGATTGAAATTAAACAGTGTACAGATGCAAGTAATTTTACATATTAGCAGAAGTTTGAACGTAGAGTAGGTGGTGGAACAGGAGTTATTTGAAGGAATTTGTGGATGATGATTGGCGCATGGAGGTAGGAAGTGAGTTCCATAAGGAAGCAGCACGAATGATGAAGGATTTGCTGAAGGAGGAAGTTTTATGGGAGGGGATATGTAAGTCTATAGGTTGAGACCTAGTATTAAGAGAGTGGATAGAGGAGCATAGAGTAAGGAGTTCCAGGATGTAGGGAGGGTTTTTGGTTCTGAAGACTTGAAAAAGAAAAACACCAAGGAGAATTGTCGTCAGGAAGTAGGATAAAGCCACTTCAACTCGGTGTACCAGAGTGAAACATGTAAAGCCTGAAGATTCGGAAAATGTATCTTATGAAACAATTCATGAATCTCTTCAGTATCATTTCTAGCCTGGCAGATAGCCCTCCATACACCAAACAGCCGTAGTCGAAGTGGGGGAATACAAGGGAGGTTACAAGGAGCTGTCTGGTTTTTAGAGGAGCATAATCACGGAATCTTAGGATTTATTTTAGGGTAGTTATGGATTTTCAGGTAATCTGGGAGATATGGTTATTTCAGGAGAGGTTCTGGTCAAAGGTTACTCCTAGGTTTTTGACTGTAAAATGGATGGGACAGAAAAAATGGATGGGACGGTTATTGAGGTTAAGTATTGGAAAGTAAGGAAGGGAGCTAATGAGATGTCTTAATAGTACTAACATTTAGCCTTCAAACCTCAAAAACATTGCCTGTATTTTTTAGGATTCTTCATTATCATTATCGGGAATAGAAGATTTATATGATGACTTTGAATCTGAAAATGAAAGTTGTCCAAATAAGGATATTAAAGAAAATCAAAAACCAATCCTAACAGATACCACTGATGATGCCAAAGTGTCATCAGGTGTTTTAACAAGCTGCGAAATAGTATGTGATATAAATCACACAAATAAAGATATTTATGATGGTTTGATTGAAAATGCACTTAACACAGATCAGGGAAAAGATCATGAGGGAATGTCATATAGTATATCCATAAATGAGGACAAAAATATTGCTAAAACAAAAAGTGAAACTTGTCTTGATAATCATCCATTAAAAAATGATAAGAAAGATAATACAATTAATATTATAGCCAATCAAAATATTAATGAATACAAACTTGTTGAAATATTATCAACAGAAGATCTACAACAATACTCCAGTGATGAAAATGAATTCTTACACCCGATATTTCAAGATACTGAATTAGATAAAGCTAAATTGAACAAGTTATTTGAAGAATTGTTTTTACCTGATGAAGAACAGCTGAAATATAAACAAGATGAAAATTCAATTTCTGACAAATCAATACACTCAGGCATTCAAAATTTTTCAGAAGACAAAAAAGAAGAATACAACATTAAAAAATTCCTTATTAAGCCATTAAAAAGTCAACAAATTGCAGAAGATAATAAATCTTGCATGAAAAATGAAAAATTAAATCAAAATAAACAATACAATGACCGATGCGAGGGAGATTCATATGCTAGTCTTCATAGGAAACAGGAAGAATTAATAAATGAACATATGTCTAAAACAGCTAAAAACCATGGTAAACCATTGGTAATAGCAAACAATTTTGAAAACACTTACAAAAGTGAAAGTAGTTTGAAATATAAAAATAATCCATCCAACACTGTGGATTTGACTATAATCGAAGGTATGGAGGAATATAGAATAAGGCGAGGTGAACAGGAACTCGAAAAAATATGTCAAACACCAATTCCCTACATAAAAGACAAAAAACCATCAATGAAAATAGGCTTGAAACAGGCGAAAATTTTATTTGAACAATTATTTTAATAAATGTATCAATGATATTTATTTTTTTTCACTTAACTTACCTCTAAGAAAGAAATTGCCTTTGAATCTAGTTAAAGATAATAAATAAGAGAAAGAAAGACTCTTAATAGTCAATCCATAGTTTCATACTACTCACATGCATTACATTTTAATCTTCTTTTTTTATTTCATAAATTTAAGTTCAATATTAATAATTATAAGCTGTCAATGTTTTTTTATTTACATCCCTACTGTGCCTGATAGACAATACAGGTTTTAGCAGCAGTTAGATGTTATGCATATCTGTGTAACACTCACTGCTGCTAGAAAAACAATATTACAATTATCATGAGTTGAGCACATAGCTTGATTGTTAAGCCTTTAATTGTTTATCAGCCTGACAGGAAATCCTTGAAGTGCAGATAGTTTTCCACTCATTAGCGGAGAGAAATCGCTATGTCAAAAGGTAGAGACCTGTTTCTCTACAGTGAGTTGGCTCTCAGTTAAACAGGCAGTATGGGCAGCGAAAATTAGCTCGACAGTTATTATTTCCAAGTTGAAGAACATGGCTCGGAAGCCCCCGTTGTCCAGTGAGTAGTTGGGAGACCCAGTAATCCCACTTTGCTGCTAACTGGGAAAATATTTTCTAAGAGTACTTCCTATCGGAGTTGTTACCCATCACATCTGTGTCCAGGTAGTACTCTCATATTATCTTTTTACATCTGTCTTGTTCTTGATTAATCTTCACTGATTCTTTGGTAGACCTGGCAAGCCCCCTCTTAACATCTGATGCTTGAACATGTTTTCTTACAAAAGGAGGTCGAGAGGTACTCTTCCTGCCAGGGACCTGTCCTGCATCAAGAGACATTGTACTATAAGCTAAGGATGGCTGATAGTTATAATCGAAATATCAATATTTTCCTTCCAATATTCGATATTTTACCATCAATAGTATCTACTTTGATATTATAGACTATCAATATTTTAATTTAAAAATTAAAACGAAACTATCGTTTTTGGAAAGCTTTAGAAATCACATATGAGTCTCATCACTAGGAAAAAATTATAATCATCTTGCCTGTTTCATACAGAATGTAGTGCTCAATAGAGGAAAATATCATTACTTCCATAATATTGATTATCGATGGCCATCCCTAAGTAGAGTTGAATAACAAACCAAATTTGTTAGTTAGAACCTTCTCAAACCAAGGTCACGAATTATCAAAGAAATCTATGTAGGATGCAAATAAATTAGCAGTTCGCTGAATCTGATCTATGAGTGAATGGAAGGTATAATAATTGGTTGAATGGAAGTTTCTGAAGAAAAAAAAATTGAGGATGAAGAACAAGGACAGGAACTAGAAAATTAATTCTACAAAGGAGAGTAAAAAGATTGACATTTTGATTAAATAATTTAAAGAAGAAAATAACATGTTTTTTTATGTGCCTATGTGCTAAGATTCAATGGTTATATTATTGATATTCATATTTCAAAAATTTTAATAATATCGATGAAAAAATTGACTATCGATATCCCATCCCTAATGTAAGCTCTTTGGTACATCATACTGCTGGAGATAGGATGCTCTTGAGGCTGTAGGCTCGCAACAATCAGGTTCTCCAACACCTTGCTCATAAGAGGGAGGAGAAAGATGGGCCTATAAGATTTAGCCATTTGTTTATCCTTGTTACCTCCCTTGCCCATAAGATATTGACATAACTCTAGTAAAACAAGAAACTTGGAAAAATTCTCTCAGTGCAAGAGATGCTATCTCGCACTCTCAGGGATGTATACACCCCTAATTAAGAACCAAACCACCCCTAACCACTGCTATTAAGATTTTGCTCATGTATTCAGAAAATATTAGCTTTATAAAGTAAGTACACAGAGGCGTAATTAAAGCCAAGGCAACCGAAGCAAGAGATTATAAGGACTACTTAAAATTTGTTATTTTTTCTGAAGGGAGAAGTGCACAGGAACAACGTTACCACTAGAGTGCAGCCATCCTTGCACAACTGTATGAACAGAGCTAAACAGAAGCTCTTGAATAATTAATATAAGGAATATTATGAAAATAAAAACTAATAATTGAGGTTGAGAAGAATCACAAAAGGCTAAACATATAAACAGTAAATAAAATTTAAGAAATGCTAATATGAATGTCAATAGGGTAGCTTAAAATATTAATATCAATTAATCTAGAAAATAAATAAATGGTTAAGAAAACTAAATTAAAAAAAAAATCCAATAGGATATGTAATCTCTTTACGGTTTATTTACACATGGCTCACAGATGAAACAATGTACAATTTATAATTTTGTTTAGTTATTTTCTTTCATGGTAAAATACATTGTACAAATAACTGAACAGAAGGAACTATCAACTACCACACATCATAGCAAACATATGAAGACAGAAAAAACAAGCTGCCCAATATGACACTCATGCCAAATAAAATTTTCTTTACTAAAGTAACAAATAACAATTAAACATTCAACAAAGCATATGAAATACAATAATAATGACTGAACAGAGTATACATCAGATCAAAAAATTGCACCGCTAATGAATTGAAATTTAAACAAATATTTTTCTAATGACAAATAATGCTTAGAATATCAACAACAGGCATGTGTTAAATAATAACACAAGAGTCAGGAAGAAGCCTTAGCAAAAATCAAATATAGCAGAAAAAATTATTATTTTTTTCCAAAATTAAAATAGAATGCCTACTTTGCTTATTGGGCTTTACACATCTTAACAGTTATTTTAGAAAAGTACAAAAATGAAAGACAAAAAAGATTATTTATAATTCAGATTTGTAATATTCTGAAGAGGCTGTTAATTTTCGAAATCAGTCTTTTAAGAAAAAATTGTTTCAACCGATGATATTCAATTTTACTTTTCTTTCTTTTTTTTCTGTCCTTTAGTATTAAAACATTTCATGCTTCAGCCATGTATACATATTTGAGTCACAATTGGCAACCCAAAATAAAAACAGTCAAATAAGATAATAAAATATTTCTTATATCTTTATATAATCTTTACATTTTTCGATATAAAAATTGGTAGGAATTATACAACAGTTGGCAATAAAATATATATACACGTGAAAGAACAATATTGAGAACTAATTAAAACATGAGAAAAAAAAAATTTTAAAAACATATTCATCTATATTGCAAACAAATAATTGGTCTTCTAGAATCTGTTAGCTATATGAACCTAGGTTTTAATTAATTCAAAATATTATTAAGCTCTTCTTCATCTCTATATATAAAACATTAAAAAATATATATACAATAGAATTTGAATTTGAAGTATACTTCCTCGGCAAAAGCTTTCTATTGTTACCATTCAGTAACATAGCTTTTGAGCTGTTTTCTTAAAGTTTCTTTTTTTTAGTAATTCAACCTATAAATGGTTTAATAAGTTAAGCCGTGTCTTGTTTTTCTGCGAGAGGCGACTCATTCCTCTTCTCCACATATTCCTAAACAAACCCAGTTTCAAATTAGAAAATGATCATTAGAGTTCTAAAGTATGTCCAAAATCATCAAACATTTTGACAGAAACATTAAATAAAAATATAAAAAAATTAAAGAAAATAAAAGACACAGCCTAACTTAAGCATATCTGGTATATCAGAGTATACTGAAAAATTAAAATAGAATATAAATATTAGTTAAAATAATAACAAAAATGAAGATCGTAGACCTTCTATAACAATTTAACAAAATAAAAGTTTATATATCAAACAAATTTAAAAAATCGGCTAAAATATTTAATAAACAACTATCAAACGTTATAAGTATACAAAACTATTTGAATACAAATATGACATTATTCTTTTTGATAAATAATATATTAATTAGACTAAACAGAATTTCTTACTATTTAACTAATAATATTATTTTAATGACTATTACAATGATCGTTCAATCAATTTATAATTAGGATTTAAATGATGCAATATAACTGAAACTAAATTAATGGTCACTGATAATAGGTGAAAAGTTTTGATCAGAAATTTGGACAATAATATAAGTGATCTTCAGGTCATTATCGTAACCTTAAAATATTAGTAATAATATTTATTATAATATTAACAAAAATATTAATCCATCATCTTGTGTCTTAAGCAATGATGTATTTTTGTTTAAAACTTCATAATAGAAATGAAATTGATATAAATCCAATAATTGATCAAATTAATTATTTAAAAACACCATTGCTACTCAATCATAGTCAGGGATAGTTAATAAAGTTGATGCAATAGTATATTTACTTATAGTATTTTATGAGATAAATAACATAATTGGGTATATTCTGAATTCAAAATGTATGGAAATAGAATTTGAAAGTAGTGAAACTTTTTTGCCTCAAGAATTATTATAAAATCAAGGTATCAAAATCACCACAAAACTTATATTTTCATTTGAGTCACCAGAGAGAAATACATCAACTATCAGCAGGTCAGAAGCTACAATGGTGAGGAGATGGTCAGGCAAGCTAAATCTTTAAATTTAATCTTTATAAGTCATTCATCAGGGATTGAGTTATCCACAACGGTTACGCCCTTTACCACATCCACATATCATGGAAGTCTGTAATTATAATGTCTGAATAAAGACAGCATTTCAAAGCTACAAGGAACTTACCATTCCTTCAGAACTTGATGTGTGGTCAGAAAAGCCATAGATGCAATACGGAGGACATAATAACAGAAGATCAAAATGGGATCTTATAGAAATTAAGTGTCTTAACAACTTGTGATTCATAATCAAATGCAATGCAAGATCATCCCAACTAAACTCAAAAAAAGAGAGAATAATTTAAACATATTGACAGCGACACTGCAAAAGCTTGTAAGTAAAATTTTGTTAGAATGTATGGTTTTGAGGTTTTCTTGGTCTCCTCGAAATTCAAAAATAAAACTTTATTAATGCAGGAAAACAATTTATTTTGTCTTATGAAAAGTTTTAATGATAGCTTTAAGGGTTTTGCAGTAGAGTTGTTTATATGTTACTACAAGCTACTAAGTCACCTATAGAGCAATAACTGAAGACTGTGGGGCAGAAGTCACCAATCTTCTACATATAGGACTATTTACAGGTCATCTTAAAGGCAGTGGATACCATCATTTTTTTTAGTAGCTAGATATTGTTAATATATATATATATATATATATATATATATATATATATATATATATATATATATATTGTTAGGGAATCAAAAGTGATATTTATTTTATAAATATTTAAAAGTTTCATATATTGTTGAAATATCCATTTGTGATTAATTATTGTTGTTGTACAAAAAGTCAAAAAAAGTTTAAAATCTCTGTTTAAAGTTTTAGTGAAATAAAACCAAGTTTATTTCAAAAATAGAGTACTCAACTTTATTCTAGTTCGAACCTAGGGATCAGTTATAAAGGTTAGTTAGAATATTTGACCCCTAACCCAAATATAAGTGGCAACCGGCAACCGTGACAGGAAGTATTGAGTACTCTATTATATAGTTTGAATGGGTTCAAAATGGAAGGTAAGAAGACGATAAGAAGAATTTTCCGCGCTGACTTCACAAGTAGTGCTAACGAGTTAGAACAATTGATTAAATGTGATAATTTTGAAGAGGTGTACGCTTACTTGGAGCTTTTGAACGAGAAGTTTGAGATTTTGGAATTGATTCAAAAGGAAATATTAGATCTTTCAATAGAAAATGGTGTATCCTGTGAAGAAATGATATCAGATGAGGAAGTGACTGATGAATATAGGAAAAGGTATGAGATTGTTAAAATTAAGTACCAGAACGTCACTAAAGGTGATAAAATTTCTATTAGAATTAATGATCAACATTGTGTTAATTCGGGTTTTGACAAAAGAAGATTTGGTTTGGTAGAAACTCCTTTGAAAGTTTGTGAAATAAAAAATACATCATCAATCCATGGCCAGCTTTTTGGTGTCGGAGCATTTTACTATGAAAATAAAACCATATATGCTAAAGATAACGATAATGTAGATAGCATTAGAACATTTCAGAATGAAGGTAAAGACATGTATGGTAAAGATGATGCTAAGGAAGATAGCATTAGAAGATTTAAGGATGAAGATGAAGACATGTATGGTAAATATGATGCTAAGGAAGATAGCATAAGAAGATTAAAGGATGAAGATGAAGACACATGTGATAAAGATGATGCTAATGAAGATAGCATTAGAACATTTGAGGATGAAGATGAAGACATGTATGGTAAATATGATGCTAAGGAAGATAGCATAAGAAGATTAAAGGATGAAGATGAAGACACATGTGATAAAGATGATGCTAATGAAGATAGCATTAGAACATTTTAGGATGAAGATGAAGACATGTATGGTAAATATGATGCTAAGGAAGATAGCATAAGAAGATTAAAGGATGAAGATGAAGACACATGTGATAAAGATGATGCTAATGAAGATAGCATTAGGACAATTGAGGATAAAGATGGAGAAATTTATATTAAAAATGATAAGTCCAGATATGTTTCTTCGAAAGCCTGTGCTAGTTTGAAGGAGGCTAGGAGAAAAGAAAGTCAAAAAGAAAAAGAAATGCTCGTAGCGACTGAAAATTAAAATGGCATGGAAGGCTGTAGACCAGCCAAAATAAAAAGTTACGGAAAGAAATATTATCCACCTTATGAATTACAACCTGACTTTGATCCAAATATTACTCAAAGAAAATTAGGATTTGGTCCTGGAGTTGCTGGAAATGTCCTGGCAGTGAGAGAAGAAGATTTAGTTAATTCCTCTGACTGAGCGATAATTTTAGGAGAATCATTGCCTGACAAGAAAGGAAGTCGACACTGATCTCAATGAAGAAACACAGACTGGAGAAGACAAAAGTTCTGATGAGTTAAGTTTTAGACCATTCTTGGTTATATATGAAAGTTATCTTGGCTTTATAAAGATAGAAGCTGATACTTTGAAAAATACCCACCCTTAGAAATTGCCTCAAAGGATCCAAAAAGAGAAGAATGATAAAAATGATATATGTATATGTATATATATATATATATATATATATATATATATATATATATATATTCAGGTTAGGGATCAAATATAGGGTTAGGAGTCATCTTCATATGAAACAGAATGGATCAAAAGAGATACTTCTAAGAAAAAGAAGCATTCAAAAAAGAGAAGAAAAAGAAAAAGAGGAATTCTAGGATTTAAAGATGGAAGAGAGTTCCTTCGGTTATGTTTCCTTACTATTTTTGAATTGTATGAAACAATTCAAAACTCCTCAGGTGGGAGGATGATAGGGAATAAAAAGTGATATTTATTTTATAAATATTTAAAAGTTTCACATATTGTTGAAATATCCATATGTGATTAATTATTGTTGTATAAAAAATCAAAAAAGGTTTAAAATCTCTGTTTAAAGTTTTAGTGAAATAAAACCAAATTTATTTCAAAAATATAGTACTCGACGTTATTCTAGTTCGAACCTATGGATCAGTTATAACGGTTAGTTATATATTTGACCCCTAACCCGAATATATATATATATATATATATATACACACACACACACATTTTTAAGCGAATGATTTTAACCAATAAAAGGTATTGATTATATTCTTATATAAAATCATGACCATGTATAACTATATATCATATCACTTATCTGTTTTCATATTATTTCTGTTATATATGATTTAATTTTAAAGAGGTTTGGGCTGTGTTATGTTTTAAAAAGAAATAGTAATTCGATTTAAAAATCCCTGAAAATTCGGGGATTGGAGTAGAAAGCAGTAAAATATAGAAGAATCTACTATAAAAGATTGTCTGTTCTCGTCTACGACGTTTTTTTACCCACTAGAGAGTTGGTACAATTTCTTTAGGGTATAAAGCCTTAATTTTCTCCTAATCTGAATAATTCATGGTATCTGGTATCTCAGAAACTATAATAAATAAAGAGTTTAAAGGCATAAAACTGTTTCATATACTGCTGTTCTCTGGATTCGAGAAACTACTTTACTTTGATTTTACTGATTTTTTAAAAACCTGCAGTATTTCCTTTGCTTTGGTTTTACTGACTTTTTAATAACTTTTTGTTTACTCGATAGGTTTTCATTCTACATGGATTGCCAAGATTTTGTAGTATTTAACTTATGACTAAGAGAGATAGACAATAAAGTCATTCTATCGAACTGGTTCTGAGAGAGAAGCTGATTCAATTTATAACAGGAGTATGATACATAAATAAATAAGAGAAGTAAGACAGCCAGGATCAAAACTTTTCACCATCCTTATTGGTTAACAGTTAAAAATAATAATATTTGGTTTCTACTTATATCAATAGAATGAATTGTCATACTGAAAGAATATCCTTTAAACAAGTGATAAAAAGTTAATGGTAGCATAAAGGGAAGCACGTTTTGTAAAAACTAAAATTATTTCAGGAATAAAATGAGTTAACTAAAGTATGTAAAACATTGATTGAAACAAACATGCAAAAACAAAAATATTTTATAGGATAAATTTATAACATTCATAGCACTTCTGAACGCTGGTTCAACACTGAATAATCTATGATTATTAACTTTTTAAAAAACTGTCACTAAAAAGTTTCTTTTTTTTTTGTTCTGTAAAGCACCATAAATCCAATTTATCCAATTAGTGAAGAAAAAACTACTGACAAACTACTTAAACGTTTCAACTATAATTGACAATGCAAAAGGAATCTATCGACAAAAAGCCGCATCTAAAAAAAAAAAATAAAAATAAATTAGGAAACAAAAAAAAGTATTTTATCAGAAACTAATTTACAAAAGCAAGTGATATTTTACTTAAGAATATAAGACATATTCTATAGTTAAAAGGCCAACAGCTATCTATAGTGTTATTTAAGTCTACATGAGTTATTGGTATGTAACATTCGTTAATGGATCTCAAACCAAAGTAGACACAAAAAGAATGCAGTTTTTAAAAATTTTAAACATTATTAGTATTTATTTTACTTTACTTATTTTATTTTATTTTTGTAAGGCTTTTCCAGCTAGGTGAATAAGTGAACACTATCTAACAAGAGCAAATGTCTCCATAGGAAACCATTGTTTGGAGTAGGCTACAGGCTGGTGAGTTGAATAGCCAACAATATTTTAAGGATTTAGAAAGAAATCACAAAATAGGCATTGGCAAGTAGTAGTTGCCAGATACTGCATTAAATATTTAAAACTTAATTAATAGTGAGGCAAAAGTTAATAAAATACTTAATCATCTTTCACAAAATTAAATTAGACATTACAAAATGTTTTCTTCTAGGGATATACTATCATTTTTGCATTGAAATGTTCTTCCAGTAACAAAACAAAAATAAAAAAACGGAAAGATGCTTAATAAAGAGTGATAATATTCAAACTATTAATTGTAAAAAAGACTGAATCTAAGAATAACTAACTAATAAGTAAAATAAAATGAAGTAAGTGTAATCATAAAGAAATATAACAGAACAATGTGAAAGTAATATGTGAGAGCCAAAACGGTAGTAACATGAGATAGAGTGTTAAAATGCTTCTTAGGGAATGGATGAAGTGAAATCACAATCAATTTACTTAGAACATGAATACAGACAGATCCCGACTTATTAAAACAGTCCAATAGTCCATTACACAAGGATTTATTCGTGGTGATATTATTTTATTTTCCAATGTTACCAAAAACAGAAAATTATGTTTACCACAATTAATTTTTTTCTTAATCGATCAAAAACCAACAAAGTTACTTTTGAATCATGAGACCACTTTCAGTATGCCAGTTGTAGAACCATATAATGAAAAATTCAGAACAATGTTTACGTTAACACACTACTTGAAGGTATAGTAGGGATTTGTATACACAGTAGAACCTCACTAATCCGAAATCCACTTGTCCATAGGTGGGGAACTGCGGTACCTGAGGCCTTTGTGACTCATGTGGCCTCCAAACGTTTTTGCACTATATTTATTAATCTAGTCCTCTAATCCCAGTATCTAAGTAACAACAATTTGTAAATTAATAAAATTAAGCTGAATGTATGTATGGAGTGTGTGTATTAAGTGATAAATAAAAATAGCAATGGTAAAATATAATGAATTAATGTGGCCTCCATTAGCTCTGCCTAACCTTACTGCGGGCTCTAATGATAAAAAGATTTCCCACCTATGCTCCAGTCTATCTCACAGCCTCTTCCCTGGAATTCTATGGAGCCTGAACCAACAACAAGACAAAGAAAATTTCTCTGAAAAAATAAATTAATTTAAAAACTTCCTCCATTCTTTTTAATAATGATTCTTTATATGAATTATTTTGAAGATAAGATTCAAATTGAGATTTTGTTAAACCTGCTGATTTTTTAATACTAAAGAGATAGCAAAATAGATCAGCAGAAGCTTAAGAATATATATATATACATTTTTTTTTTATCTACCTATTGTTCAACATATTTTTAAAGGAACAATGACCAACATAGGTGACTTTAATTAGCAAGTAACTTACTGTACTCTTTTCTTTGATCACTATATTTTTGGTGGGTAATGTATCGAGAGTTCAGAGATTTTTAATGAATTACAATCTCATTTTTTTTTTAAATGTTTAATGTAAATGCACTTACAATATTTTTTTTTTACTTTTTGATTGGTACTATATCAAAATATAAAAAAACAAATTGATCAGCCAATTCAGAACCATAAGAGAGAAAAGAGAAATGCAACTGCATCGCTACTCTACAGTGTTGAGTTGTGATTCACACAGCACACTCATCAGTCCAACAGATATTATTAAAAAACAAAACAAAACAAAAGAGAGTCTGGTTGACTATAGTAAAATAGATCAAATGTTAGGATTTATATTTATATATATAATGTGTTATCGTAAAATTAAAATAATGAATTAATTAGATAATTTTAATTAACAAAAATGCAACTTCCATGCTGTTAAATAGTACTTATTAAATAAGTAATCTGACATCCTCATATTTATTGCGAAGAAATTAACTATCCTGCAAATAGTGTGTTAACAATGAATTTTCAGAAAGGAAAGGAAGCATAAAAATAAATCAATTGTCCATTATTTCTCATAACTCGATTTATATCCAAAATTTTAACTTTTTCCAGAATTCGATAAAGAAGGACTGACATTTCGAAAGCTGTCTGTAATGATAATGAAAATAGATATTGATGAGGCTGATGATAGTGAGTACTATATTATAACTAGTCTATTGTAAGCCAGTCCTTCATCTATTTAACTTGCCTTCGGTGTCAATGTTCGACAAGGTTTGTAACAAAACAGATGAAGCTATCACAAGCAGAAACCGCAAGTTGTACCACGGTGGTCATGATCTTGATTTGGAGGTGGCGAACCTAATAGAAATATTTGAATGAATTATGTAAATAGAGCCGTAAGCCTCTACTCACTGAAAAAAAGGAACTAATTAATCCTATGGTAACACTGGAATAAATATTATTTTACAGTGGGAAATTTTAAAAATACAATTAAAAAGTATTTAAACAAGCCTTTTCACCTTTAACACACAGAATCGATTATATGAAGTAATAAAATTTTAAACAAATGCTGAGGTTATATTCAAAATTTGGTAATAAATAATCATTCTCTTACGCATTTTGTTAGATTTGAAGGAGAAATAGTAGTATTGCCAATTAATTTAAAAAAATAATAACTATATATATAATTAAAATTAAAAAAGGGGAAGGAGCATTTGATGAAGTTAGTTTATTGGAAATTTAATATTCCATAGCAACTACAAGATTTCGACTAAGGAAAAAATATATATACATACCTTTAGAAGAAAATTATACTTCCTAAAGAATTTTTTCAAATTTTGACTAATATTTTACATACTTTGACAAAATTGTTAATTAAAAAAATTAAATGCACCCAAAGTTAATAAAATAAACAAGTCACAATAGCACATCAATATAGAATCTACATGACGTCGACAAATAACTCACAAGGGTTGCCCATAGCTATCCTGAACGACTGCCGAGACGCCGACAAATCCCCGTCCTGCGGTGGAGTTGCTGTTGCAGCAGACGACCCGCTCGACCTTGAGTTGGATCTTACACCTCTTTCACTACCTCCTCCATTCTTCTTCAAACGTGATTCTTCACTACCATTACTGCTACCTCCTGTTTGCATTATTATATAATGGTTAACTTCAGACCAATTATTAACAACTAAATGTTTGTAAAATAGTTGGGTGACTAGAACACGTTCAACCTAATAAGTGATATTTATCTTCCAGGAAAATTTCAGTTAGATGCTTTAAAAATGTTCAAAAACAGCTATGCTACAAATGCTAATAACTCCCATAACACAGTTTTAACTAAATTACAGAGGAACTGAATGAAGATGAGCAGAACAAAACTGCTTATAAATAAATTTTTAAAAAATACACCTAATCTAAAAGATAGGAAAGAAAAATGTACCAAAAACAGACAAATGAACTTTTATCAGATAGGACAGAGTCTTTAACAAATCATCAATTAATGATTAACACATATGAAATAAAAAAACATGTACAATTTGGTAATTGTATGATTTCTGAAGTAGCAAGACAAAAACCAAAAAAAAAAATAAAATAAACTCAGTTACAATTTAAAAATTTTAAAATTAAATAAAAATGATTATTACACTATTTATAAGCAAGGGGTTAAAGCAGAAGAGACATGTAGTACAAAGCTGCTCATTAGGTTGTTATACAATTATCAATGTAAATACCTAGTTCTGCCATAAATACTGTTACATAAGTTGAACTTTGTTTGTATCCCTGGGTATAATTTAGTTAATCCTTACCTCTATTAGGTTATTTTCTTTATATGTAATGATAATAATCTCAATTAGTTTCTTTTTCAGTTAACATGATTGCCTTACACAAAGTTGGAAAGTGTAGGTCAGAGATTTTCAAAACTTTGAAATCTTTGGGTATTAGCCATATGTTCGTGTACCGAACTATAAATAGATATAATGAGAACCTATCTGTATGTGACAGACCTCGACCAAGCCGTCCCCGCACTGTGAGAACAGCAAGTGAGAGCAGTGAATGCTTGAATCAGAAGAAATCCCATTCAAACAACAAATTATATCTCGGGAAATGGGAATCTCTATCAGATCAATGTCTCGCATAATAAAAAGAGACCTAAAAAGGCTAACAACCACTCCCATAAAAAAAATTAGAGTAGATAGATGCAAAGTGTTCCTTGGCCGTTACACCAATGGTCTTCATTGAAAGATTTAGTTTAGAAATGAGAAAAATTTTTCAATTGCAGAAACATTTAATCGCTAAAATGATTATGTGTACACGTACAGCTCTAAAGAAGCCAAGGAATTCATTGGAAGAGCGGAAAGAGGTCATCACCCTTCCTCAGTGATGGTTTGCTTAGATGGTACCACAAATCTCCATTTTTCTGAAAAAGTAGTTAAGATAGCCACTAAAAACTATCAAGACAATATTTTGGAACCTGCCATCAAGCCTTTAAATGATAATCTGTATGCTGGAAGTCATTTGGTTTTCCAGCAGGATTCTGCTCTAGCTCGGTCAACACAGCAGAGGCTGCAAAAGAACATTCCAGAGTTCAGCTCTGCCTCGAATTGGCCCTCAGGAAGCCCTGATCTCAACCCAATAGATTATCAGCTTTGGTCCAAACTGGAGAGGATGGCATGCCGTAGAGCACACCCTAATTTGGAAAGCCTCAAACAATCTATGGTCCGAACAGCTGAGCACTTTCCTTAAGAAGTGCTGTGTGTTGCTATCGATGGCTGATTAAATGCCTGTGTCAAGGTTAAAGGGGGACATTTTGAGTAATTTCTTTTTTGTTTTACTCTCTATAGATATACATTTTATTTTCTGATGAAGTTTTTAAAAAAGTTAATTTTTCTGTTGAAACCTGTATATTTTAGTTTTAGAAAATTGAACAATCTCAAAAGTATATACAGAGGTACTGGCTAGAAAGAAAAATGTAAAATGTTACTGTAAAGCACATTTGTGATGTAGAATAGTACATCCACTTTTTTTTGTAATACTTTCAAATGAAAGGACTGTATTCGCTGAGTTTTAGTAGAATCCCATCCACTATAAATTAAATTAGAGAACGATTTTGCTGATTAAAGGCAATTTTAACTTATTTAATATTTTTAATGATGTAGAGATGGTTGACCGTTGAATTAATATGAGAAGGAGTTAGTCGGGGGTGCGGTCAGATAAATACGAAATTAAAATATAGTAATTATTTTATTTTAATTTTGCCGACGTTTCGACCGATTTTGCAGTTCGTCTTCAGGGCGTAGGATGTAGCACTGCGGGAGGCAGTTGAAACACTACTATAATTACTATATTTTAATTTAGTATTTATCTGACCGCACCCCTGACTAACTCCTTCTCGTATTTAATATTTTATTTTAATTTCAAAATCCTCTATTTTCAAATACTAAGGTCAAAATATCAGAGTTACAAACTCATAAGAAACTGAAATTTTTCATTTGCAGAGTATTGCTTGTTAATGAACAAAACATGAAGATAAAATATCAAATAAAAATAATGAGATATTGTTAAATGATTTAAAAAGAAGTTAATATAATGAAAAAAGATACCTGAAGCACTATGAACACTCTCCTCTCGAGGAGGTGGTGGTGGTGGAACATATCCATACAAGGGAGCATCATTGGTGTACGCCTGATGGTAGGAGAGAGGTCCGTACGGAAGGTAGGTGGTTGCGTAAGGGTGTGGCCAGGATGGAGGCTGCAATGGCGGTGGCAAAGGTCCAACAGTGTCTACTTCTCCAATAATCCCTCCGTCGTCCAGCTTAAGATTACCTAACTCTATAATAGAATACCAATAAATATACATAATATCATAATAGGGTTATATAAAATATTATATATAAACCACTGAAATAAAAATACAACTGTTATACTAATTTTAATAAATGCTTTATTCTATTAAAACATCTATAATACATCAAGCTATACTTAAAAGAGGATAATTTACCTGAAGAAAGTAGATCACCGAAAACATAATAACACTGCTCAGAGAAAGTGATTTTGTTGACTGTATGCCTGATGTATCCAGCTTTCAACATCTGAGAAGCATATTTCCTGGCATCCCTCTTGTCCGTAAAACCTTCAACATGTGTCTCCAACCACTCTACCACATCAGCACCTGTAATAGAACAAAACATTCAATTATATTATATTAATTTGTAAAACTGATGCAATATTTCATCTATACGATGTATAAGCAAACTAGTACATTTATTAAATATTTGGTCAACTAAGAAGTTTTAGACTGAAATAAAGAAAGTATGACATTCCTAAACTTTAATAGCTTAAAAAAATAAATAAAATGATACATATTCAGAGGTGTCGAAGAAACGCCCAAAAAACTGGAGAAGGACCAATATAGAAACTTAGACATTGTTTTATGATCTGGATGTCTGCCAATTCATCAGACTTGCAGGACTACATTGGACATGTTGCAAGGATAGACCGTAATGCAATCCCACAGAGAATTATAAATAAACCTCTATACAGAGGCAGACAATTGGGAAGGCCATGTTTGGGCTGCCAAGACTGCGTGAATGGCGATGCAGATAGACAGCTAGGTGTCAGAAATTGGAAGGCAGCAGCAATCAATAGAGATAACTGGCGATCCACCCTGGAGCAGACCAAATCTCTAATGGCCGGGATGTATGGGATGGTGCCACTCAATAATAACAAAAAATAAATCTTGGTATTTTAAAATCCATTAGTCAGTAGATGTATGGGTAAAGGGAGCCTGTGAACTCAGTGGCAAGTTTAGATTTTTATTTTATTTTGTGAAAAAATATTCATTCCTATTAAATTAATTTTTATCAGAGTAAAATATTTTTTAGTACAGTTAAAAAAAAAAAGAGAAAGAAGTTCTCACTTCTTGTGGACAATAATAACCGCTTCAAAGACTCAGACCATTCTCATGAAGAGAAAAACTGATAGGGCCCATCCTATTAATATAACGATTCAAGGATTGAGAATATGTTCAAGTGAGGTGGTCACTTATCTTGGCGCAAGGTTTGGAAAAAGATAATAAGCTACCCCTTTGAAACAGGGTGGCTCAATCTTTTAACAGTCGATTTATAAGGAAGTTATAATGGATATCTTTAGGTATGTATTCCCTGCCTGGAACCAGAACATCACGTGACGATAAAAGAGTATTTTGGTGATAATACAGAGAATGGCTTAGCTGTGAGTCACCAGGGCATATCAGAGCGTTTTCCCTCAGTTAGTCACTACGGAAAACTACCCGTACTACAAAGAATTTGTGTACGGGTGAAAAGTCGTGGTGGGTTCAGCCCACTTCAATCTAAAAGTAAGAAGAGGAGGAGCTAATGGACCATTGGTTTAAAAAGCCAGTACTTGTGTCTTGGACGGTCAGGTCAGCATCTCCCTTCTTATCTTATCTTACATCACGGAACCTCCATTGTTACCTTGTGTAAGCTCTTGTTATCCTTCGATCACGTGTGCATTATTCAATTGTTTTCAGTTATGTTTGTTTTTTATTAATTTTGTCATCTTCTGTTCAAATGGATATAATTACACTTGGGGAATTGCCGTCTTCAGAAGAAGTTTCAAATACTTTCAGAAGGTCGGGATGATTCCAAAGATGAAATTCTGTGAAGAAGATCATGAAATGAAGTTAGACAGGAAGACCAAACGGAGATGTTTTCATAGCAGTTGTAAGAAAAACGTATTAATAAGAAAAGGAAAGTGATTAGAGGGGTCAAGGATTAAAACGGCTTTAAAATTTATTTATTGCTAGTCTCATAATTTAACAACAATCCAGTGGGGCAAAGAGCAGCTCAAACTATCCAACAAAAGTGTGGTAATGAGGAAACAATTTTTATGAGAGGTTTATGCCCATAGCATGAAAACATGTAGAAACAGGTCAATTAAAAAAATTGGAGGGCAGGAAAAGTGATTGAAATAGAAGTGTCTTTTTTCTAAAAAAAAAAAGTCATGTAGGGAAAGTTCTCCCTGAACAATGGATGATTGGTGGAGTTTGCCGAGAAACAGACGAGTGTTTCATGGTAAAAATATAGGACAGAAAAGCAACTTTATTAGAATGAATTAAAAATAACATAGAAGAGAGAAGCACCATATATTCTGACTGTTGGAAAGGATACAACACCAAAAACTGCATGAAGCAAATTATAATCATTTCCAGGTGAATCACCGGTAAACTTTGTTGATCCTTCAAGTAGGGTCCATACTCAACACATAGAACAATTATGGGGTGGTTAGAGCTAAGAGGAGAAATAAAACATATCGAGAAACTGCGAGGTAACACCTAGATTCCTATTTATGTGAATTTTTGTGGCAGCGGGCTCACAGAGAAGAGGATCCATTCCTCACTATTTTAAATAACTTTAAGCTATTTTGTCTGCCAAAATAAATTAAATGAAAAATAAAAGTGTTTTATAGGTATATATGTTGTATATATAAAGTATGAATGTATATACATTGTATGTATTAAGTGTTTATGTTGTATATTGTCTCCCTATTCTATGTATTTTGTTTATTATGAAAATAAATAAAATTGTTTTATACATATATACATATATATTTTTTTTTATGTTGTAAAAGAAAAGTGTTTTGTTATTATTACATTTGTTTTTGTCTATTTAAATTTTCATAAATATGAATACGAAGGATAGGTGTTATCAGTATCAGAATTATCAATTTTCAAGTTATAAACATTGGTAGATAGCAGTCCCTCCGGAAAGATCGCCTGAGACACAAGTACCGAAAAGCCTATGATTGAAGACAAATGATACAAGAACATCTAGAGATCCAGAACAGATGATCAAGCTTTACTTGCAACAGTGAGATGTTATGCTGAAATCCCTAACATCTTACTACTACAGATACCCATACGACAGGGTTTAAATAAATAAATAATAATAGTTATAAAAAAACAGTTTAACATATTTTTTCATTAACATACATGAAATCTATGTTCATCTATGACATGATCATCATATTTAAATATTATATGATATTGATGGTGAACTTTCACTAAGGTAAATATATATCACAAGATCTCAATACCTATGATCACACAACCATCATGGCTAAAACAGACCAGGTAGGTCTCTTAAAAAGATTTAGAGTAGATTACGTAGCCTTGGCTCTTCTAAAAGATGTTGGATAACTTTATTTATTTATTTTTTTCAATCTACCACTTAGACTAAATAAGATTACAAATACGTATATATAATAATTAAAATACTTCAATAACGTAATTACACTCAATAATATGCATAAAGCATAAAAATATATTTACATAATTCAAAATACGTAAAACTTCAAAAAATGAATAAGTAATACCTTGTAAAAATATTATCATATAGTGTAAGTTATGAATTTAAGTTTTAAAAAAAAATTATACATACCAATAAATGCATTAGGTATTGTTATTTTTAGCCATAGCCTATCTCTAATTTCCAGTCCGGAATCTGGGCGAGCCATAGCCCTGACGATGGTCAACATATCAGTATTGGTAGTGAGATGGAGATCATCTATTGCCCGGTCTAGGTCAGGTATAGAGGAGGTGATGGAAGAACTGTTAGAATCTAATGTTGAAATTGATGGAGGCCTTAATGGATAGGTTTCGCCTACAAAAAATAATTTAGAAATGAGTACATAATACAAATAACAGTGATAAAAAAATGGGAAAGTAATAGGCATATACAAGGCGTTTTCAAAAAGTAACAGGAATCATCATTTTTAGAAAAGAAGTTTATTTATTCACCAACAACAATGTTTTCACCTTAAAAGTACTCCCCAATAGATATTATACACATATGCTAGCGCTTCTTCCAGTCCACAAAACACTTCTAGAAAACAATCTTTAGGATAGCATTTAGCTTTCTCAGCGAAGCTCTTTTAATCTCATCTGCTTGAACAATGATGGCTCTTTATTTAAGGTTCTTTTTATTTTTGATAAAAGGGAAAAATCACCTGGGGTTGTATCAGGCGAATACGGAGGCTGGGGCATTATTACAGTGTTGTTTATTGCCAAAAATTCATGAACAAGCAATGAATTCATGAATTGTTTTGCCACAAATCACGATTGTTTTCTTTGGATTGCTTCCTGCACAAACAACATACCACTTATAAGTAGTACAAGTTTCACTTTTTCTGAATTTTCATCAGTAGTGAAGGTGATAAAGCGTCCAAAAGACTCATCGCCATTGACGTCTTCTCGGCCATCTTGGAAACGTCTGTACCACTCGTAAACCCTTGTTTTACACATAGCACTCACCAAAAGCAATATCTAACAAAACTTTAATGCAACTTTCCTGACTAATTTTTCCAACAAATTAAAAATAGAAACACAACCAACCAGGCATAGCCTTCTTTACAACTGATGAGAGCCTAACCACCACATGTGGCTACCAGTGTACAGATGGACTTTAAGATATTTTCACCAACATAAATACAAAAAAATATCAAAACCCAATTAATACAACCAATTGTACGATATTAATTCTGTTACTTTTTGAATACACCTTGTACATAAACATATTCATAGAATAGAAAAGGCAACATTGTTCTGGAGCAAAATCTCTTAAAAATAACAAAAGTACAGAAAAATAAAAAATATTTCTTGCCATAACACCTTCTGAATTAAAAAAAATAAATAAAATAAGTAAGTACTTAGTTATAAAATTATATTAAAACAGATGAATGGCAAAACAATGTTTAAATTAATATAAAGGAAGGAGATGGTCCAGGGTGGTGGTCATAAATCCTATTGTATAGGTCAACTATTAAATATTAAATTAATATACATAATTGCATTTAAAAAAAAAAAAAAAAAAAAAAAAAAAAAAAAAAAAAGGATAGTAATATATATATATACCTAGTTCTGCCATAAATACTGTTACAAAAGTAGAACTTTGTTTACATCCTTCAGTATTATTTAGATAATCCTTGCCTCTATCAGGTTATTTTCTTTACATGTCAGGATAATAATCCCAATTAGTTTGTACTTTTTTTTTGCACATGGAGTGGGATAATAAAGAAAACCGAACAGCTGTGATCGTCTTACACAAAGTTGAAAAATGTAGGTCACAGATTTTCAAAACTTAGAAACTTTTGGGTATCAGCCGTGTATTCGTGTACCACAATGTAAATAGATATAATGAGACCCTATCTGTATATGATAGACCTCGACCGAGCTGTCCCCGCACTGTGAGAACAGCAAGTGCAGTGAGAGCAGTCACTGCTGGAATCAGAAGAAATTCCATTCAAACAACAAATCATGTCTCGGGAAATGGGAATCTCTGTCAGATCAATTTCTTGCATAGTAAAAAGTGACCTTAGGATGGATGCATTTCGAAGAACAACATGACAAAGGTTAACAACCACTCCCCTAAAAAAAATTAGAGTGGATAGATGCAAAGTGTTCCTTGGCCGTTACACCAATGGTCTTCATTGAAAGATTTAGTTTAGAGATGAGAAAATTTTTACAATTGAACAAAAATTTAATTGCCAAACTGATTGTGTGTACACGCACAGCTCTAAAGAAGCCATTGGAAGAGTGGAAAGAGGTCATCACCATCCTCAGTGGTGGTTTGGTGGGGAGTTTGCTTTGATGGCACCACAAAGCTCCATTTTTCAGAAAAAGGAGTCAAGACAGCCGCTAAAAACTATCATGATGATATTTTGGAACCTGACGTCAAGCCTTTAAATGATAATCTGTTTGCTGGAAGTCATTGGGTTTTCCAGCAGGATTCTGCTCTAGCTCACAAGGCCCGGTCAACACAGCAGAGGCTGCAAAAGAACATCCAGAGTTCAGCTCTGCTCGGATTGGCCCTCAGAAAGCCCTGATCTCAACCCACTAGATAACCGGCTTTGGTCCAAACTGGAGAGAATAGCATGCCATAGAGCATACCCTAATTTGGAAAGCCTTAAACAATCTCTGGTCTGAGCAGTTGAGCGCTTTCCTCAAGAAGTGCTGTGTGCTGCTATTGATGACTGGCCACGAAGATTAAATGCCTGTGTCAAGGGAAAAGGGAACATTGTGAGTAATTTTTTTTTTTTTTTTTGTTTTATTCTCTATAGATATTATTTTATTTACTAATAAAGTTTTTGAAAAAAATAATTTTTCTGTTGAAATCTGTACATATTTCATTGTAACAATATTTATGACAGGATTAGATATATACAAAAACATACGGTAGGAAATAAGCGTGAGTAGTATATTCTGGATTAGTAAAAACGAATCACAAATAAAAAAAATTATAAAATAAAATCATAAAGAAAGGAATATTTAATGAAAACACCGAATTTTAGTTATATTTTAAAATTTACATTTATAAATGCAATAACAGTCTCTACTCTTTGCTGGAACCACAACTATGATTTCCTCATTTGTACAGCACCTCTGAGGATTAAAGGATTATTAGTAGCTATCAAAACGGATAAAATATTGTGAACCATCGATCTGAGAGGAAAATTTAGTAATTAATTAAATATTAAGACATCATAAAATAAATATTTTTACTTTAAAAACAATTGATTTAATAAGGCAATGTCTAAAAATTATCACTTACTATTACCTCTGATGGCTGCCGTGTGTGCAACCCAAGCTCCAGGGTCTATTGGCCTCACAGGTTCAGTCCTTGGAATGGTAAAGTACCCCTTTGGATTAGGATCCCAACACTTGGCCACAACTAATTTGATAGGCCTATAAATAAAACTAAAATAATGTTTTGTCTGCAAATAATACATATCCCTATATTTTTTCAAGATAATTATAACTTATTCTTCTCGATTATTCTAAAATATCTAAAAAAGAGAAAGAAAAAAAAAATAGAAAGAAATACCCTGGTTTCTGGACCACTTCACGCAGAACTTTCACAGCCTCATCATTAGACATGTCTTCAAAATTAATATCATTTACTTGAAGAATCATATCACCTGGTTCTATCCTTCCATCCAAGGCTACCGCCCCCCTAAAAATTAGAAATTTTTTATTAAAACTTCACACAATGAGGATTGAAGCCAGATCAAATAGAAGAGATAAGATTTAAAATATGCACCCATCATACAAAATATTGCTTGACAGAGTACTTAGATTTCCTTATCAAGTCATTTGATTACCCAGGAATTACTATCCACCAGTTGCTGTGCTTTGTATATTTATAAGATATTTATATGTTTCAAATAAAATTTTGGAAAAACATGAAAAGCTTCTAGATTTTGAACAGAAAGTGCAAAAGAAGCCATGAATATACCCATTAGATGAAAACAGAATACTTTACATCTCATTTAACAATTTACAAGACAAAATGACAAATGTAGTGTTAATTGTTAAATATTTGTAGTAATTACAATATTTCAAAGGTATCGTTCACAGACAAGCAAAGCAGACTATCATCAATAAAATATTTAATGTCAACACTGGAGAAAATGCTAGATAAGAACGAATAGCTTTCTAATGTTGATATCATGGTCAGTTTTTCTTTTGAAAAAATCATTTCCATAATTTATGTTGCCATTCGAATGATTATTTCAGAAAAAATAATACAGATAAAAATATCACAATTCATTATTAATACTTTGAACAGATTCCTTCCACGAACAATCTAGAGTGATACTATTTTTTCAAGAACCAATATTTTTTAGACACAGACTAATTTCACAGATGGGTTCAGGAGCTTTGGGAATCGCTTGTGAGTCCAGTCTGGCTAATTCATTAGCCATCTCATTACCATAAATTCCAGAGTGATCTGGAATCCATTCAATGTTTACCTTATTGAGTTTAGATAAGTCATTGAGAATTCTTCCACAATCCTCAACAGCCTTAGATCTAGTTTTATTTTTTGTATTTTTATGAGTTGTATTTATTTTTATTGAATTACTTCAGGCAAGTTCTACTCAACGAATAGTCTGCCTGCGCTTGTGTTTACTTCGTCCTTTTCTAACGTTAAATTAGAGTATTTACCAGTCACAGAATCATTTACCTTCCTCATATTTTTCTTTCTTAAATTATAAATTCAATATGGACAAGATAGTAAAATAAAAAGTAAATATTTATGCCTACATATATATTTATATTTATAAATCATTTAATCTAGCACAAAAATGTGCAATTTAATGCAACAAAAATCAAAATCGTGCAATTTAAGCCAAAAACGGCAAATGTGCAATATAAAATTTAAATATGTTATTCTACAGATTCTGAAACAGATAGATATTCAGGTCTAGGGTTTTTAGAAACAAAAGAATAAAATGTGCAATAATATGGAAATTTGGTCCCTGACAGAAAAAAGGTCACACCTTTTGCATACACTCTGATATATTTATTTTCATATATCATTATAGGATTCAACCCATTTTGTATCATAGAAACAACAATTGCATCAAATTTGTAATTGGGTGGCTGCTGCCACAGCTTAGCTTCACACTGAATGCGAAAATCATTCACTTTAAGAGGAAATTTACCTTTAAATTAACATCATTCAACAGAAAGGAACCAATCATCGTTGTACATGTTTAAATTAAACTCAATTTAAATTTAAATAGTCTTGGAAAATGTAAAGCTTTCAAAGGTAAGAATTCAATTTTTGTCAAATAACTAATTTTATTTATTCCAAACTATTGTTATTTTTTATTTATTTTGTTTTGATTGTATCTATTTTTTGATTTATACATTTTTTTGTATTATTTTTTTTTTTCTAGAATCAGACCAGCCCTTCTTTGTGCAGGTTTCGTAATAGTTGTTTTTAAGGGGAGCGCGTTATCAGCCCACTGACCCTGAGTCAAGTAGTGGGCCTGCCTCCTCAGAGTGCCTTGACACACTCCCCCATTCAGTGCAGCTACCTAGGGAAGGTGACCCTAGGGTTTGTAGTGTATATGACCTTCATCTGAAGTGTAGGGGTGAGTGTAGTGTGCTGCATACAGTGTGCTGTGTGTGTATGTCAGTGTACTGTTTCCCTAACCTGGAGAACCAGTGGCTCTTTGCAGTACAATGACCTGAACAGGGGCCTAATGAAGTACCCAGAAAGCTTCTAGAAGAGCAGATCTAAGGATCAAGAAGAGTTGGCATACCAAGACTACAGTGGGCTGATGGTGTGGCAGCCGACGTGCTGACTCTCTTAAACCTCCGCAATTGGATAGTAGCCGCACACGACAGGGAAGACTGTCGGACTAAGTTGTAGGCGGCCCTGACTCTTCGAGAGTTGTAGTGCTATCGAGGAAGGAAAATATTGTTATTATATCAATTAGTTAGTATTTTGGTGCTAAAACCTATTGCCAGGTTTCATCAAGCTAAAAACTTTAAATAGACCTGCTATAGAGTTGAGCACTTCTAGAATGTCGGGCTGCAATTCAGTAGAGAGATTATATCAGAAGCTTACTGGGTAAATCTATTATATAAAAAACTGATCAAAAATAACCTCATTATGGTTTGTTTATCTTTTTTTTCAACTTTCAACTAATTTATTTTTTGGAAAAAGTTATATTTACGATGTTTTTAAAATTTAAATAATATATTGCGGATAACTGAACTAAGAAATGGTCCTTTTCTGTTGAAAATAATTAGCATTAATTCCTTTTAAAATTATCTCTAACTTATTTTTATTCATAGCTTGTGAATTGGTTCCCTTCTGAAGAATGCCATCTACATAACTTAATAATCAATAAAAATTACCCTTTCATTATAGAACCAACATAGATTCCTCCATCACCCCCCTTGTTACTCTGCCCAACAATGCTGATTCCAAGAAAATTGACAGTGTCCATATTTAGGGTGACAGTAATAATGTTGAGACTCATCGTTGAATCAGTGATGGAAGAGTAAGAAGATGTCCTCGACATGGGAGCACGCTGCCGCCTTACCCTTCGTTGTGCTCTTCTCCTTCCCCGACACATAACGCTACTGCTTTCTAGAAGAAAAAAAAAATATATAGCATTAACACACTTTTTTGTTACTTATATTTGTTAAATATACTAGGTTTCATGAATTACGACTTATAACAATTAAAACTATTTATGTAAAAGTTTTACAGCTCATATATGAAAAAAAAAATAATAAATTCAAGGATAAGCATTTCTATTAAAGGGACAATATCAATAAAGAAAATGTCGTAAGTCGTATCCTATCAGAAATTGTTATATTGAGGTGTACGCAGTTCTCATCCAAAAATAAATCCTCACAATATTAATTTCAGAACAAGCTTCAGATCAGGATGTTACTTTCCAATTTCAACATAAATCGTTTAAAAAAGGAGTTTTTAGTATTGGCCTCACATTTCTAAGATAAACAGACAGGAAGGCTGCTTAAAACACCAACAACTCAAGCTAATAAAGAAATAATGAAAACTGTGTAAAATAATTTATAAAATTGAAAATTGGAAGTAACAGAGTCAAATTGAAATTCATTCTGTAAAAATTTATAAAATTAGATGACAAAACTAATAGTGAAGGGAGCAAGCTCTATACAGTTATAAGAATATAGATCTGTAAATGTACAATCATCTTAAGATAAACATTTCTTTAGTTAAAATACTGTATGCTAATTCTAAGATAATAAATAATCAGATTTTTATTCACTTCTTTGCAATTTTTTTTTTTCAATTGGGTCAAATTTCCGATATGCGGTTTTCGACGGATCTATACGTTTCAGAGCCTCCTGAGTCCGAAAAACACTTTTTTAGACATTGGTCTGTCTATCTGTCTGTGCGGAGATTTTTTCGGGAACTACTCAACCGATTTTGTTACTTCTTTTTTTTATTTCGTAGGGTTTTGACTACTAATGTCTGTGACGGAAATTCGGTGCTCCATGCGCAATAGCTTGCGTGAAATAAATGAAAAACATGTTTTTCTATAGACAGTAGCACGAAAACTTGGACAAATTGAGTTTAAAAGATGAGAAGGGTCCCACACGCACTATTCAACTCTACTTAGGGATGGCCATCAATAATCGATATTATTGAAATAATATTTTCCTCTACTAAGCACTACATTCTGTATGAAATAGGCAATATGAGTATATTTTGGATTTTTTTTAACGATCAGGTTCATATATAATTCCTAGCGATTTCCGAAAATGACAGTTTATATTTCAATTTTTAAATTTAAATATCTAAGGATAAATGACATTGATAATCAATATACCAAAATAGATACTTTCAATGGTAAAATATCAAATATCAGAAGAAAAATATTGATATTTCGATAACATCAACAATCTATGGTCATCCTTAGCCTTAACTAAGAAAGTGTTCCTATGATTTGAAAATAGTGAGGAGTAGTCCTATCCAAAACCACCTTTAACTCATATTTGTGGATTGGTTTCCTTCTGATAAATGCTGTCCATTTAGTATATAATTATTTGAATATATCATTGGCTAAAGTTACTAAAGATAATGACCACCTTTTTCCAAACAGTAAACACAGCATAAAATATTTCCAGTGGCATTCACTTTTACTTTCACAAAAGTACAATAAACCAGTAATGGAACATCCAGAACAATTCAATGCATTTTATATATTTTTGGTTTGTCAAGCTAAAAATAAATTGTAAAATTTCCATGGAAACATTCAACCTGAGAAAATGTTTCTTGATAGTTAGTTGTCAAAAATTCTGCCATAGATTATATTCAGCCATTGAGCAAGTTCCTAAACACAGTGCGATGCATTATTTTGTACAGTTTAGAGATAGATCTAATGTCATCAATAAGCTCACCACTGAGTTTAGGTACTTGCTTCTTTCTTATTAGTACTAACAACAAGAGATTGTTAATTATCTCAAATAATTAAATTGAATATTAAATTTAAGTTTTTTAGAAAGAGAAATTTTAAAAATTCGGCATCTGAGTTCTGTCAGAAAGGAGGATAATACCTATTCAATATTATAAAACATCAATATGGAACATTAAGGTCTTTATGGATGATTTTATTTGTGACAAAGTAAGGAGCGTTGAGGATTTTACAAAGGATTTTGGATTGTAAGGATTGGATACGAGAGGAATTTGATGGTTTAGTGGAGCCCCAGGGCTCAATTCTGTAAGCCCAAATAGATCTTATTATTGTCATATATATGAGTCGTTTGTAATTGATTGAAAGCTAACAGCATTTGTCTAGTAAGTGCTGCAGTAGTCGAAAATGTCGGGCAGTTTCTAGTCGTTTCAGTCTGGTATGGGGGTGTACCTAACTTGAATACATAATTGCAGTTTTCTCTGGCTTTAATTTCAATCTAAACTGTTCACATACATACAGACCATTTGACAAGACTTATTTATTTGAACTCAAGAGACCTTAAAACATGTATACCTGATGAAAACTCAAATTCAAAACTTTTCAGTATCGTAATACTTTTCATTACTGTATCAGACATATAGAAAATAATTATATGATGAGATATTCAATTGAAGATTTGTATGATTGAGTAAGATTCTGAACCCAATAATTCAAAAAGAACAAAATGATTTAAATAAAATTGTCAAGACACACATAAATGTAAACACCAATTCAAAGACAGTTTCACTAAATGAGACAAGACAACAAAAGAGAGAAGAATAAGAAGTATAATCTAACGACAATGCAGGCAAAGTAAAAAATATTTATACTTCAATAAAGAAAACATTCAGAAAACTACTTACAAAATAGCTGATATAATGAATGGATACTAATCCAATTCTATTGTGTTAACAAATGTTATAAAAATTATTAAATATTTAAGAATAAGATCAAATATACAGAGTAGATAACATTCAAAATAGGTAAAGATATGTATATAAAATTTCACATTCAGGAAGAAGGTTCAATTTGCTACTGAAAAAAGTACACTACATGTTAATTTTAAAAATAAATGTGTTAATTTTGAAGTTCAATTATATCGCATTACACAGACCAAAACATCAGAATATAACTCACCATCCTCCTCATCCTCTTCTTCTTCTTCGTTTGCAGCATTAAAATAATGGGGAATGTAAGTACATTAAAAATTAAATGTATACATTAATATATAAGTTATTAGATAAAATCATAAAACAGTTATAATATGAATTATTTATAAATACAACCCTGAACAAGCCAATTCAAACCAGTGAACTAGTAAATAAAATGTAATTAAGAAAATGAGAAGAAGCATGAAAAATAAAACGATAAACAATTTAATGCTAGTGGACTATTTTCCTTTTCGAAATGAAAGCATAATGACAAATTATTCCAAATATGTAAGTTAGAAACAGGTTTTCTTCAATCTCATGAGGATTATTGTGGGGTGTGTGACAAAGTTGAAGAAATAAATAACGGACAGTATTGAAAACTACAATCAAGGTAGTGAGGAATTACATACATCAAACCTAATAGTAAACTGAAATTACTAATCTATTTCTAAATTTTTTATTGATATTTATAAAATTCTCAAGCTTAAAAACTGATAACTCAGATGAAATAACTTAATAAATATTAATGGATACCTATACAGGTATCATGATACAATTTGAGATGGCTTTATTTGATTCTTCTCTCAAATAATTTAGTTAGTTCAGTAGAGATTTATATAGATAACAACATATTTATTTAATTTATTTTCAAGAGACTATTATGAAATGTCACTTTTGTAATTTTTATACCACCATACGAAAATAATGTTAAAAATATATAATTTAAACTATATCACATTTAATAAATAAATAAATTTCCCGTGAAATTTGGGAGATGCATACATTGAATCAAGATATAATTATTATACAAAAATACATAACATCTTAAACTTATAAAACAGAAAGGGAAGTTTTGCTAAAAATAAACAAGGAAATCAAACTATATATATGTTTCAAATTAATGAACATTGGACAGATTAATTGAGTAGATATTAATAAAAACAATACCTAATCACATAAGCATAATAACTGGTACAAACTAACAAAGGGTACAAATAAAAACTGGGTCATGCGTCCTTACCTTTTTCATATATGTCGAAAAAAGGTAGTGGAAGTGGGTTGCAATCAACGTGTATCACATTACATGAATAAGTGAGATGTGAATCCATCAAGTGCAGTCCTTTAATAAAAATTAATTCTAAGAACTGGAATAGGGAAAAGTGGCTAAAATTCGAAAATTAACCTGCTTTATATTTTTAACAAAAAAGATATTTAAATAGGATCTTGCTTGGGCAATCAATGAATATTTTTTTTTTCAAATATTAAAATTAGAAATATAACAAATAGATGTTAACTTCTATTTTAATCCTCACAAAGGAGACTGAAGCAGGTTAAATTATGACAAGTTAAATGAATTTTCTGTTAAGTACATGAAATGTTCAAATAATTTGACAGGAACAATTCTTTGCTGACACACACATCATTTGAAGCAATTATTATAGACAGCTTGATTCCTATAAAAGAACCCTTAATCACAAGTCCAAAACCACTGATATATGGTAATGAAAGATTATGGGGATACTGAAGGAAAATGAAGTGCATAACCAGGTGAGTCACAACATTATTTTGTGTAACACACGTCAAGCATTATTATAATTTTAAAAAAAATTGGTCAATAAACAATATTGTTAATCGTAAGAATCAGAATGATGTATACTCTTATTAACAAATAAATTCAAACTATCAGACATAGACAAACAATAATTAGGAATAAAAGCCAATAAAGTTGCAAAAAGTCAAATTCAAGATAAGAAAAACTCATCCACTGTTTATTAACATACCACTAACTCTAAATAATAAATTTTTCAATTAAATAGGTTGCAATTAACTGAAATATCTCGCATTTGTTTAACACCAACAAAAACCAATATTTTAAATCTGATGTAAGATAGTTTGCATTACATACCAATTGTATTTCGGTCCACTGATAAATTAGTAGCTCTACCAGTCGTTGTTGTAATTCTACTAGATGCATCATCTTCACTCTCAAGAAAACTGGTAGTTTCCAAATCTGAACTAAGCATGGATGAAGACTCATAACCATGTAATCTTGATTTTACATGTCCATTAACTTTGTGACCTCAAATAAAAAAATAACACATTTAAGAAAACATCAGTTCAATAAGTAAAATATAACAAAAAAATTAGATTGATATAATACCATTGTACTTGTGGTACTTGTCATGTATTCTCGATTCATGATGGCCATGATGACCTGAAAGAATAGATGACATTGATAAAAATTGCAAAATAAATTCAATAAACCGGTAAGGAACATATCATTACCTCCAGGACGCGAACTAATTACTGACTCCGTTTCAGTGCAACTCAGGTCATTTGAGCCATGATGGTGCGAAGAATGGGCACCACCATGCCTAAAATATAGTAAATTACAATATAAGAACTAAAACTTTCTACTTGCACCACAAAAAAAATTCATGAACCTACGGTATGTCTTTATGTCTTTCTGGATGGCTTTTACCATCTGAATGACTCGCACTTTCTGTACATTGAGAAGTTCCATCAGATACATTACTACCATCAGCAGACACCAACTATAGAAAAATTACACAATTTAATAATAGGAAGAACTGTTTACAATCTATTGATAAGGGTTACTAAACTTACCCAAGAAACGACTCGACCATTAAAACAAGGCAAATGAGCTTCATCATCAATTATTTCCTCTTTAACGACTCTATATAAAAAATAATTGCTATTTGTAATAGAATAGAGAAACAGAATGTGACACTTAAACACAGGAAAGCTAATCTGACAATAGGTTAACTTGTATGGTCTTTAAATTACAAAACAATAACCAACATAAACATTAATTTAAACACTGGAATTTACTTCAAATACAATATCTTACCCAAAATCATCGTCCATAGACTTAAAAAAATATTTGTAGTTCGGTCTGTTAAGAACATTTTTAAAGTCTGCTAAGGTAACTTTTTCCGGGGCAATTGGAAGTTTCACTAAATATGGAGTTTCTTCATCGTCAATATGATATATAACTTTCGTTTCATCCATGCTAAAAACATTTAAAACACTAAAATTAATACATTCTATGACATTATCCTCTTTCCAATATGGAGTCCTTTAATAATAATCACTGTTGCCAACCATTCAGGAGCCAGTGGAACTTGGTTTTCAAAATAAATAATGGCTGAATGACATTAGCAATTATCTAGTTATCTTATTGTTTACTTCCTCGTTATGGGGTGTTTTGTTATTGAGATGAAGATTATCTACTTAGCAATTGATAGTAGGGATTTTACGTAGTTTTATTCGGGAATGGCTTAATATAGGTTGTTAGTCGTGTAATTATCAACTTTGTTATTTGATAACAGATACTTAGTCTTCAATTTATGGTCAAATGTTATAAATTTGAAGAATGACAGTGATAAATTTTACTAATTTAGATAAAACTTATAATTCTTCAAACCAGAGGTAAGTGGATGGTCATTCCATAATAGATATACTCAGATATTTCAGCAGTAACGTACAGTTTTGGATTATTTTTAAATAGGCAAAGTCACTTAGGCTCTGAGAAACAGGATAACAAAAGAAAAGACCCTGCTCTGAAACATTGTTTATTGGATAGTATTTTTGCCTGTTTTATAATTTTCCTGTCACTATGTTTAATCATGATGTATGCGCATTACAGTTATGTAGATGGGAACACAGGTACTGTTTATATTTATTATATTTTTTTTTGTTTAACAAAGACTTCTATAGATGTTTCTATCAAGCCGTTACCCAATAATGATTCGGCACTACTTCATAATATGACTGAGCAAGTTGGATTATTACTTACTATAAAGCGATTATTCATACTGGCATATCTTGCTAACTGCCAGGAAATGTTTTTCTGAGTTAATGCATAGCTTGGACAAGTTCTTAAACTCAGCTCATAGATAGTATCATTTTGCCCAGTTAAGATAAGGAGGAAGCGCAGAGTTTAGGAACTTATCACTTTACTGAGTCCTATTTATTTATTTATTTTTAGTCCTATTTCATTGTTATAGATTGTCCGAGATGCCACCGGTATGAAGATCTTTTTAAAAATATCGAAAAGCTTAATAAATATAAAAAAGTAAGCTGCCAGGGAAATGAATTTCATGGAGATCAATCTTTGGTCCCAAATCAATATAGAATTGTGTGTTACTATGTTATACTTAGCAATTCAACTCATAGTAGGCAGTTACCTTCTAACTATGTTGACCCTTACCTCTGTACCCATATTATTGTCGGTTTCACAGCTGTATTTAATGGAACCTTAACTCCTCCAACTTCAGAAATTATTGATGTAAGTATTTTTGTTATATTTACTTTTATTAAGTTGGATTAATTATTTAGAATATTACTTTGCAAATTTTTAGATTTACAAAACCATAACAGCTTTCAAATTGATGAATCCATCATTAAAAGTCTTATTATCTGTTGAAGACATGGCAAGTAATGGAGAATTTGGAAAAATGGTAGCTGATGAAAACTTAAGGCACAAGTAATATTATATATTTATTTTGAAGTAACGTCAATAGAAAAATAATTCTGAAATATGGAGAACTCTTGTTATTGCTGGAATTAAAATATCAGTAATTAAAGTTTTCCTTTAATAATTATAATATTTAATGGAGATATAATGTATTACAGTTTGTTGGCTTTTTTCTCCTTAATAATTCTGGAAACAATTTCAGTCTATTAAATCGAGACAAGTACAATTAACTGTATCTTTCTCTTTTTCATATAAGCTCAAACTGTTTTAATTAATTTAAATTTTATAATGAAAATATTGCTTTTTCTAATAATTATCTTAGATAGAATTAATTATGTTAGAATTTATTTTATTTTTTAGATTTTCAGTGGATACAATAAATTTTTTGAGTTCCATGAACTTTGATGGGATCGATCTTGATTGGGAGTTTCCAGCTTGGCCTAATCCAAATATCGAGCAAGCCAAAAATTTTACAATCCTTCTGGAAAACTTAAAAAATGAAATTGCATTTCGAAACAATGAAAGTTATATATTATCTGTAGCTGTTGCTGCTCCAGAAGTTATAATTGATCAAAGCTACCAGATTCGAGATATGGCGAGGTAAATAACAATTTTTAAATTTAAAAACTTAGTGTTGATAATTCAAAAATGTACATGTTATTAAGGAATTAATTGATTTCAGATAACTCTAAAGAGATTTTTATTTCTAATTTGTAAAATTTTTCCAATGTCCATGATTGATGACTTCAGTCGGTACAATTCGGTTTTAATTCACTTATTTCAAAGTATTTGTACAATTATTACAATAAACCATTAATTATGATTTCTACACTTACAACACATCAAAACTGGATATGTTGGAACTGGCATGGGTTTTTAGCCATTATAGATTAATGTCGGTTTTTTAAATAATATGTACTCCTTCAATGAGAGGAATCAGGTGAGTATTTAAAGTTAGATCACAATTTTGAAAATTTGTGGTCAAGTGGTAAAGAAGCTATAAGCGGTCGGTCATCTGTGAATGTAAGTGGACGAAATATTACGTGACATGGAATCTATTATTGAACTAAAACTTTACTTTGGTTCCAGGATTCTAAAAAAACGAAATTCTTATCCATTTTTTTTTTTTGTGATGATAGTTATTTTTTAAGACCACTTTTTTATTAATGAAAATTTAACTGCTTTCAGAAAATAAATGATAACGACGGTGGGGTGGGGTGGTTAAGAATTCTATAAAATAATGGAATAAATTTAATAGTGGAGTGAAGGCAAAATTTCTGAAATAATGTGATTAGAATGCAATAGGCAATAGGCAGAGACCACAATAGCTGAGAATGTTAAGATGCTATAACCTTAGCAACCTTACACACGTTCGAATAAATATTATAATGGACCCACGGAATGAATCTCAATATTCCCATTATGGTTAGAATAGATAGAACTATTTGTAACATACTCCCTCTCCTTCCCTGAATGCCACAAGTAGGTAAGGGTAAATGAAAAAAAAATAAAGGTATTTAGGGAAATTTGTATTCAATAATTTTACATAAAATAATTTAAAAATAAAAAGATAAAAATTCTTCATCATCAAAATAAATATGCACTATCATTTAAATCCACTTATATATTAATACACGGATTATCCCTTTTCAGAAAAACATGTTTTTTTTCTTCCATGGCTTCTATGGTGCTATCTCTTCTACTTAGGACTTTTAATCCCTGAATTTGAATGATTAGTGTGGATCAGCCAGGATAAATATTTATGTAGTTTTGTATAATTAACATAAGGATTTCATTTTTCTTTCAATAAATTTAGTTATTTCATTTATTTTGATGTTAAAATATGATATTTCAACATCATTATAATTTATTTTACTTTGCCTTTATTATCATTATCATTTAATGACAATGATAACCACATATGTAAATAACACCACAAATATATATTTACACGTGAGGTGTGGACATTTTTTTTTTTTTTTTAATTGTTATTGATGAGATTAGGCTTGTTAATACATAATATTGCATCATATTTCTACATTACTATTAAATTTACTGTAACTCATATCATTTTTGATAAATCTAGACTAATGACTATTTTTAGCTATTTTAGTGCCACTTAGATCTAAGAAACTTTTGAAAAAATGCTAAAGATAAAACTATTCCTGAAAATAATTTGGATGTTATATTTAAGAAACCTAGCTTGTGGTTTTCGACATAGCAATTTTTCATTATATTTTTTTGGTTACTTTATAATCAACTGAATATTCCGCATTACTATTTATATCAGCAAATACTATTCTGCCTTCCTTAGTAAGAATCCAGTATCTTCCAAAACATGATTTTTCAAATTTTCACGTCACTGTAAATATTGAAATTTCTTTATTTTAAAACTTTTAACTATATAGTAAATGCAACAGTATCCTTAATTTTAATGTTTAAATACAATAGGCAAAAATTAAAATAATTAATATATTTTAATTTTTTGTTTATTTGACCTCACCCTCGACTAACTCCTTCTCATATTATATCAACGGTCAACCATCTCTACATCAAAATAATTTATTCATTAAAAATTTTGTAACTAGTGACTTGTTTTAATGGTAACATTCAGTGTATTATTCAGCAGGGCAGAATACATAAATACATACAGATGTTCTTCACAATAGTAAACAACAATCAACTGAGGCTGCATCTTTGCCCGATAGTAAGAGACCGGAGCTCCGTGCAGTACAAATCCAAAAAATGTGCAGCTAAAACCTTAAAATCGTGTAGTAAAAATCCTATAAATGTAAAATTATGTATTAGACACCTAAAAACGTTCAAAAATCATCTATTTTGCTTAATTTGTTATATAAATAGATCATTCCTAACATTTTTTAGGAAACTTTAGAAATACACTAATATTTATAATTGTCAAGTGTTAGTTCTGCTAACGTTGTTCTAGAACACTAAATAATATTTTAGGGACGTATGCTCTTTCTAAAAAAATAAAAAAAAAACATTCAATTCTCTAAGAGAAGTATTTTTCTTATCTGTTCTACGATGAGTGTCTATTTGTGATTTCTCATCACACCCAATTGATTTTTGACAGAGCCTACAGAAGACAACTTTCTTGTCAAATTTCAACTATGGGTAATTTGATATTCCAAGATTTTAATTTATATTAATTATGAAATTATTAAAATTCACTTCAAAGCCAGAAGGTGGACTTTGAATGCAAGTCAAAATAATAATAAAAAATGCCTTTCTAAGAAAATAGCTTATTCTAGGAAGGCACTTCTTTATGCTTTAGGCAAATTCTATTCCAAGAAAATTACCTGCTTATGTTTGCTTCTTCCTTTTGTAACATTCAATTTGAAACTGTAGCTAATCACAGAATTATTTATCTTCCTCATATTTTTTTTAATTTTAAGTTATAAATTTAATATGCACGAGTTAGTAAATTAACAAAGGTATTTAAACGCAAACATATTTTTTTATATTTATAAATCATCTAATCTAGCACAAAAAATGTATAAATGTGCAATTTAGGCCAGAAATAGCAAAACATGCTATTTCTTGCAGTATCAAATTTCAATATGTTACTCTACAGATCTTGAAACGGATAGATTGTCGTGTTCGATGTTTTTATATGCAAGCAAATAAAATGTGCAATAACATAGAATAAAATCCGATCTCTAATTATGATTTAAGCAAGCTCTGCAACATTTTTTTAAATTAGTTAAGAATGACTTTTTTCAAAAATGCATTGATTCTAAATTAGATTAAATAGAGGCAAGTTCAATTTGTATCTTGCTTATATCGTATTATTGTTTATTCTTGATCGATAAATCCAACATGTGTTTTCTATCATAACAATTTCATTTAATATCTTGAGTTTTGGAGTTATTATTACTTATTTTATTTATTATTTTCTTCTCTGGCATTAATATATTTCATATTGATTATTTCAGGTTTGTCGATTTCATAAACTTGATGTCTTATGATTATCATATGTATACAGATTATTTACCATTAACTGGTCCAAATTCGCCTTTATATCCAAGACCAGCTGACAGACTTTTTCAGCAAACTCTAAACATAAATTGGTCAGTTTCTTTATGGATGAAGTGTGGAATGCCAGCATCAAAGATAAATATTGGGATACCAACCTATGGCCATTCTTTCTGGTGTGTTTTCTTTATTTCATAACTTTAATACTTGTAATATATTATAAGTTTTTAAGAAGGCATTGTGCATGTTTATAGCTGTTGTATTTTTAGGCTTATCAATGAAGATAATAATGGTTGGAATGCTCCTGCTAAAGGATTTGGTACCATAGGGAGTGGGGGCTTTATCACATACCCAGATGCTTGTCATTTCATTGCCGATCCTTCTTCAACTAATCACTTTGATGATGATTATCGTGTACCATATTCCTTCAATGGTAGAAATTGGATTTCCTATGACAATGAGATGAGTGTTCGAGAGAAAGTGAGTATACATTTATTTATCTAACTAATTAATGAAGTATTGCATCTTCGTTGGAATTCTATAAAATGTAGTGGAATAATTTTCATTTCTTTTGGTGTGAGAGATGGTGAGAAGAGAATCAGGTGTATGCTCTAGTCTATTTTAAGGTCCATGAAAACAGATTTGATTTGTTTGTTTTACTATATTTCAAGTTTTAACAAGCAATTTGTTGACCCATTTTTATTTAAATGATTAGTTTACTAGTTATTCAACAAACATTTTAAAATATGTTCATTCTTAGCATGTTTGCTGCAGTTACGGTCACCGGCGTCTATCAGATATAATGATTATTTATGTTTGTATCCATATTTACATCTGTCCAACTACCATTCAAGTATTTTTAAAAATTACCATTTTAGAGACTTCATGAGGTAGGCAAAATTCGAAACAATGCCGGCCAAAATCGGAACACAGGGACCGTAACCACAGCTAAGGTTTCAATTTCTGGAAAAATAAATCGCTTATTGCAAAAATAACACATTCGATATTTTTATGATTTTGAGAAATATGCAAAAAAATATATTATACTACAACAATTATACATATGTTAAAAGATAAATATATATAGTTTAAACAGTCAATCTTTACATTATTATACCATTTTTTTTTTTTACATTTTTTAGCTGAATAAATATTAGATATTTAGAAAAACATTTTACACTTGTGTTGTACTAAATCATATCCAATTTTCTCATTTTTTTTTTCTTTAATTATAATTACATGAATAATGATTTTAAAGTTAAAGCATTAATATAATATTTATAACAATAATAAGTAAAATTCTGAAACAAAGAATATTTATTTTACTAAACTTTGAAAGCATAAAAATATTAATTAAATTATTAATTGATTTGAAACAAAAAACAGTGCTGGCAGAAATTTTGTTATTAGTTTTTAAATTCTGTGTATCTCCAAAACATAATACGGTACTAGTTCACTAGAGTTCCACACGAATTTCGCGTGGTTCACAATAACTTCGATCACACTTGTTCATGAAATCCCGAAAACAGCCGAATGGTGTCGTCTTTTATGACATCAGCTATTGCTCCATTACACAAGCCTTTTTCACGCATTTTTGAGAGAGAAAAATAGCGTATTCCCTTCATGGAACTTCCTTATTAATAATTTATTAACGAATTGTGTATTTACTAATTAGTTAATTATTAATTTTTATTATAACGGTTATCACTGTGAAAGAAAAAGAAAAAAATACATAAAATAACTGTGTATAAAATATTTTTTTATCATTTGGATAATAAATAATTTGAAGTAATCTATTATCTTTTTATTTGTTATTCGAGTTTTTCTATAGAAGTTGGAATAATTGCATTTATAATTTATTTTAGCAAGTCTTTTTTAGTTTATGTCATCTATCTAGTTTATAATAATAAAGTTATATTATAATTATAATAATAATAAGAGCATCCACTATTTTCTAGTGGGGGGGGAGAGCGCTTTGTATCCATATACTGTCTGATTTGAGATTAAGCATCAAGTTTATGTAATTTTTTTGAATTCTTAGATATACGGATCCACTATTTTCTAGTCGTCGGAGCTTTTTATGAATATACTGTCGGATTTAAAATTGTTCGTCGATTTTTGGATTTCTTAGATATTAAAGTCCACTAATAAGTTGTCAAGGACGCTTTTTATGAAAATAATGTCAGATGAAAGATTTATGAATATACTGATAATTCCAAGATAATGAATAATGAAAATCATCAATAAGAAAAATAATATCGTGAAATAGCATTCATAGATGTAATAATTAAAGATTTTTATCTATTACTATTTCTTTTTTACAGATCTATAATATATGTACAAGTTCAATTCAGGTTTCATGATGTGTAGCCTAAATGTCGAATGAAAGTCGGCTCCTGCTATATAACTGAACATGGTTAAGGTTATAGAAGTACTTAAATGGCGGGAAAGTTAATAGTAACTGCTGGCCCAAGAGATCGGTCGCCTTCGTTCTCTTTCAGATAAACCCGAACGCGTTCAGGATTCCAGGAACAAGTGTGACCGAAGTGATTGTGAACCAGCGTAATTCGTGCAGAACTCTTGTGAACTACTATCCATAACACTTCCAATATTGAGAAGATTAACATTTTTTTTTACTTTCTCAAAATGTCCTTAATTGATTTTTTTTTTCAACAGATAATGGAATTTTTAAAAATTATAAACATGTCTATGATCGCCATAGGACAATTGGAGCATAGGACTCCAGTCACCAAGTCCTATGGGGCACTGACTCAGTCGTAAAAAATCAATAAGTGGCAAAAGGTTAATAAGTGACGTAAAATGTGCCCTATTTTTAAAATAAACTATTATTATTATAACTAGGGGGTGCCAAAATGGAATCTCGCTCCATTCTAAAATTTGTCTCGGGCTGTTACTGTAAAAATCACGTGTAACATTTCAGAAATAAATTATTCTAATGTATAAACATCAGTGCATTTTTATTTTATATCTGTTTAATGTCTAGAATTAAAATAGTTGTCATGATTCCTTCATTTTATGAGAATCATATTTTCTTTTAAGGTAAATAATACTGCAGTGTTTCTTTCCTGGAACAATTGAATAATATAAGTATAGAAGCAATGTGTTTATGATTTATTTATTTCTATTGTTTTAGGCAAATTACATAAAAGAAAATAAGTTTGGTGGTGCCATGATCTACTCATTAAATAGCGATGATTTTTATGGTGAATGTGGAACTGTTAAATTCCCACTTCTTCGAAGAATAAGTGACATCCTTTCCTAATGTGCCAATCCCTTCAATGTTAGTTAAATTATAAGCAATATTCCATGTGATAAAATTTTAAAATAGTTGTTAAATTCAGTCAAACCTCTATTTATATATCTAACAAAGGTTTCTTGAAAAGAAAAAATTAATATAATGAAAGATTGCAATTTTTTATATCCTAAGTTTTAAGAAGCATCAAAGCCTATTTATTTTTTAGGTTATTACATTTAAATACTGCTTCATTGATTTTATCAAACTTTAAGGATTTAATCCTTTCTCATTTCCAAAAATATTTTTTCTTAATAATGTATATATATTAAGTATATATATATATATATATATATATATATATATATATATATATATATATATATATATATATATATATATATATATATTATGGTGCATGTGTACTTAATATTTACATATATTCATGTCCCATTTTTTTGTATGTTTTATTAACATTCAATGATTTTCATTTCATTTAAGTTCATATATATATATATATATATATATATATATTATGGTGCATGTGTACTTAATATTTACATATATTCATGTCCCACTTTTTTATATATTTTATTAGCATTCAATGATTTTCATTTCATTTAAGGACTATTCTCATTATAAGAAAAGAAAATTGAAAATGGAAATTTCACTTTATGTTAGGCAAGAGATTAAGAGAATCTAATTCCGTTGGTACCACAATTGTTATTTCTTGAACAGGTTCTGCCCCAAATTTCCATTGCTTTGTTAAACATTAAAAAAGATTTTCCTTATTTAAATAAGGACCCTTTTTAATTCTTACGTTTTATATAACTTTAACTCTCAGTTTTTTGTTCAATATATGTAAATTTTATTTGCTCTATATAATTTTTCTTTCTAATAAAAATTCAAGATTCCTATAAAAATGTTCGATATATAGAGGAACGACAGTATTTATCATGACTTATGTATTACGATATTAAGTATTGTTTAAATATTAAAATATTTGTCAATTGTTTAATATTTTTAAAATTATCTGTGATTTATGTATTAATAATGATTTATTTATTTTTTTAGAAAAATAAAAATTTATTTATTTTTTCCTTCCAAAGAAAATTTTAAATTTTCTTGTACCTCATGTTAAAATTAATTTTGAATCCAATGTTCATCAGATGAAACTCCTTTTTTTTTTTTGTAAGCCAAGCAACTTATTTTTATCTCCACTTCTGTATAAGGGATTTTTCACTTTATTAGATCGACTCAATAGATTTTGATGACTTTTTTTTCACATTTTTTTTTTTTTATGCTGACTAGAAATCCGTAATTTAGACCCCATCATACCTTCTGGGTGATGAGAGTTTAGGTGCCACTTCAACTTTGTTGAACTGAGGTGTACTTATTCGTATTATTTCCAACCTCTTTTCAGGACCTATAATTCATTCAGAATGAGAAGTTCTAAAAAAAAAAATTTAATTACTCCCTCTTTTTTTCGTTTATGTGGAGAATGCCCTGGACCTACTAATAAAATAATGTATTAGTTATACTATTATGTTATGTCTGAAGAAACATCTATTTTTTCTTTAACTTGGAGTACAATAATGAAAGGAGTAACCCTTTAAAAATGATACTCATTAGCAGAACACAACTATGCCACATTTTTTATTACTATACCAGATTTATTTAATATTGCAGTTGATAATTAAGTTATTGCAGAGTTAGAGAAGAGAAATACTTTATTTAAAGCAGTGCTGACCTACTAACTAGGGTTGCTTGATACACAGCATACTCATCAATCCTTTTTTTGGATATAGCACTTAATTATACTTGAATCACATATTTATATATATACAAATTGTTTTCTTTATTACTCATCGTATACAATATTAATACTATATTATACCAGCATAATTATAATTATACAATATATGTATTTCAGTAAAACCAAATTACAAAACAATCTCTGAAATTTATAGGAAAAAAGAAAGAAAAAAAAATTTGAATGCCAAAATTAGAACGTACACATAGCATAATCCGTAAGTACTTTAATATTTAAAATTTACTGAATGATAAATGTCCATAATTAATCCCTAATTACTATATATATATGTATATATGATGATGAATGATCCCAAGGGAGTCTAGAATAATGCTCTCGGCCAAAGCGCCAAACTCCCTAACATCAACATCTAGTTCCTCGAAGAAGCTCCTTATTTTTTTGTTTAGGAATCCTTCTAAACCAGAGTCCTCTCACAGTGAACTCTCTCTCTCTGAAGGTCTCACGGAATTTCTCTTTTAGAAAAGGGATACATTCATTGTATATTTTCTTCTTTTCTTTTTCTACTTCACTGGCCTGATTGAGGTCATTGCTCTCATCATGGACAGTTGGATCTAAAACCAGTGCCGCCTTTCCGGTCCTGGAGGATGCAACTATATCCGCATATTTCATTGAGCCATCACTATCGATACAATAGACCTTGTCAAAGCATGTGAATCCCCTTTCCTTAAGGAGCCTCATCAACTCGAATTTGACTCCATGGTGCCGGTGTGTTATGAGGAGGGAGTTGTTGGGGCATTTTTCCAGGACATGGGTTGGTGTTTCAGACTCTGCCGCATTTATAAGAGAGGGACTCAACTTCCTTCGACTGTCCACTGAAAATTGGTACATTTTTGAGCTTTAACATGTAGGACCCAGTAGTTCAAAAGGAACTTGATGGTTCTTAATGTCTACATCAATTTTTGTTGTCTCCATTAACTTACCACTGTCCCAGTATTGAAGCCTAGTGAAATATTTATATTGACTTTATTTATTTTAAAAACAAAAACGGAGAGTATGCTTTGCTAACCCACTGTGAAATTATTCCTTATAATCCTTCGAGGAAAAAACAGATATTTAAGCTCACTCTCTATTATATTGCAACCTGAGGCGAACTCACAGGTCACTAAGTTGAAAACAATTTTTCTCTTTATTACTCTCCAATTTTATTTACATATAATACAAGGTTACAATAACTTATAATATATGTGCATATTTTGAAAAATCAAAAATATTAGTTCCAACTTTGTGTTCACCATTGGACTGCTATCTGTGAGCCATCTGTAATAATCAAATGTACTATAACACTCAATTCATAAAATAAATAAAATCACACCTTTGTATTTATAATTAAAATTTTTATTAAATATATATTAACCATTAGATTATACCAACAGAAGAAAGCTGGAACATAATCAATTTGAAAAATATACTTTATAATAAGCAATTGTATAGTACAAATTAGCTGTTTCGACCCTTTATTAAATATGACGGTTCATATTTGTCGTATAAGTATAATTTACAAAACAATTTTAAACTATGATTGGCTATGATTACCATTTTTTTAAATTTTTTATAAAATATTAGGCCAAAGGTCACCAAATGTACAGTTTTTACATCTTGTATTATTTATTCGACGTTTCGCCTTCAGGAGCCATTTTCAAGATCCTGCAAACTAATTTTATTTCAGTTCTTATACTTCAAATTACATCATTAAATTAAATCCAGTTCTGTATGAATGTGTTTGTGAGGAGGGAAACTTTTAATATCACCTACGAAAGAGGTACATAAATTGAGAACAAATAATATTCTTTCTTTTTTTTTTTTAATTTTAACAGTCTATTTTAATTATTTATTTATTTATTATAACTTTTAGAAGTGAAAATACTACATTTGATGAAATAAAAGAATGAAAAACCGATGAATTATATTTTAATGATACATTTTAGGAAATTTTATGAAGCGATGCATGATAGGTAGATGATAAATTTTATATTAATTTTAACCAAAGTGCTGTTATAAAAAAAAATTTATAAAAATATTTGGACTATTTATATAACTGATTGTTATTGAATTAATATGTGTTTTATTTAATTTAATGATGTTGTTTGAAGTATAAGAACTGAAATAAAATTAGTTTGCAGGATCTTGAAAATGGCTCCTGAAGCCGAAGCGTTGAATAAATAATACAAGATGTAAAAACTGTTTACATTTGGTGACCTTTGGCCTAATATTTTATTAAAAACAATTTCTAATGTTATTCCCACAAATATTTTATGAAGTGAGGAAAATGATTAAGATGATTCTTAAGATAAGGATGATTCTTCGATTGGAGAGAAGTTGCAGTTCACTTCTAACATGAAAAAATCTTTTTTTCTAAAATTCTACACATAATATAGTAAAGTTAGAGAAGGCATCCTTAATCTATGTAATTGTCAAAAAAGAGTGAAATATCGAAAAGTGTTGAGTATATATATATACACGATATAGTGAAGAAGGGGACAAAAGATGATCCACCAGAAGTCTTAATTTGAAAATTTTGACCTACACCTACAAATTGATGTTATACTAAGAACAAAATAAAATCTGTACCAAAACAACTGATGGAAGGTCTGGGATTCTAGGCGATCCGTTATACAAGGTGATGTGGCAATGATCAGGTTTAACTGCTGTTTCTCTTCTAATCCATTGACAGTGTGGGATACCCATTTAATTGGTTGAGTATGCTCGATCTAGATTTCCAGATCATCAAGTCAATCCACAGCAGTATACATAATTATCTGCCATGAACTCACTGCTGAGAGTTAAAAGTCCAATGAACCAATTATTTTAATTTAATCCTTATCCTATTATGATTAAACTTTATATTTATTCGAAGATAATTTTATCACTTTTAAGATTTATAATACGTCTGTTATAATTTAACTTATTTCGCCCTACTTTCCAATGAAGTAAATTTAGTTTACTTGACCACTTTAGACAGAAAATAGTTTAAAACAATTAATTAAATAGCAATTTTATGGCAAAAAATGGTTTTATGATCTTCTGTCTGGAATAAAGTAGCAAATTATAAATAATACATATATTGAAAACCTTCCACCAAAATTTCAATTTTATCTTTCACTCTATCTGCAGTTTTTAAAGAAATAAAAATGTCACTAACTTCAATATTAAGTCTAAAAGTTTCATTTGCCATTAATATCAAATTCACAATGTTCAATTCTGAAATAGAATTCTTTTCATACCCAAGCAAATAAAACAGTACAAAAAAATTTCATTAAACTCAATTGCATACCCTCGTGAGTAATTATTTCAAAGTTTTATAGGAGATAAAGAATCTCCAGATCCCACTGTATTGCTAGTTGTGATCAGTAGTCAAACTTTATATTCAAAGTTTCGCATACTTTATACCCTTATAATTTATGTGCGGTACTTTTTCTGTTCTACTAAAGGTTACTGTTAGATCACATAGAGTATTGTTTCAGCTTATATTTGACTGGACACTAAAGATGAGGCAGGTTAGATTTAATAAAAAAACAAAAATCTTACTTAAATTTTGTATGTTATATGTTACTGTAAATTTGAAATTACTTGTACTCATGAATAAAAATGACTTAGTTTTGACAAATTTCTAAGAATCTCTTAGAAATAATAAGCTATCCATTCAGAACGTAGTAGTTAGCTAATACGTTTTTAATAAAATTGAATTGTCTTTTTAACTAAATTAATAAAGTAAAGTAAAAAAACACCAGTGGTACTCCATACGAAAAACTGTTTCAATCAAAAACCCATAAGTGTTCATTTTATAAATATATATATATATATATATATGAAAGTCAGGATTCTTTAGTATAATTAGTAGAAATAAATATCACAAAAGGTAAGTTATACAGAGGAATTATTCAATCATAGACTCAGCGAGTCCAAAGGTTCAATACTAAAGCCAAAAGTTGCTGCCCAGGAATCCTCTAACCCTATTAATATCATATCCGTAAATTAAGCCTTACACTATCTTTTTATCAATGTCTCAGCCTACTGCAAAGGCTTTCCCCTCGTGTCATTAGTAATTAATGTTTTAAGAGTTATTTATTACAGAGTCCAAATTTATAAGCTCCGCTGATACCTAATAGATTCCAACTTAATTTAAAATAAATATTATATGTAATATGGAGACATATTGTACACTAATATAAAAAAATATGCTGAAGTTCTGAAAAGAAAAGCGATATAAGTTATTAAGTTAGTATTAGGAAACTTTAAATAAAATAACAAAAGCATTATATTCAGAGTACTGAGTGATTATTGAAATTACTCATCTATTCTCATATTTTAAAGCTATGAAAAAAAATTATAACATAAGATTCATAAACTGAGAAAAATATACATTTATACCATCTAACATAATATTTAATCAGTAAATCAATTACAATCTAAATTTTAGGTTAATTTCAAACTGGCAACTAACATTGTTTGTGTATTTATAAAAAAAAAAAAAATTACCAGATGATAAAACAGATCTAATGAAAAGCAATTTAAAAATAAATGTATTATGTTAATATAAATTACAAAAAAAAAGTAAAGACTACACTGGATTAAATCAGCTTAATCTTTTTTTTACTCGTAATTTTAAGCCACTCGATGGAAAGGGCTGTAAGTGATAACATTTGAAGATCTATGTTATTGCTCTTGAGTGATAATTCAACCCTATTCGAGATTCACTTTTTGAAATAGGGAAAATTCACCTACTTTATTTTATAAACGTTGCCTCAGTTAAATTTAATTTGACCTAAATTTTTATCAATGATTATGTCACTTGCAGTCCTTTACCAAGTTGCTTCCTTTCATATTAAACTTATTTAGAACATTAACAATGATAATAGTAATTTATTATATAAGTAATAATACATATTTCGAGGGAACATATAGGAAATTAGAATAACCTAATTTAATTACATAAACTTTTGAAAACATTAAATTTACTATTTTTAAGACTTTTACTATATATATATATATATTTGAATGATAATTTGTAATTAGCTCTATTTAAAATAGAATAATCAGTTTTTGCATTACCTAGATAAAATTAATTTTTCAAGAAATTATATCATTAGATGCACTATAGCTCCTTCTAACATGCACTATTGAAGTATGATTAATGCAAATTAAATAACAAAATCTTTTTTAAAAAATTGTTAAGTAAAAAAATTAACAATACTTGAACGGTTTTAATTCATTTTTGAAACTATTTCTATTTAATTTTTTTCCTGATTTAAACTAATACACTAAATTTAGTAAGACATGAACATTTTCGCATCAATTATGAAGCCTCTTTAAATAGCAATCCTAATATTTTCTGTATTATACACAAAGTTAAAATAAATACATGACAGAATTTTAATTACTAATAATATTTAAGGTACAAATCTACAGTATTTCTTTTGAATTTTTTAATCTATCAGCAAGAAAACCTAAAAAGGATTAGTTACAAAAAAACTGTGATATTTAATTTAATTATTTATGTATAAATGAAAACTGACTAATCCATTTTCATTCATAAGAAAAAGTACCATACTTTCATTTTTGTTGTAATAAATAAATTTTAATGGAGAAGCTTCAGTAAAAAATGGCATTAAAAAAAAAAAATCTATAACTAGTTATATACAAGGTATCACATTGAAATCATATACAAATGCGATAACAACCTGGTTATAAAATTTTAAAACTGTAATAAATTAATAATTAGATTAAATATAAACAAGCAAAAAATTTATATATTTTGTAAATTTTCTTTAAATAAAAAACATATTTAAACACTAAACATGACATTCCACAATGGTCCCGTTGCAGCCATTCATTTCTTGACGATAGTTAATTAAGAGACGGTGTTATACCACTGCTCCATTGAACTTCTATACTTGGCCACTTCGTCTGAAGGCATGTCTGCATCCCATTGTTTTCAGAAATCGATAAAACATTGGTTTCTAACAGTATAGCATGACCTTCCTGATATTTAACCTTTGAAACACAAATATATTAGTAATTTATATAAAATAGTTTCACACACTACACTAAATAGGAATATTAATGTCAGTTTTTCAAAACAGCTAATCTCCTAAAGTTCCTTGCCGATTTCTTTTAAATTTTGATACAACATTGCAATAAAATTGAAAAATGTTATTATATTATATACATTTCAGTACCACCCGGCCTTTCGTTTCTAATTGGTGACCAAAAAATGAGATTTGCTTTAGACTGTAGTGACAAAACGGCTATAACGATTTTAATGAAACTTGGCTAAAGTCTTTCCCTTTAAACCTTTATAATTTATGTTTATGATATAATTTATCAAAAACAAGCTGCATTAATTGTTATGATGAATTCAGAATTTTATTTGTGAATAATCCAAAAATCACACAATTTATAATGCCCATATTTATTTAAAAGCTCCCATAATTCTCAACAAAATGAAAAAAAAAATCATCGAAATAGGACGATTTAGTGTAGAGATATTACGTTTCAAACCTATGAGTATTTGAAAGCTTCCTAAATTCCATACTAAATGAAAAAAAAGAATCATGTCCGATAAGATATTTTATTGCATTTTTTTTTTCAACCAAGTGCTAACTACGCTCAGCGTTGCTTAACTTGGTCACCTATTGCAAGCGCCTTAGCCCAAATGGCTACCCCAGCCCCTATATATATATATATATATATTTTTTTTTTTTTTCGGTTGGCACTACAGACCATGAAGATCTTTGACCGTGAGTGTGGTCTCCTAGACCACATTCCGATTTCCGATTTAAAATACAGGGTAGAGTCATCAATCCTACGCCCGGTAGGTGTGAGTTGCCTCCAGTAGACTGCCTCACATACCAGGAGGGGAGGGGGAATCTTGGGCAGCATGGCTTTCCTTGGTGGACAGTCACCCATCAAAGTGCTAGCCACGCTCGGCGTTGCTTAACTTTGGTTACCTATTTCAAGCGCCTTAGCCAGCAAGGCTACCCCAGCCCCAGAGAGAGAGAGAGAGAGAGAGAGAGAGAGAGAGAGAGAGAGAGAGAGAGAGAGAGTAATATTAAAATAATAATAGAAGGAGTTGACCATACCTCCCGATCAACTCCTTCTCATATTAAATCATGGCCAAGCATCTCTATATCAATATAATTATTACAATAATAATAATAATAATATATATTTTAGTATATCATTAAAATACTAGTAATTTTAAAGTTTCATACTCTACATTGAAATGTTTAAGGTCTTGTACTTCACATTAACAGTAATAAACTGGTTTTATTGCTTGCATAATTTTGAGACAAAAATATGAAATGTTATAAGCACTAATAATACACAACTTCCATCTTTTAGTTCATTCATACAAAATTTGGTTTATGTTTTAAATACTTTGTAAATCAACAGTTCCTGTTTTATTCAGTGAAAATAGTAATTTTAATAATAATATTACCTTTTTATTTAGACAAGAACGGATCAGGCCATTGTAATGGTGCAATGTAAACGTATCCGGAATGTTGACTGCTTCTTCTGGAAAGAACTCATCCATAAATGCTGGAAGAAGTATTATTCCCAAATTTTCAGAGTCCAATTTTTTTTTCATAATATCTACACTGAAAATATTTACAAAATTTAACATGATAATGAACATGAGACAAACTTTAAATGAGAAACATTAACTTACTATTCAGGGTCAGCGACAAGATCTAAAGCACTCATTACATCTTGAAGAAGGTCAGCTGGAATGAAATTTCTGCCTTCTGGGTCAAAACTTTTAAAAACCCTTCTGGCTACATCGTTTGGTGTTTCAGCACTAACAAGTTTTTTCTCAAAGGAAAATAACACTAAAACAGAACAAATAAATATTAAGTAAGTTTAGTTAAACATCTAGAATAAAATATTTATATAATGGTTTAGCATGAATATAGTCAATGTTTATACAAAACTTTGGGCAATTTTTCTTCTTTTTATTCCCTTTCTTGTTTTATTAAAAATGACCGTATAAAATAAAGGTTTATTGTATAAAAAATAATATCTTAGTAGATTTATCCATTAAAATTATTATCTACTATTTTCAATATCTATAGATGAGAAACTGAATAGAAATAAATATTTTGAAAAAAAATATAAAGAAATAAAATACTGACCTGTTAAATGTGTCTCACTTCCTAAGACCCAAACTGGGTTTATTGGATTTTTCAAAAATGATCCCACCTCACAATATCTTAGATGTTCAAGAAGTGTTAAGAAGCCAACAGAACTTTGCTTATTGATTCCTTTCAACTCTAAAATTAAAGATAAAAAATAATATATTTAAGAAAAACACAAGAATTTGGAATAAAAAGTTCACTGTTGTATTTGATATCAATTTCAAATATTTTTGAATTTATTGAGACTAAATTCAATGATGTTCATTAGACAGAAGCTTGACACTAATCCCACCCTAAACCACTGAGTAAATTTCCTCTAATCTTACAGCAAAGTCTTTCAAGCCCATCAAGAGATCTAAAATAGAATTGGCACTTAATTAAAAACAGACAGGACAGTTCTCTAAATCGATATAAGTCAGTGTCTTAAAACCATTTCCAAATATTTAACATGCTAACCATTTAATCTTCATCTAATGGTCTTTGACAAAATACATTTTTCAATATTGATAAAAGATTTACCGTGATATCACACTAATCTTCTATGCATGTCAAAGTTTAGTAACAGCTGATAATTGATAAAAGGACAAGTAAAATGGTCATAGCAATTATAACTGATTCTCAATCATAATTTTATTTTTTTTTAACAATATACAGTCGACTGTCGATAATTTGACAATTCAAATTTTTTAGCTGCTAGTTTTGGTAAATAAAAAAAATGCTATATTTTGATACGATCGATAACTTTAAATCCTTTTTATAAGAGAAGGGGGAGACAATATTCTATAATTCAAACTAAACCACTTCCCCACTCTATAATTTCAAATTTTCCTAGTAATATTTTTTATATGAGGCTATGTATATATACAATTTTAGTAAGCTCATACGTGTTTCCCAAAATATAATAAAAACTCTTAATAATACAATTTTTTTTTTCTTTCTTCTTGATAATTCAAACTTCTTAATAATTTGAAGTCCCGATAATTCAAATTTTTCTTCTAGTATCTTGGGTTTCGAATTATCGAGAGTTGAATGTAATTCGCACTGAGCTCTAACTGATAGATTTATTTCAAATACTGTTAAAGAACTATTCAAATGGATCCAGTTTTGGTCAAACTATGGTCCTAATCTTGATAAAGCCTTTCAATTTCCAATCAAAGATAATTTTAAGTGACAATCAGGAGTTAAAACATATATAACACTCTAGGCCACATCGTTCCCCTTTTAAGCAAGTCTGAAAACTTACAAGGTTTTCCAGAGGTTCCCCAAGTCTTTTAACATCAATAATAATAATAATGTCAGTTTATAATAATAATAAAGAAAATTAAGACTTTTTGAGGGTATTTTTTTTCATCTTTTACAGCACCCCCAAACAACTCCTATTTGATCTATGGACATCATAGTAGAAAACATCATTTTTTTAAGGATTGTCTCTCAATAGCCTGCACTCAAATATATAAATAACAAAATGAGCCTCAGGGTAGAAACAAAAACTTACGATCATAAGTAATACGATATTTTTCATACTTTTGAAAGAAAAAAAAAATATATATATATAAACAAAGTAAGCTTAATGACATAATAGCGATTATAATTAATGAAATTATATCAGTACAAGAAAATAGAAACTTTAACGAAGCACACAATTCAAAATATAAGCTATTTATAACAATGTTTATATCACTTAATTAATAATAGCTTGACTTTCAAAATTAATCAGATAAACTTCCCATAATACTAAAACAAAGTTTAGGTGCAAAAGTAGAATCGGAGAGCTAATCCAATTAAAATATTTGACAACGCAGAAATTGCAAACCTTCTCAACTTCAATCGCTTCAACATACACTAAGATGTCAACTCTACAACAATAGCTAAATATCTTCTGAAAAATGACCGAATGCAATAAGATAGATTTTCCTGTAACATCCTCAACACACTTGAAAAATCTAGATATCTCCTTACCACTTGGACCTCAACACTCTTTTTAGTAGATTATTGTGATTATTAACTCTTAATTGATTTGCTTATAGATTAATGTTTGAAAATTTATTTTTTTTAAACATCAGTTTTTCAATTAATCAATCTCTAAAATAACTTTAGTTAATGATTGATAATAATTATAGCATACTTAGACCACAGATGTCTTGGTCATTGTTCCATACATGTGCTACAGCCCTCCCAGTTATCATAAGGTTAATAAGACTCTGGCTTCCATAACCATACTCACAATCAATAAATGGTTCGGCTGGATCAGTAATTTCACTGTGCAATGCTTCAACTCCCTAATTCAAATTATCAAAAGTTAATATCAATAAAATAATTATATATAATTACACGGTATAAATATAGAAAAAAAATATAATGTACACTCATTACAATGCAAGTATGTGGTAGATGAAATGATACAGAGGTACCCATACTAAAGTGAGCGGGGCAGGAAATTATGATCATCTGAGGGTAGAATATTGCTTGAAATACATTTAATAACATACTAACAATTTGATACTTTAATCTTATCAAAAACAATCATAAAGACAGAGAAATCAGAAAGAAAGAAAAAATTATGACATAACTAATTTTAAGAATTTGGACCAGACCTGAACCTGCAGTGGTATAATAAGCGTTATAAGGAGGAACAACTATATTATTTATTTAAATTATGAATATATATAAATTATCATAGAAACAATCGTATTGGCTTTAAAAATAACAAAATAAAATTATATTTGCGGCGATACAGAAATAAATAAACTGTTTAAATATAGCATATTTTAAAGTTATTAAAACAGACTCTTCTTAATAAAGACAGAATATCTAAAGAATTTAAGAAAGAAGTAATAAAAAGAAAATAAGATTATACCCTTGATTATTCATTAAAAAACTTAAAAACATATTGGTATATCAAATTATAAATTTACGTTACCTTAGTACATATAACAGAGTAAAGAAACAGTAAAACACCAAATGTTTCTCGCAACATATCTATCCTTTCCAAATAGTAGGCTTCAACTTCTTCAGAACTTTCAAAACTCAGTGTTCTAAATTACAGAAAAATAAAAAACCTACATTATATTAATAAAATAGGAGAATATTTATACATCAATTTAAACAAGTATACCTTAATTGCGAGTGAAAATGTGCATGATCATTAGATGGTAACAATTCCTGGATTTTTTCTTCTTCAGAATCGACGGAAGCTTTTTTTTCTTGGTTTGAATTATCAGCATCATTCATATAAACAAGAACAAATTTGTTTCCTGTGCCAGAATAGGCTTGCTGAAGAATTTCACAGAGAGCCCGAATTAATAATTTACTAACAATTTCTGGATCTAACTGGAATGAAAAATTGAAGTTATACACAAGGATTAACCAAAGATGCAAAATAATTTAGAAAATGTGTTCAAACCTCATGCCAATTTGAATCTCTTTTTGAGCAGTCACTAATCAGAGACTTTAAAATAAAGGCTTGAACAGGAGCAATGACAGCACAAGGGCCACCTTCATATTGAAGAAGTGCTGTGGGTTCATCTGGACTAAACCTAAAACCTACAGGTCAAGATTTAAAAACTGCTGGGAAACCAAATTAGGAAACTAGGATTTATATAACCCACCTTGTTTCCATCTTTTAAATACATCTTCCTTTACTTCATTACCCCACATAACTTTAATGATTTCATCAAAGTCAGTAGTTGACACAGGGGAGGCTGTTTTCCCAGACATGTCTGGTATGTATTTAGTCTTTATTTGGTTATATGAATTATTTATACAAATATCATTCATAGCAATGGTATTAGCTCTACTATACATAGAGCTAAATCAACATCCACTCTACTTAACCTCCTCCATGTTAACTTGTTTGTTCGATAACTAAATTAACCGACAATCAGCTGTTACAAATTTATTTTCTTTAGTTGCCGGCTTGATTCATCAAGGTATTACATGTTGTACCAGTTATTACTTAACAGAGTATTTTAAGAAATAGTTGATGATAAGGCAGTAAAAGACTTTATTTATTTAGAATTTAAGTAATAAAGTAGTTATATTCCAGAATCTTTGGCACGAATTCGACGTGGCATTGATTGAGCATGCGCGTAGAAATTTAAGGAAAGGTCACGTGATTTTTCTGCTCTGTTCTTTGACCACCATGTTGACTGCGGTAGCAAGAGCTGCCTCCGGGGCTTTAAGGATTGGAAAATCTTCCTTAAACCCACAACTTCTTCAAAATGAAGCCCTCAGATGTGCGGGAGCTCTTTCTGCAACATGTGAGCATTTAATTTGAGTAGTATTTTTTTTCATTGCCTATTTCTTTTAAGTTGCGCAAGTACGGCCATCGGCAGATCTCGAACTTCTGGTTCCACCCTTATCACTTCAATTGTTAAAAAATATAATTTTCTTTATATTCAGATATAGTAGCACCAAGAATTTTTTTTTAATCAGTTATTATCAGTTATTTTTTAATCAATAACTCCGTCGACTTTAATTTAACCTCTCTAACCTACTTAATAAATTTTTTTTTCAATTCGCTTGTAATAGTATTTCAAGTCATTCCTTACCTTTTATGATCACTAATAAAGTACTAATAAACTATATAAATTTATGGAATTGTAGATCAGTAATTTTAACCCTTTGGTGTAATTATAGCACTTTATTGATTAGATATGATAAAAATTATTTTCTTTCATTTTTATCAATGAAATAAAAACTACTATTAACATATGCCATTACCACAACCTAAATTGCAATAAATAAGTTGTAGTCAATTCTGTTCGTTTTATATATATATATATATATATATATATATATATATTTTTTTTTTTTTTTTAATGGATAGCTAAATTAAATACACAGGTTACACTTTAAATAAAACTATTTTAATTAGTACTTAATTTTGTTCAGTATTGATTTAGTTTATTGGAAACCATAAAAAACTCTTTGACCAAATCATTTTTATAAAAGATGATGAATATAAGAATTTTTATTATCAAGTTTTGTATTTTTTTAATTTTAATGAATTCTATCATTATTTGTCTTTGGGGAAATTTATTAAGTATTATATATAATAACTGTTTGACCTTGGTAGTTTTTAAACTGAAGAATTAAATGTTCATACTAGAACAAATATTAGTCTAACTAAATAACATTTGTTCTTATGTGTTTTTCACCTATATTTAAATTGCTTAAAATGGATACCTATTTTACATTAACACAGTCTACATCTTACAGTATAAGTGCTACATTGCAGTTCAGCTGAATGCTGAGCCATTTTTGGAAAAAATATTTGAATTCTTTCTTCCTAAATGAAATAGAGAAGAATATAACAAAATCAATACTACCTTTTTTTCCCTCTAAGATAGTAGCTGCTGACCTACTATAAGTTTTGACAGAAGACAATTAGGTTTTTTTATTTTGTATTTTAGATCTTATTTAATAGGAAAGTTGAGACTAATCAACTATTTAGAAGATAATATCCCTATCGCTCAGCACAGTATGGAAGACTAGCAAGCTGAACTGTTATGTCCAATTGATTCAATCAGTTAATGGCTATTACGAAGTATTATTAATAAAAAAATGCTGATATTTGGGTCATTGATGTACTTTAAATATATTTATAGGTAATAAAAGTAATGGTAAAGAAAATCAAAGTTATTGATATATATAGGCTTAAGAATTAATTTACCATGGCTTCATTAGTTTAATTTTAGATTAAAATTTTTAATGGGCCCTCCAGAATTTTAAAAAATTTATTTACTGTTTTATCAGACAGCAAAAAAAAAAAAGATAACAAATCTGTTACAACATAAAATAGGCGTTAATAACTATAACAATTACAATACATAAGCTTTTCATCACTCCATTACATTCTCTGAACCAATATTTTCTTAAACCATTTTCTTTCCAATGGAATATTATACATCCATATTTATTTTGAGAAATTAGTTGAAATTTTTTCTCCTTAAATTAATTACCAATCTTTTATAGTTCAATTTATTCATTCTGTATAACTACTAACAGTACCAGGAAGAGACCTTTTATTCTTTCTAACAAATAAAATTTGAATGTGCATTACAGGAAGTCATCTTGGAAATATGCCATTAAAGCTCCATCAGACTACTTCAGGGAGGATAATTTTTTTATATGCTGATATATATATATATATATATATATATATATATATATATATATATATATATATATATATATATTTAAAAGCATTCAATTTCATGTCAATATAACAAGCTTAATCAAAATCGTTTTAAGACCTTTTCAAGAAAATCTTAAAAATATATAAAATAAATTAATCAAGTAAGTCTTTGATTGCAATTTATGGAACGTTTCAGGCAATATTCATTTCCCTCTTCAACAATATTTTATTCTTTATTTTGTGACTTAGCTAATTTCTTGGGAGGATAAAATATTGCTGAAGAAGGAGACAAAGATTCCCTGATATGTTAATAAATTGCAGTCTAAGACTTAATTTATTAATTTATTCTGACCATTAAGGAAATGTTTATATAAAATGGAACTTCTGTTGTGCCTATTTTAGCGAAAAAGTTGCTGTAACACCCTCGTCATATACCTATTATAAATGCATAGTTTCAGCGTTGTGCTTCATTTTGTTTTTGAGCTATGCTGCTCGCAGACCTGTTTGCAAGACTTAGTTATTTGACTCAAAAGACCTTGTAACATGATTTCCTTTACTATACTTTTCTTATGTAGGTTTATTAATTATTTTTATATATAGTTACAGGATTATAAACTTTAATTCGAAAATTTAATTTAAACTGCCTTAACTTTAATCCATGAGGAACGCATAACATTTACTGCTTTTAATTCGATCTGATAAAATTTTCAGGGTTTTGACTGTTTATACTTAAACGGTTCAATATCAGTTTTGTCAAATTCAGTCTAGTTCATAAACGGCTTCTATAGATTTTATTCTCTCACAAATTGATAGAATCATACCTCGAAATATAGATAAATGGTGTTAACAAATAGAAATGGTTCCTTGCTATATGTTTTTTTTTTTTTTTAATTTATGTTATTTGAAGTACACAATGTTGTGAGAATTATGTTTGATTGATCAACAATTGTCAAGACTATTTCTGCTTAGGTTGTGGCTTGTAATATGCATAAAAGTTTACCATAGTAAATACTGTGTATTGTTTTAGGATATCTTTAGTTCTTTATTCTTCATTTTGTTGTTTTTGTAATCTATTAAAACAAATGTTGTTTTTTCATAGCTTATGCCACAGCTGCAAAAGGAGCCCAGGGGAAAGTTGTAGCTGTCATCGGTGCCGTAGTAGACGTTCAGTTTGATGACAACCTTCCACCTATTCTCAATGCTCTCGAAGTACAGAACAGGAGCCCAAGGCTGGTCCTTGAAGTTGCCCAGCATCTTGGTATGAGTCACCTAAATTATGATACTATTTTACGAGCTTAATATTGATGGGTAGGAACAAAATCTGATGTTCAAACTTTAAATATAATTCTGAGTATTAACATGTTCACAAGTATAACTTCCCTTCATTTAGATCACAATTTGTGACTTCTGAAAACTCCCAACTGGTCCTTTTCAGTTAAAATTGGGCCTTACTGGTGGGTTTATTCATCTCCATTTACTTTTGGACATGTTTGACCTTCTTGGAATTTGATTCGAAGTGTGATCATGAGATCCATCCATCAAAGTGGAATGACACATGTAAATTAGTCCTAATTTTGCTTATGAATAATTATTGGACACTTTTGACAATTTCAGTTCTAATAGTATTCTTACTTGAAGTGTAATTGGTCTGTGTGCCTATTTGATTTTGATTATCTATTTATTTTATTAAGGTGAAAACACCGTCCGAACAATTGCTATGGATGGTACCGAAGGTCTTGTACGAGGACAAGATGTTCTTGACACTGGATTTCCCATCAGGATCCCTGTTGGTGCTGAAACACTTGGCAGGATCATCAATGTCATTGGTAATTAACTAGATCTCATAATTTCTTATAGTTTTGTTTTTTAAATTTTGTATCTTATTGATTAAAAATGTTTGTCAATTACTCCAGGTGAGCCCATTGATGAGAGGGGACCCATTGTAACAGACAAATTCGCCTCAATCCATGCTGATGCTCCTGAATTCGTGGACATGAGTGTAGAACAAGAAATTTTAGTTACAGGTACAGTTTTCTTTACTCTTAACTGTTAAACTTATCTTCAACTATACTCGCTTACATTATTTTGTATTAAAGGTATCAAAGTTGTCGACCTCCTGGCCCCTTATGCTAAAGGTGGTAAGATTGGTCTCTTTGGAGGAGCTGGAGTAGGAAAGACTGTACTGATCATGGAACTTATCAACAATGTTGCTAAGGCCCATGGTGGTTACTCAGTATTTGCTGGAGTCGGGGAGAGAACTCGTGAAGGAAATGATTTATATCATGAAATGATTGAGTCTGGTGTAATTTCACTGAAGGACAAGACCTCAAAGGTAAAATTTCTCCTGTGCAATTTTTTTAGATTTAGAAAAATTGAAGTAGTAATCATTAATATAAAGCTGTCTCTTTGCTTACCATTACTGTACATATATTCTATACTATTGGTCCTGAAAATTATAGGTAGCGTTGGTGTACGGACAAATGAACGAGCCCCCAGGCGCTAGAGCTAGGGTTGCTTTGACTGGTTTGACTGTTGCTGAATACTTCAGGGATCAAGAAGGTCAGGATGTGCTATTGTTCATTGACAACATTTTCCGTTTTACTCAGGCAGGTTCAGAGGTATCTGCTCTGTTGGGTCGTATCCCCTCAGCTGTAGGTTATCAGCCAACTTTAGCAACTGACATGGGTACCATGCAGGAAAGAATTACCACCACCAAGAAAGGTTCAATTACATCAGTACAGGTTTGAATATCTCATTTATATTTTTTCTGTAATAAGTGTTAACAATTCAAAATTTAATATAAATTTAAAATTAGGCTATCTACGTGCCTGCTGATGACTTGACTGATCCTGCTCCTGCTACCACCTTCGCCCATTTAGACGCCACCACTGTATTGTCTAGGGCCATCGCTGAGCTGGGTATCTACCCCGCTGTAGATCCTCTTGACTCCACTTCAAGAATTATGGATCCCAACATCATTGGTGCTGAACATTATAATGTTGCCAGAGGAGTACAAAAAATCCTCCAGGTAATGGTTTATTCATGAATATATTTTATTCCTATTTAGTATATAATACGTTTCAATTGCTTACTAAATGTTTTTATTAATTTTCCAGGACTACAAGTCCCTTCAGGATATTATTGCTATTTTGGGTATGGATGAATTGTCAGAAGAAGATAAGTTAACTGTTGCAAGAGCTAGGAAAATTCAGAGGTTCCTCTCTCAGCCATTCCAGGTTGCAGAAGTATTTACTGGACATGCTGGCAAACTTGTACCCCTTGAAGAAACAATCAAGGTAAATACAAGTTTATATTGCACAAATGTATTCATCATAAGTTATAGGAAGTAAATGCCTATTACAAGAATTGTGTACCAGATAAATTTGTTTTCATATCTTCGTCAAAAGTTTTGCTTTAACTTGTATGCAATTGAATAGTATTGTGTTTTAATGTGTTTTACATTTTTTTTATACACTGTGATAGTCAATGCTTAACTTTAACAATTTATTAACATAGTGAATTAAATGTTTTTTCCTTGGATGTTTTAGGGATTCCAGAAGATATTAGGTGGAGATTTAGATCACCTTCCTGAAGTAGCATTTTACATGGTCGGTCCCATCGAAGAAGTTGTACAAAAGGCTGAAACACTTGCCAGATCTACTTCATAAGTGTAATCGTGAACATTTCTTAGCATTAGTCAACAATTTCATGTGTATAGTTCCGAAAATTCATGATTTTTAATAATTTTACTGTTATTTTATTCCATATGTTATTTTTTTTATTATTCATAAACCAAATGCCATTGTAATATATCTTAAGATCCCAGTTCTATTTTGTTTTCTTGGTTAAATTTTTTTTTCTGAAATGTTATTTTAAAAAAAAATGTTTTCTATAAAATACTTATTCTGTGGTCACACATTTATTTAAATAAATGATTCTACCACGTAAACTTATTTTCCATTTCCTCATTCCTTTAAGTCAATAACTAAATGCGATGTAAGAATGATTTTAGTCCATTTTTTGTAAAAAATTGAGATTGCAGTGCCATCTTGTGAAGAATAAGAACTATTGAACGGTAACTTATTCAGCAAAAAAATGCAGAAGAAAATATGTGGGAGGGTATAAAGATTGTGTTATAGTGGCCCAAGCTATTAAAGAAAATTAGATTGTAAAATAAGTGGCAGTCTTAAAATCATAATTCATAAAAATTCTTATTCTTAAAGTCTTTAAGAATAAGAATTTTTTCATATATTGCTCAAAAACTATTATGTTTTCGGTTTTTTTCTTATGAAAGATAAGGTTCATTAAATGCTCTATAATTATTTTATACACCTTTTTAGTTTCTTCATTTGTTTCTGATGGCATAAAAACTTATATAAGTAAATATTGCTATTGTGTATCATCCATTGTATCTAATTTCTGTTATATGTTCATAATGTGATATTTGAAAACGAAAACTTAAGTATATTTTAGTTTTCTTTCCCAAGAACAATATGGAAAACTGGTAAGAACAGTAGATTTGATTCAGCTGAAAAATGATCAAGGATACATCAGAATATTTTTATAAGTTGTTCAAAATGGACATGAATGTGAAAGAAACCAAATTAGAATCAGCATTTTGATTAGAATGAATGGCTAATCCTCAATTCTTTTCTCGCCAAATGAGATAACCATTACATTTTTCTGGAAAAGATTGATTTTTGTAATTCCTAAATTTTTTTCACTATTTCTGTATGACCATATTGATTGTCAAGTGCCCACAGAATTTTTTCATAACTATTAAATAGTGATGTTTTATAAAATAATTAAAATTTAACTTTCACCATTTAAATTTTTAGAGACCAAAACCTATAGTGGGACTCATATAAATAGTAATGACTATATATTATTTACTTATGTTTTCTCTCTGAGTTTGTTCTCCATTCGTATCTATTCTGTTGTGAAATCAAAAAAAAAAGGAAAGCATATATAGCTCAACCCTTTATGATGATTATTGATAGACTATCACTAATTATTTGTTTTATTTCACAATAAAAATGTACATTTAGGATTAAGTAAAAATAATAATTACCTTCTAAACTATAACTAGAATGTTAATTTCTCCTAAATTATTGTTCAGAAGATTGAAATGCTGTAATGAGAACTATTCATAGCCTTTCTAAACTAAATCTATGAAATATTCATTGTATTCATTACATTAAATGATAAGTATCAATAGGTGAAATAACTGTTTTTGTAAAATTAATTTAAGTAAAATACAAGTAAATTTAATTTTTGTTATGTATTTCTTTATTTTACAATCATATAAAATTAAGATGATTAACATAATAGTTGTTATTTTACTAAAATTGGTTTTCTACAAAATAGTATCTTTTCTGATGTGTAATATACAGTTTCTTGTTTAGATGAATTACATTAATTTAAATACCACACTTAAAAAAAGTTTAGTTATAAGATTTAATTTTCATGTGCATACATAATCCGTTAATAGGGTCTTACACTTGTTTTTATACTATTGAATGATAACAATCATCATTACTTATTAAAGCTGTTAATAATCTCCTTTATTTAAATATTATTGTAAGTTAACATTCTGCCATCTCCAAAGCCCTAATTTCTAGAACAGAATATTCACCTAGTTTATTTTAAATATCGACTTTTTCAGCATCCTTCTACTAGATGAAGATGAGTCAATAAAGTATCTTATTAATACTGTTGCTTTTACTAGGTCTTTTCCATGCAAGAAATTGTCATTAAATATAGATATCGTGGAGCATATAAATTTTATCTTAATAATAGAATATCAATAGTTAGATATAATATTAATGATACAAGTTTCTTTTTATTTATACAGTTAAAATTTGAATTATTATTCATTATAATCTATAAATTTTGTCAATTATAATCTGACATTTTGTAGAGGTACATGTCATATAATTTATACTTTTAACAGAAGTTTTGTTATATATTATTCATTTTGCTTATTTTTCATTCCGTCCATATCATAGGTTCAACCCTTGGGATCTTTTTAATTGATTTCCTTATTGTATATGGTTAGAAAATACAACAACATTAGACATAAAAGAATAACTTTTGAACAACAGAAAATAAAATAAAACAGATAATATAAAAAATATTTCAATTTTTAAAAGCTGAACTTGTCAGTTCATACCAAAGTAATACTAATTTTTTTTTAATCAATAAGTACTAACTGCATAATATCCTTCCATATCATAAGTTAAAATATCACAAATTAACAAAAATAATTATGGCTAAGGGCCACCATCTTGTGGTGGCTTGTAATCTATTTTCTTAGCATTGCATTCTTCATCTATGTTGTCTGGAATCACAGCTGCTGTTAAACTTAGAACCTTATCCATTGGGCATACTTCTTCACATCCTGGTATTGTAAGTAAGTAAGGTTCATGAGTTGAATTTTTTAAGAAAATCTATAATTAAAAAAAAAAGTTACTTTTACAGTTGAACTATTTTAATATAAATACAAATATTAAGTTAATTGATAGCATGAAGTATTAATTTTGTTGCAGTTAAGAGAATAAGGCAACATAGAGGATAGAACACTGACATCCTAATTAGAAGAAGCTAAGATCATAGCATGGCTACGCACAGTAATTTTTCTGTAAGCAATGAATCATAAAATCCTTGGGTATGCTTATAATATAGTTGTACTTGAACGTAATCAAGAGGGCATTCAGAAACTCGCTAAAACTCTGATAAGAGCAGCAGAGCAAATCGGCCTACAAGTAAATGAAAAAAAAAATCTAATATTAAACCGGAAATTCCACCGTAATAAGAGAATCTGCATAAAAGGGAAATCTTTCCTGAGAGTAGAAAAAATTAAATACCTCGACTCCACAATAACCTCAATGATGACCATTCATTGGAAATAGACCAGCATACAACAAGCACAAACCGAGCTTTCTTATCCCTTTCAATGGTGTTGAGATCACTAAAAATCTCCAGAAATCTCAAATTAAGGGTGTACAATGTTATGATGAAGCCAGTTCTAAATATGGCTGTGAGACATGGACACTAACCAGCTCCATAGAAAAAAGTAATGAAAGATTTGAGAGAAAAATCCTCTGCACGATTACTGGAGCTTTCTGGGATCAGAGTACTAACACATGGAGAAGAAAGACTAATAAAGAGCTGCTTACAAAAACTGGTCAATGAATATTTCATGATATGAAGGAATGGAGGTTAAGATGGGAGGGGCATGTAGCTCAGAGCAATCCATCAGGAAGCCTCTACATAACAATGAATGCCTCAATAGAAGGCAAAAGATCGCCTGGAAGGCCAAAAAGCGGATGGATAGGTAGAATCAACAAAGATGCAATAGAGCTGTAAGCAGATAATTGGAAAGAAATAGCCCAAGACAGGCAGAGATAGAGTAGGCTTGTTAAGGGGCAAAAGATCCACAAGGTCTGTAATGCCAGCAGAAAAAAAATTAAAAATTGATAGGCTTTGTCAGTGTCTGTTGTTCAATAGATGCTTATTTAATCAAGTCAACCAAAAATTATGAGTATCTTACATTACAATTGATATAGTCTTGTAACAAGTAGGATATGGGATAAGTTAGACTACAGTATTTATCAAATCAAAAAGTATTATATATAAAAAATAAGCACTGCTACCTATGGCTTTTGTGATATCTTGGGGGACTAAGTTTTATTTTTATTGATTTATTAATCACAACATGCCCAATGGCCAGATTAAGCGTTGCATAAACAAGCCAAGCGGCCCTCTAGGGCAGTAAAACCAGAATGGTGGATGATTTTTTGTTCTCCAGGAAACATACATAAGTCTCTCAAATAAATAATTTTTATGCAGGAATGATGGCAAAATGCGTTCTGGACCTTGTAGTTAGTTAAGATAATAATTTTGATTTTTTCTATACAGGCAAAATTAAAACTTTTTGAAACATAATAGTTACTAATCAGATAAATTTTATTTAATTTAATAATCAAACAATGTAATGATGTGTTGACAATGGCATAGGTAACTTATTTTTGTTTCAGGCTGGAAGTGGGAGAGTAAAATTATGGGGGAGAGAGGACAAAAATAGCATTTTCAAACTGAACCTGCAAAACAGTAAATTCCTCTTTCATATCACTTTCTCAGCTGACAAATTGTAACCAATTTAAGTATTTGTCCATGAAAGTAGGTATTAAAAAAATACCATCTAAAAAGAAGGACTTAATTTTGTACTCAAAGTTTTTAAATGATAACTAGGTAAATACTTAAGAAATTTTAAGACAGAGATAAAAAGGAATCAAATCATGCATTTTTAAAATCAATAAAGTACTTTGATAAAATCATTCATTTTTTTATACTATCCCTAAAATTGGCATTTCATTCATAAATCCATGAAACATTTTCATAATTAAAATAAACAAGTAGTAATTAATTTAATTATGGTAATTGTTACCTTCAATTTGTAATCATCGTGTATTTTATGTAATTCGATTAATGCCAATATGTTATATTTTGGAATTTGGGGATCCCAAACTTTTAAAGCTTGTAAAACATTGGCAACAGTTGAATCATGGCCTGCATATAAGTAGAGCTTCCTCTCATGTAAATTATCATTTATTTTATTCTTAGAATCATTCAAAATTTTCTTCAATAGTGGTCCTAAAACAATAATATGTACTTTCTCTGAAATATAATAATTTAAAGTTTAATTTTGTTTTTTATTTACCTCCTTTTAACCTCTTTAATTCATCGGTGTAAGAGTTGAGGATAAAACTAAAAGCTGTCACATTTGCCATTTCATTTGGATAAACTTCATTTGTCCAGGTTGGCAACTTTAATCCAAACTCTTCCTATAACTGAACTGTTACAACATTGTTGCAAAAACAAACAAACATATTTTGGACTTTTACAATACACTTTTAAAGTTAATTTATTTAGAAATAGAATAAGCTTTACCTCTGCTTTTAGGGTGCTGTAGATGTCCATTACTCCATCAGGATCAGTCACGGTTTTTCCAGAATGTTCAAAAAGATAATCATAAAGATCCTTTTGTTTTGCTATTGTTTCAGCTAGTTGGTTAGCCTTCACTTCCGCTACAGCTTCTGAATAGCGTGGACATCCCCGGACTAATAATAGCTGAATATCAGTAATTGATTATATTAAGAGAAGGAAAAAAAGCGAGCTATTATTTTATTTCTGTAAGAATTGGGAATAGATTACGATTTTAGGACAATCCTATATTTTTAACAGTAATTTATAGCCTAAATTATGAAATCAGAGATGTACTTTTTTTATTATTCATTTATTTACTATTCAATTTTATTCTGTGTTGGGAATATGGTATTCTTATGGATTGTATGATATTTTTGAACTCTAAATTTTTTTTTAGAAAAATTTTACTATCACAGCAAAAAATATATCGTAAAACCCTATAATTGTAGCTTCCATCCAGAGGTTTTGCCTATCTTCTGAGGAATTAACTATTACCATCTACAATGAATGAACTATACCTCCTAATCCTTATCCATTAAAAGTCCAACAATTAAATCATTACAATCTAGTATTATTTAAGTCAATTGTTTTATTCCAAACATTAGTTTAACCTGCTTCCTCATTCCCTAATGTCTGCTACACTTCTTAGACAATTTATTTTCAACATCCTCAGAGATATCTTAAGATCCAATGATCTTAAGCTTAGTTTCAAGTTTTCTTAACTTTTTTCGATACTCCAAACTACTTTGGATATTGGAAGTGAGACAGAAAATCGCTATGTGGAAGTTGGAGTGAGCGTTGGGCAGATAATAGATCCCTTATCGCTAAACAATACAGTCAGTTTTAAGATTGTGTATATAGGAACATTTAAATCAGAATGGTATACAAGGAGATGAAAGATAACCACCAGAAGCCATTTTGGTTCAGTAAACTGACCAAGTGAATGCTAGTATGCGGCATTGATTAATAATAAAGTAAATCTAAGTGCAGGCAATACCAAATAAACTTTAATTCATACTATAATAAATTTAAAATAAAATTTTTTTTTTTACCTTGTCTTCAGCCAATTTCTGGTGAGAAGTAGGTATTGGCTGCCAAAGAAGATCTTTATTCCAAATTTGTTCATCTCTTGGTGGGAACATACCGGCTAAAACCAGGGCTGCTGACATTTTTGTACGATCCACATCAGTTGTCCATGCTTCTAATGATTCACCTTTATATTCCTTTCCAAGAAAACAGTCATATCTTGACCTCAACCATTTTCCAAGTTCATACTGTTGAGTTTTTCCTTCCTGGAAATTATATGAAATATTTTATATTTAAAAGATAAAAAAAGTCCTAAAACAAGGGTTTATTTGAAAACTGACATGGCACAATATTTGAAGCAAATTTTATTATCTTTCTTACATACAATATATGGTTTATAAAAAAGTGCTTTATTATGTAACTTTTCATTAGAATCACAATTCAGTTGAGAAACTGACTACAGTATTCCCTCAACAGTAGTTGATATAATAAGTACTGATTGCCATACTAATATTTATCATGTAAATCAATCTAAAAAATAAATCTTTTTTATTTATTATTATAGTTCTTCATTTTTATTTCTAGACATATATACTTATATACTTTTGGATACTTAAATACTGAAAAATGAATTTGAATTGATATTTAATGGTTGTTTACATTTGTTAGTGCTCCCCACCCATATGGGCTAAACTTCTCCTTTATATAAGGATCTTTTGGGTATGTATCAGCTGGAGTTCTTTGACCATGTCTGAATACCTGAAATAAAATTATAAAAAGTAAAATTAATAAAACTAAGATTTTAATTTTTTAAGAATGGAAGGACTCCAGAGCAGAATGAAAAGGAAACTTAGTCCTAATTGGTCTGAGAAAGAAGAATGAGGCATAGCAAAGATAGGAAGAAATACTGGAAAGAAAATAAGGATAAAATGAAATTGTCGTAGGACCTCTAGCAGGTTTCATTAGAAAAACATTTCAAAGAAAGGTATCACAATAAATTTATTGGTATTCTTTATGAGCTTAGGCAAAGAATATGTTATAAAAGAGAAATTTAAAACAATAACAAAAACACAGTAGATTCCATAGATCAGTTTTTATTCACTACAGTATTAAAATATTGTATTATTAAATTTTGAATATATATAATTAGAATAAATGAGATTGGACAAAAATTGAAAATACTGTTATTTAAAAATAACATTCTAAGTTAAATCATAAGTAAAATTATTTCATTGTAGATGAAGCTAACTGCTAAAACTGTTAACCTAAATCCATTTATCGCTATTCACCTATCTTCTGAATACTTCTTATAATAGCAAATGAGAATGTAATTATAAGTCTATTGCTTTGTTTTTCAGGTTGAAGATTTAAAAAAACAAGCTCCTTTTAACTTTTTTTTTTTTTAGATTGTTGGGTTGAATAAGTGATTTAATAAATTGAAATAGATACAAAATAATTGTGAATGTCATAATTTATACAAATAAATCCTTTCAATTTTAGCATTTCACTGGCACCAGTGGCAACATTTGAACAAATAAAATACTAGAGTACAAAAGTAAAAATAAAATGATTTGTATTGCTGTATATTTTGTACAAGAAAGAGCATTGAAATCTCCCCAGTGAATTTTTTTTTTTTTTTTTTATTCTTACATCAAAAAAACTTTATTTTATTTAATATGAAATAAGCAAACCATCATTGAATCTTATTATCATTTTTTTAATATTAAAAATGTTAAAAGTAATTTTCTAAAATTTCATAGTAGTTAAAATAATGAATTTCAAATGTTTCATGTATATTTAAAGTTGTGAAATACATCTAAAATAAAATAAGGGCTTAGAAACCCATATAATATAACAAAACAATCTATATTCAGAACAAAAAATAAAGATTAATGTCCAGGATTATGTAAAAAAAATACAAAATGTACCAGTGCCTGTACCGTGGGTATGAAGGGTCTTGGGTTCAGTAATATTTAAGTACTCTTTCTTATTCAATGGTTGTTCAAGGAGCTGATTTGACTGTGTTGCCCCAATGAAACAGAATAAACAATTTGTCTGCCATGAGCCGGAATTCAAACCTAGGATCTTGAGCATTGGAAGATCAGTGCCCTACCACTGTGTATATAAAAATATATATATGTTTTGTTTTTTTTCGGTTCGCTCTACAGACCTTGTAGATCTTTGGCCGCCTGAACCAGCCTTCTCCACCTCTGTCTATCTTGGGCTATTGCTTTCCAGTTTGCGGCATGAAGCTCAGCCGTATCTTTGTTTATCCTATCTATCCATCTGATTTTGGCCTCCCCCATGGTCTCTTGCCTACTACTCTGGCATTCATTGTTGTGTTAAGGTGTCTAGATGGATTTCTACCAGCTACGCGCCTATCTTAACCTCCTTGCCTTCATGCCATGAGATATTGACTGACCCATTTCTATTAGCAGTTCTTTATTGTTTCTTCTCCTCCATGTGTCAAGGTTCTGATCCCATATAGGTCCTGTTATCTTATGAAGAACTTTTCTTTCGATTCTTTCAATTCTGGTTTATAGTGTGCTGGTTATGGCCCAGGTTTCACAACCATACAGCAGAACTGGCTTAATCACGGCCTTATACACCCTTATTTTTAGATTTCTGGAGATTTTACTGGATTTCAGTACCCTTGAAAGAAAGATCTGTTCGCACTTGTTATTCACTGGTCTATCTCTGTTAGTTGATTATTTATTGAGGTTATTGTGGAGCCGAGGTATTTGAATCTGTTTACTTTTGGGAATGACTTAGAATCCACACAGATCATGTTATGAGGGTGGATGTTTCGGCTAACTATCATGTATTTAGTTTTATCTACATTGACTTGTAGTCTGATCTGCTCTGCTTCTTTTAACAGAGTCCGAGCGAGTCTCTCAATATACTCTTGATTACTTTCGAGGACAGCTATATCATCCCCATATGCTAGGATTATGTGTTTCATTCCGACGTGCACCCCTCCATCTTCGCGTGATGTTGTTCTTATTACTTTCTCTAGTGCTAAGTTGAACAGCATCGGTTAGAGTCCATCTGCCTCAAACCCGTTCGACCTTCAAAGGCTTCAGATACTTCTCCTTGTATTAGTACCCTGCACTTAAGATCATTTGTACACGTTTTCGTCAACCTCACTTCCTTCCCGGAAACATCCAGCTCAGTCATGATCTTTCAGACACAGTTTCTGTCCACGGACTCAAAGGCTGCTTTGAAGTCGACAAATAAGGCGTGCACGTTCTGATCAACTTCCCATCGTTATTCAAGTACTTGTTTTAGGGTGAGTATCTGATCTAGCGTATTCCTCCCTCTCCTGAATCCTGTTTGATGATCGCCTATTATGTTTCCATAATAAGGATATATCCGATTTAGAAGAACATTAGTCATTATTTTATAGGCAACCGGAAGAAGTGCCTATAAAAAAGAAGTGCTCTTTTATTGACAGTAACTATACAAATTGGCTTAATATGAAGTTTGAAACAATATGATAATTAGAAACTGGAGAAAATAGAAAAATGCTTATCCAGGTTGATAATGAATCTCCGGAAATAACAGTCAGAAGGTATACCTATAATAATCGTTGGAAAGCGGAGAATTTTAGAAAAAAAAATAATAAGAAATAAATAAAGTTATTGGAGGTAATGAAAAAGATATAAATAATAATTTCAGAAAACTAACATTATTTAACGTAAATCACATGTTTCCAATGAAATGGAATGAATTTTTCTTACTAAATGTAAACTTTTAATTTTTTTTCTAAGTTTGAAAAAAAGTATTTAAAATCCACCGAATCATGCCAATGCCATTGTTTAAAATACTATTTAATTGTACTTGTGTGAAAGAAGAAGTGAAATATAAAAATATTTCATGGATATGTTTATAACCTTAAATACATTTACTGTAGTTTAATAACTCTAGATATGATATTATATTTAAATAATTAGTATCTATTGGCCGTTTATTCCAAAAAAATCATCAAGTAACCTTTTAGAAAATTAAATTAGTGAATAATTTGATGAATTTTCCTTTGTGAAATCCCAACATTATCCACTTACAATTAGTGTGACAACTTTTGACCTATCCATGGCAGGCAATGAAAATCTCGTAATTTCATTTTAGTAAACTTTACAATGAAAAATAACAGTTTAATAACTAATAGTCTTACAATTCATTACCATTTATAGGTTAAATATTCAGATGTACTTTCAAATCTCTCTAGGCATATATGAGCCTTTCGGTTGACAGAATGACTAACTCCAATTTCAACATTCTTTATTATTAATTTTAGTGATGTTTCTAGTGGCAAAATTTATACCTTTATTCACAGTTCTATATTTCAACATTGCAATCACCTACTCTGGAATCAACTTGCTCACTGTCTGTATAGATATAACTTTTCCAACTAGAAATATCACTAAAATGACATTACTCAAAAATTGAATTGAGTTATATTGTCACTGAATTCAGAGTGAATTTCTGTTCATAAACTCATTGTTTATTGCCCACGTCGATATAATAAATAGACTTTTTGTAATTTCAATGGTCTTAATGATTTTTATCTGTAAGCTTTAAGCTTTAGCTCCGTTTAAAATGCACTTCAAAAATTTTATAATAGCCCAACATTGCCGGCAAATAATTTCTATTCAAATTAGAGGGATAAGTGAAAGTTGTGCGCGCACCAGATATTTTTTAAATTTTACACATTTTGAAAGCTCGGTAGTTCGCTTCTTGTTGGGTTTAGAAAAAAATGTTATGTACAAAAATGTTAAATAATTTTAAGCTGTATAAGATTTAGTATAACCATTTTGTATCTATGTCGCTTTAAAAAGGAGATATCTTATCCGGCTAGGAATAAACTTATTTTTACCGCATATGGGTTTTAATGTATATTTTTCTTAAGCTAACTAATAACATCACATTTGTTTCAAGGACACAAACAGCTTACCAGCTTATTGAACGGCTATTCCAGTAAAACTGGCTGTAAAATACAGCTTTTAACATTGGAAAATTTACTTATTTTTTTATTCCATAATAATAGTAATAAAAATGATATCTACGGTGAGCTTCCAATATATTTAACTCCTTTGGGTATATCAACTAGACGAACAAAAAAACATTTTTTTTTTTGTTTTAAATTTTCCGCTTAATTAACTGTTTCTTATTGGTTTTAATATTTTGATTAGAAATAATGTGTCATTTCAATTTTATTTTGTACATATAAATAGTATATATGAGTATTATACTATATACATATAAATAGTATATACAAACTATTTGATAGTATTTATTGCCAGATGACGTTCGATCTATTGTTTTTGTTATCGGTAGACTGTATCACTTTTAAGCAATTAAATTTATTCCGAAACGAAAACAAACAATACATTAAATCGGACCATTACTATTTTCAGTAATGAATCTTTGTTTTCAAACCAATATAAATGATTTCACTACCTTCCCCAATCTGAGGTTTTACGTTCCAAGATTCAAAAATCGAATAAAACAAACTCCGCCCGTCCACCGTTCGCCATAACTTTTCTAATTTTTGAGATTTGATAACAATATCTCCATTAACTAGGTATAATTTCTAGAAATCGTTGTTATTAAACGTACATCGTCAAGAAAAAGCAGGAACTATCTATATATGTTGTTTTCACTTACGCGTCCTTCTTTAACGCTGTATATATATTTTTGTTAAATCTTCGCTAATCTTAATCCAATATAGATTTATTTGTTCAAGAAAAAAAAATATC